CAGCTGATCCATTACCCGCGCGGCCTGCAAGGCGGCAATGGAAGAGGAAGGCCAAAGGGCTGTTAAATTAACCGGAAATGAAGTATGGAGTGCCGTGTCTGCCGTGCGGGGCGTAAAGCGATGCGAGCCTCGCTACTTTCTAATCTGGGCTTCGTGCTAGTCAATTAGAGTGTCAGTTCCGTGGCACGGTTCCTTTTTTAGGAGGTTGATGAAACGTCACCTCCCCTTACCAGTAAGTAAGCTTATGTGCACCCCGGCGAAACCCGCCAGTATATGACAGCGGCACGGCAGATTCATGCCTAGCTCGGCAGATATAAGGCAGTGAGTGTGTCGTCTTCGTCCCAACTTTGTTCTCCTTGGAGTAAACCGTCGTCGATCTTCTTACTCACTTAACCTAATCGAAGCCTCCAAGTTTGACATCATGGTCGGAGTTCTGAAAACACTTGGCTCCTTGGCTGCCCTGGGCCTTGCCCAACTTGCTAATGGTGATTGATACCCCAGTCTCTCGGCCTCCAGGCAACATGCTGTATGTGTACTGACCAAAGATAGCCCAAGGAGGTGTCTTTCACATCATGCCCCTCGGTGCTTCCATCACCTTTGGTGTAGGCTCCAGCACCGGAAACGGCTACCGTGGACCTCTTCTCAACACCCTCGCGTCGACCGGGTGGTCCATTGACATGGTCGGCAGCCAGCGTGGCGGCAATATGGTTGATCCCGATAACGAGGGCTTCCCTGGCCTTCGCATCGAGCAGGTTCACCACGACAAGGCTGTGGTAGACGTGCCCGTATACCGCCCCCATCTCTACCTCATCAACCTTGGTACAAACGATGCTTCGCAAAACTACGACCTCGGAAACGCGGGTGCTCGCATGAACGACCTTTTCAACTATCTCTGGGCCATTACTCCCGACTCGACTATCATTCTTTCCACCTTGGTGATCAACCGCAATGCGGCCGTCGATGACCGAGTTCGGCAAATCAACACCCAATATACCAACCTGGCCAATACCCTGAGGAGTCAGGGGAGGAAGATTGTCCTCGTTGATATGCATGGCTCTAACGGTCCTCAGTCGAACGAGATGTCTGATGACACACATCCCAATGATGCTGGGTTCCAGAAGATGGCGAACATCTTCTACCAGGGCATTCTAGAGGGCTCGCGTGCTGGGTTTTTCTAAGAGCTCTGCCTTTACTTAAAGGTAGTCCGCTTTCACATCATAGTAATAAAAATATTATGTTTTACCACCCATTTCCGAGGCACAAATCTCGGTTCCAGTGCTGTGATTGGTATGTTTAGTATTAGTACTAGTAATACCAAGTATCCAAGAAGATACAATGTCCTAGATTGTCAGAAAGTGAGAGCGCCGCCCTCACAATCAAACATTCCGGGATTGATGACTCGACGCCGCGGGTAGGTATGTGTGAACGAAAAAAACGGCTTTAGAGGTTTCCATACTCCAAAACCAAAACATTATGACCGTCCGTGGATGTTCGGAGGGACAGGGGGTGTCTGGAACGAGCCGGGGATCGAGTGTGGCAAACGGAGCCCCTGTGGCGTCTGATGTACTTCCCCTTCCCCATGTAGCACGACGCGATAGACAGGTGCTACTTTGGTATGCTTATACATGTTTTTGGCGTCATTTTGCTTTATTTAATTTCTGTTTTCTCGGGGGGATTACTGTTGCAGTCATAAACTGAATCGCGTGCTGGCCTTCCAATCAGCCCGGCCGAGGTGATCTGGGATAATATGGCCTAGTGGACATCACTGTGTTAAGGTAAAAAATCTGGCCTGACTCTGATCCTTGGCACTCAACCCTAAAAAGGGCATCTAAGAGGGTTGCTCTAAAACACCATGCATATACATAAGGATATTCATTGTGTTGAGTTGTCGGGCTCTGGCAGCTTCCATTGCTGTTGAACTTTATTCTCTTTCTCTTACGTACACATAAGGATTGACTCCTTTACCACCAATTTGTAATGTGTAACTACTCATACTTGATACACTCATAGTGAAAGAATGACAGGCCTGCCATATATGATCTCACATCAGTGGCCAGTGGATTCAGGATGGCCTTGTCTAGCATGGATAGTGCTCGTTCAGGCCACCGAGCCAGAAAACTTAATACCAGCGGCAATGTAAGTTTGGAGTAACCTGTCGACATTTCTGTCGGGCTTGTCTGCTGAGATGCGAGTGATGGTTTCTGCATCAGTGGCAAGGCCGTTGGATATCAATAGTGGTTATCGAAACAGCACTGTCTATCTCAGCATCTAAAAAATCGAATGCATTATCCTGTAAGTCTGACTAATTTCTCTGGAATTTCTCCTAGTGGTATATTTGCATGACTTATCGGTAAGGTACATTTCAATAACCAACGTCTATCTCACTTCCTGTGGTGTTTGAGCAGTAGATGGTTGAAAATCAACATTCTTAAACGCCACAACCCTTCAAAGTGCCGTGTTTAAATAGCTTGAGAAGAACCTGAGCCTAGTTCATAATTATTTCCTCTGGCCAAATTACACGAGGGGTTGACTTATAAGGAAGGCCATGACTTATGCTGGGGGTGTGTATATGATGTCAAGGGTTTCTATACATCGAGCCAGGATTAACTGGCTTCCTTGAACTATTGATCATTCCAATTGGCCAGAGATAGAACAGTGGATATAGCGCAAGCACGCGAGCCATTGACATGATTCGGAAGCTCTGTGATGCCCTTGAGCGTAGTGTTGACCCCGCTTTACCAAGACTTGTCAACCAGGGTTAAACTCATGGAAGAGAATACTAGCCCGAGAGGAGAACAAACTCTCATAAACACTTGCCTAAAATGGCAGTTGATGTGCCTCGTTGCCGATACCGGGTAATTCACCAGTTAGCTATGGCGTCAGAATGCAACGGTAAGGTGCTCCTTGTAAACCCCGCAGAGAGCGCATAAAAGTAACCAGATAGCAGCTTAATGACGGCTGAATTGTAGAACTAATCCTAGCCATTGTAAATATGCGGGCTGTTTCTGTTCTACTTAGGGCGGCGATTGCTGCTGCTGCTGCACTCTCTGTGTCGCGTAACCCTGCGAAGACCTTGAGTCTCCGGTCATCTCAAGACCTGTTTAGCTGTGCTGCAACTCAATGGCCTCCTAACACAGTAGGGGAGAAGAATATCCCCCAAGAGCCCTCCCAAGATCTTAAATCTATCCTTGCCGAAGTTGACCCTTCAAACATTGAAGCAACCATCTTGAAGCTTGTTTCCTATGAAACTAGGCACACACTCTCGACCCAAAATAGTACGACCAGAGGCATTGGCGCTGCCCGAGACTGGCTCTACTCTGAATTCCAGCGAATTGCTGATGCCAGCGAAGGGCGGCTGACTGTTGAGATTGTCTCGTACATTCAACAGCCAGATGGCAACCGGATACTGTTTCCAGTTCGGATCAGCAATGTTGTGGCAACGCTCCATGGCACAGAAAAGCCTGAAAGATTATACGTCGTCTCAGGCCACTATGACTCGAGAAACTCCGATGCTCTGGACTATGAGGGCGACGCCCCCGGAGCCGACGATGACGCCTCTGGTGTCGCCATCTCTCTTGAGCTCGCTCGCATCATGTCCCAGCCCAAGTATCCTGTTCCAAAAGCTTCAATCGCGTTTGTGGCGGTCGCCGGCGAGGAGCAGGGTCTTTTAGGGGCGCAGTACCTTGCGCAGACGTACGCCAACTCCACTCCACGTGTTAACGTCGAGGGCATGTTCACCAACGACATCGTGGGATCGCCTAAAGGTGACGACGGCACGGTGGACCCGCACACCATCCGCCTATTTGCTCAAGGCTTGCCAAATCTCAGCGTTGAGAATTCCACGGTGCGGGAGAGGCGTCTCCAAGTCGGTGGTGAGAGCGATACTCCCGCACGCAATCTCGCGCGATTCGCCAAAGAGGTGGCCCAAAACGACGCTACGGATATGTACGTGAACGTCATCCATCGGCTGGACAGATATTTGCGAGGTGGAGACCACCGCCCTTTTCTAGAGGCTGGATATGCGGCGAATCGCTTCACGGAGCCACACGAGGACTTTGCTCACCAGCATCAGGATGTCAGAGTTCAGGACGGGAAGCAATATGGCGACCTCCCCGAGTTTTGTGACTACGAGTACATCTCTCGGGTCGGTAAGGTCAACGGCGCAATCTTGTGGAGCTTGGCGAATTCACCCGGTGTCCCGCAGAACGTGAGAATTAACACAACTGCACTTGGGAACGACAGCACATTCTACTGGGATCCGCCTGCTGGCGGGGAGGAAGGCGTGGGTAGTTACGAAATAGTTTGGAGAGCAACAGCTGCGCCATTCTGGACAGATGTTGTGGACGTTGGGCTAGTTAATCAAGCCACAATAGACTTGAGCAAGGACAATGTTGTCTTTGGGATCCGAGCGAAGAGCCCGGAGGGTTTCCGGGGGGTTGCTGTCTTTCCATTCCCTGCCGCCTGAGTGAGATTCATGCAAGTCATATAGTTCAAGGACATATCTAGTTATGGATAGTCTCATTAACTGAAGTAGTATTAATCGGAGTTCTTACGCAGACTGTTTGGCCAATTCCTAAATATTAGCCAGCACCACCTATTACTGGATCGAAGCTTCGGCAACAGTTTAGAACAACTATATGCGAAAGAGTTGAACTACCAAAAAGAAAGGTCGATAATGCTTGGGTTCAATTGCACACAAGATTAGAAGAACCAATTATGAAATCACTACGGATCACGTAGCGTGAATAGACGAAGCTATGCTCCAAGCAACAATTGCACGGCATGAACATATGACATGGCACTCGTATTGGCATTTGAATTAAAAACCCACCTTGTTTAGGTACTTAGCTTCATCTTTTCAGCCACAATGAAAGCCTCGCCTTCACATTTGCTCCTGAAAATAGAAAGGGCAGGACGTCTTATGAGCTTGAAGTGGTAGGAAAGACAGGCTAAGCCCAAAGCTCCACGGAGATGTAAATCAGAATAGACCTCTCGATTCGTTAGAGGATATTCTCGGCGACAACACTCCAAACCTCGATGAACGGAACGACACGGGGGTGTATGTCGAAAGCATTCTTGATGTGTTCAAGCAAGGGCTTGATAATCCCATCTTGTACCTCGCCGTCAAGAAAATGACCACTCGCACAGTTCAGCTCCCAACGTCCGTTGTTCCATTTATACTTACATAGTTCTGGTGCATGGCTGAATTCATAGTATCGTGGCGGCTTTACTTCGCCACTGTAGTCTATTGGGCCGGCAACAACCAGCAAAGCCTCTAGCTTGGGGAAAGGGCGGAGCATATCCCGCAGCCAACGGCCGTTATCAAACTCACAAAGCAGCAAGTCATCTGTCACAGCCAAGTACTTCACCTTTGAGTTGGCACTGTGAGTAAGGTGTCCCCAGCCCCTCAGTGTAGTGACGAATCCTTGGTCCAACTCGTCGAGAAACTCGTCCCACTGAATCAGGGGGATGAATAGGGCATCGTGGTTGGGGTCAAAAGCATGGAAGATCGCTGAGGATGTCGTATCCCATGTTGCCGCTTGCGGGATCCTCTGTTGTCGAACCCAAGTCTGCGCAACCTCTCGGGACTCACGGTTAACTGATGCGATGCTGGTCTTGATTTGGGCGGTATCGAGAAGTTCGGTACGGAACTCATACCTGCGGACGGGGCGGTGATGTTCATAATTTTCGTTGTCATCAAATTCTGTGAGACTCTCATGGCGCCAACAGCCCTTCTTATACGGAAACAGAAAGGTCGGTGCGGTCTTTAAGTCGTTCGGCAATGCCTGGATCCATACGTACCGTCGAAGCTGCGGGGGAAGCTTAGGGAAAAGAGTGAAGGTATCTCTCTTACCCATTCTCTCGTGTACCTTTGTGCCGAGATTCGACATGTTGAAGCAGAGCACAGGCGGGCTTGATATTCTAGCTCAACCCGACAGCCAGAATGAGTGATAAGAGTTATGAGATGACCGGACGCACGGCCGTTGTTGAAGTTTGCGATGGTCGGAAACGAAGCCGAAATTATCGGCACGTGATTTGGAACCCTTAGATAAGATCTTATTGGCAAGAGTCCAACAAGCGCATCCATACATCCTGAACCCAAATTCAATGGAGCAACTCAGAAACCTATATAAAATGCATTTCACCTGGAAATAAAAACTGTCTGGCCTGACCCTGGAAATTCCATCTAAAAGACTGAGAAAGAAATGGATTTTTCTAGCACAAATAGATTTGATTGTGGAGATTCCCAACCCTAATTAACCCAAAAACGGGAGCTACCCTACCCTATAGTGGTCCTTATTTTGTACGCCAATCGCGCTTCAAGTTACCGGAATTGTTTTTCAATTGAATCTAGGCCAAAAGTACACATGTTTAAGAAAGGAGATACGGTCGTTATAACATAGTGTAAAAATTGAGGAAGATACGATGTGATTGTGGGGCTAGTTTTTCAACACGTGTAAAGATGCACAAATGTCTGGTCTAGTCGCATGCAATTGACGAGCACCCCCTCTTCCGTGCCATGATAATTTGATACATTGACAGAAAACAGGCTTTTAATCCCGCCTTTTGTCTCTAACTTGCCTTAACCTAGCTTACCATTATTCACCTTCTGAGAAGGGGGAAAAAGGTGGAAGAGGTAAGAGCAAAGCAAATCATACGCAACCAGACATTGACCGACATGAACCTTGAGCTTACAAGACTCTATTATACAGTGGTGATGCCTCCGTGTCCCATATGCCCATTAAAACTTTTGCTTGCACCTACACCTTGTTTATGGATCGACATGGATCATCAGAGATGTTGATGAAACGCATCTCTGGGCCGGGACTTTACGCAGCGTTCTATAATCGGCTCAAAGGAAGCTACCTACCCAAAATGTAATGAGTAATTTATTTGCTTGAATTATACTTCCTGGTCACATATTATGGCGAGATCAATCCTGCGACGGCGGAATACCTCGGTGGCGCGCGTTGTGAGAATTAGAGTCAAGATGCCCAACGAGACCCAAGTGCAGAACGAAACCTTGAGAAGCCACGAAAACTGAGAAGGAAGAACTAAGCACAGGTTTCAAGCGGAGGGGTGGTATTGAGCGGGGAGAGCAATTCCGTGTCGAAAAAAGACCGCGATGATTATGGCATGATATCGTCTCGGACTGACCGCTGATTTCATTCACATTCCTGGTGGAGAGGAGAGTGTGCAAGACAAATGAATCATTTGGGAGGGTTGGGAAAGCGAATATTTCTCTTCTAATGTGCCATCGGGCTCTCGGGGCTTTGAAACGATCAAGATGGGTGGCACTTTGATCAACAATTAGCGCCCGACTCGATCTTCTTTCGCTAACAGATGGTCTCTCAGAATCGGCACGAGCCGCAAAAGGACCATGTCGGGCTTCTTTTTCCGCCCGTTTCCTGTTCAGCATGGTTTCACTTTGTTATGCATAGCCCAGCCAACGCGGTGTTATTATGGATAGTAGTGATATCTCGTAAGTTTGCGTGTGAATGGTCGGGATTTGTCGGATGGGGCTTCGGTGGCATTCCGAGATTTTCCTGCGGGTGATTTGGGCAACGGGCGCCTCGACATTGGCTGAGCTGCCTAAACCTGTAGGGATGGTAGATGGCCAGAGATTGGTAATGCTACTCAATGCTATGGACAGAACCGGGGTGTGTCAGCCCGCTGTATTGGGTTGTAACGGCCTGTGCTGCGAGTGAGTGTGTCACTCTGGTCCTGTCCCCCTGACCCCTGAGCAAGGAACCTGCGACCGTCACCTACATTTTCCCACGTCACTGCGGGAGCAACATCAGCTCATCACGCCACAAGGGTCAGCGAAACCATCAGATGCCATCTTGCCACCAGTCCATGGCGGTCGACATGACCTGACATGGCTGGGGGAACCGACCCCTAGATACTCAGAATAGATACGCAATCTACGAAATATTGACAATCCGAAGCCATCCGAAGCCAATCCTCGTCGCTCTGTATTTAACATTCAGGTTTTGGCACCTGATTTTATTTTCCGTGTCCTGACATCCAGCATCAACTCGTACACTTCACATCTCAAGCCAGCTACACACGCATCTTCGTTTAGAACCGAAGAAACCAGCATCACCACCAATCATGACGACCAACTCATTCGGCGGGCCTCTCCCATTCCAGGTCCAACGACCAATGCCCGCCATTACCAGGCAAGCGAGGATCGCGAAAGCCGTCCCCTGGGCTCTCGTAGCCACAACCGCAGGAGGTAAGCCCACATCAGAGACTGGATTTGGCGTATCGTGAACGCACAACATGCTAACTACCCTGCGCTCGAACAGCTGCTGCCTTGTATGTTTACGGATCTCAGACCACATCAGGCACTGCGCTGCGCAGCTTCAGCATGGCTGCGACAGGCCGCAACGTGCCCGTGGAAGCTCCATTGTCAGCAAAAGAAGAACAAGAACTAAACGACAAAGTTGCGAGGAGCTTCAACACCTAACGCTCGCTTGGGTGGCATCATGACAAGAAGCAGGGATATGAATCTTCTTTTGTTTTCGGTTTAAAGCATACACACAACTGCATAGCCTACATTCTCTTGTTTATATTTTGATTTGGGATTTGGACATTAGCTCAGTCTATTGGTTTTAAGGGAGTTATTGGGTCAACACTGCATTCTTATGATAGGAAATGGTGTTGATAGCACTCCAAGTGAAAATCAATGGAGCCTTTGATATTGTATTTTAATGCAAACAAACATCTTGACAGATGGTTTATAAGGAAAAACTGGTTCTGCTAGCCTTGTGAGGTACTCGATGAAGTGTGCGAACATGCACTGATCTGCATCGCTTCTCTCGCCTGGACTCGCGTAAGGTGGGTCTTTTCCGAGAAGACGGATAGAGAGCGATCTTCAGATTCCCTTATGACCTGTTATATGTGTGCATTGTAACCTTTCCAAGGGTTAGGCGATTTCTGAGCCCTTGTGTGCTGCGGCATGTGCTAGGGTTAAGCGAGCCAATGTTGATGGATCGATGGTTATGCATCTGCCATAGCGACCCATAGCCTTGACAAATATCCCCAGACAGGGTGAGATCATAAAATCAGGACTGTTAAGATCGAAATGCTCTAATGTTATTGTGCCGTAGAAGTCTCCGGGTGGCTGAAGTCTAACTGCGAGATCTGGTGGCAAGATGCTGAGTTGCTCAGCTAATTCATTGGTCAACTCTCACTGGCGGAGTTGGATCCAAAGCTCTGAAATAAAAGAGTCAATTTTTGCTCAAATTTTCGCTATACGGTGTAATTCGCTTAGGCAGTTTGTCCTTTACTACAAAATATCCCCAGGCCCATTGGGATTATCAACCTCCCGGCATGCCTCATCCTCTCTTTATAGATCTTCCCGCGGGCCGTTCTCGTCTTCGTTGACCTGTTGATTCGCGAGAAAGGCATCCAAATCATCATCCTTCCCTTGAATCTTTCTGCGTTTTGCCTTTAAATCTTCTAGGTCCGTGAGAAGTGATTGAAGATGTTGTCCAAGGACTTTCGCCTCGTTGTCAGCCGCGTTTCTGTTGTTGGCTATGAGAACGATGAGCTCCATGAACAGCTTTCGTTCACTTCTTTCCATGTCCGCAATAGGTCCTCGATCCCCTATGCGGGAGAAGCGACCGATAACCCCCCCAATATCGGAAAGCTCTGCCAGGAACGTTTTGTTGATGTCATGTTTTCCACGCAAACGGTGGATCTGGGTGCTGACGTCTGCAACTTGCATCTCGAGTTGAACGATCCTTTCCTTCAATATTTTAAGGTCTTCCATCCTATCCGTAAGGGGGTACTCCATCTGATCGAGCTGATTGGGACTTAACGGTGCTGGCATTTTGAATGGTGCAAAGCTCTGGAAAGTCTGGACCTTGTATTCAGAAGTTATGGTTTCGATTGCATCTCTGGAAGGATGTGGAAATGAATGACTTGACAGGATTTTATTCGGATAAGAGAAGATCTCGATTGACAAGAGGTGGCTTGACGTGCAAGGGAATCGAAGCGAGGTTGTTACAGCTTCGCGTCGCGTTTAGAAGTGCTTTCTGGTAACCTCTAGTAAACAATGGGCAAACATATACTTTGTTATGAAACTTTGGTCCATTGTCCAATGAGCGAGACAGACTTCAAAAACCTTTCAATATAATGTTAATGCAGTTGATTTTTATTAGGGTTCATTGTTCACGACGGCATGAGGGTTTTAAGGTTAAAATTTGCGACTCAGTGAGAGCCATACTGAAACTCTAAACCAATAAACAGCTATGTAGTTGAGAGAAGTGCCTGCCTTTGTGTGACTTGAGTGCGGGCCTGTTGAATGAACTCAAGTTAGCTGCTGGGATCTTCTATTGTTATGCTGGTGCCTAAATTCTTGGGTTCTGGACCTTCCCCGCACTGACTCCTCAAACCATCTGAATGCACACACCAAGCGCTGAGGGATCTGCCGCAATCTCTCCATCCCTATTCGAAAAGAGAATGGAGAATATTGAATCTTTTGAAATATATCAAATATGCAGGGTAAGGGGTTTGGAACCTTCTCCCACAAGTTTATCGAGCCAAGCCAACAGACAATGATATGCCGTTAGGCCATCCTAGAGCGATCGTGATTGACAATGGGTATGTTCTCTCTCGCTGAGCCAGATGTATTAGAATGTGTTTTGTGGATGGACCCGGTGTAATCCCCTTGGGTGTTCGCCTCATTACTCATGACCTATTCTTGAAAGATCACACACAATTAGAGGAGGATTTTCGGGCGAGAAGACGCCATCCGTTGTTTCTCGTAAGTCATCTCGAACGGTTAAAACGCATTCCATGTTGACCTTGTACAGCATCATTGATTTCCAGAAGACGTAATACGAGGTTGAAAATCTATGCCCCCTTTGTGTAGAGTTAAAGCATTTAGCTCCGTTCTCATTCATCAATTTACTCATAAACTTCCACTAACCTCCTTCTCCCTCAGTGCCTTCATTGCCCTGGGCCAGATTGATTGGTATGCCGGCGATGAAGGACACGAGTCATGAATTGGATTCTCCTTACCCCGGCATCTAGTTGACAATGGCATCATTTCCAACGCGGATGATATGGAGCTGCTCTAGAAATATTTATTCGACAAGAAGCTCCAATGCGACACACATGGCTCCTCTATTCTTCTGACCACGCCGGCGCTGAACTCGAAGGGTAGTAGGGAGAAAGCAGCCACTACATTGTTCGAGTATTTCAACATTGGAGCACTGAATCTTTCCATACAGGAATCCCTTGTATTGTGTCTCCCCGGTCGAAATATAGGCCTGGTAGTTGATTCCGGCCTATATTCTACACGTATCGTGCCTATCTATGAAGGCCTCGCGCTCCGGCACGGAATTCATCGCTTGGATATAGGCGGCCAGCAAATGACGGACCATTTTATCCAAACCCTGCAGGACAGCGGTCATGGTTTGGAGACAGGTTGGGAACGTAGTCTCGCTGTAAATGTCAAGGAAGAGTAATGTTATGTTGCACAAGACTTCGAAGGAGAAGCTCGGGCGTTTCAGGAAGGCTGCAATCTACCGAAAGAAACGAGCTACATATTGGCGGACGGAAAAACCATCACGGTTGGGAAAGAAAGATTACTTGCACCTGAAGTTCTCTTCCAACCCCATCTGATGGGACTCAATGGGGAGGCTGGGATACAGCACCTTGCTGCTGCCTCGATAGCAAAATCTGACGAGTCTATCAAGGACACTCTCTATGGAAACATCGTCCTGGTAAGTCATGTGTTCCAAAGACCGGGATATCTGCTGATAGCCCGAACCTAGGCGGGTGGATCAAGCATGTTTCCTGGAATTGAGAGCCGGATGCAGGCTGAGATGACAAGACTTGTCCCTTCACCAGCGAAAGTCGGCGTTCATGCAGCGGCGGAAAGGAAGCATTCGGCGTGGATCGGAGGTGCAATGCTGTCGTCCCTGTCAACGTTTCAGAGCATGTGCATCGTGGCAGCGGAATACGACGAGATGGGGCCTAGTATCGTACACCGGCGTTTTCCGTAAAGCACTGTCTAAGGGAGTCGTCACCGGGAAGGCCCTTGAGGTTCATTTCAAGGGGTTGGAGGAAACAAGATTCTGAGAATGGGTTATCTTATCCGTTATCTCCCTGCGCTAGCCTAATATGGACGTTTATCTAAGTGGAAGGTCCAGGCGAGGGCCAATCAAGCTGCAGATCGGCAGTTCGCCACTGAGATCTAGAGCTTTGCGGGGTGTCCAGCCGCTGTTACAGGGCATGCGCCCGCTATAATTGTTTCCTCGCGATCTCCAGGCTGCATCTTTCTGCGATCTCGGAGGCGCTTGAGCTTGCCGCAGCACGAACGAACTCCATCAGTGGCTTCATCCAGGACTCGACCCAGCTATCGGTGGCCACTCTCGGCGCCGAAGCAGTCTCCCGTCGGCTGCCCATCCGACATCGAGTGGCCTCATATCGGGATCAATCCCTCTGGTCGGCTCAGCAATATAATGGCCTCTCGCCCTTCCCCACGGGGCTACAAGCTGAAAGGTTGTTCCATCCATTCACCGTCGATTTCATATACGCATCCTGTGTCTTGTCGTCAAGCTCGACGACTACACACCCTAGAACCATGAGCTCAGAGTCCGTCCTGATTCTTGGCGCAGGCTGTTTTGGCCTGGCCACCGCCCACCACCTCGCCTCCCACGGCCACAAGAACATCACAGTGCTGGAGAAGGGCCAGACGGTCCCCAGTAGCTTCTCCGCCGCCTACGACTTGAACAAGGTCATTCGCGCCGAGTACGCCGACCCTTTCTACACTGACCTAAGCCTGGTATGCAAATCACAGGATCTTGGCCCCAATTCCCAGCCCGAGTTATTCAGCGTTTCTGACCCTACCCCCCTCTAGGATGCCATCAGGAAATGGCAATCAGACCCCTTCTACAAGCCTTACTACCATGAGACTGGCTTTCTCAATGTCACATCAAAAGCCGCCCCAGAGTCCACTAAGCGTGTGATTGCCAGCTACATCTCCTCCATTGAATCGCATCCTGCATTTAACGGTCTAGTCCAGCGGGTAAATGGTGAAGCCGAGATCAAGAAACTCATCCCCGCTTTCTCTGGCCCCGTTGAGGGCTGGACAGGCTACTTCAACAAGCTTGCAGGCTATGGCCACTCTGCCAACGCGCTCCGTGCCGTCTACGAGGACTGCGTCAAGCTGGGCGTCAAGTTCGAGACTGGACCCCAGCGCGGCGAGGTCGAATCTCTCATCTACTCCTCCTCGCGGGGCGGCACCTCCTGCATTGGAGCCAAGACCAAGGGCGGCCACATCCATCTCGCTGATAAGACTGTCCTGGCGCTGGGCGCCGATGTCTGCAATTTGGTGCCCCGATTGGGCAAGCAGGTTGCTGGCCGATGCTGGGGCGTTGTGCACATCCAACTCACTCCCGAGGAGGCTGAGACTCTAAGAGGCATACCCGTCACCAATGTGCGCGATCTCGCCTTCTTCTTCGAACCCGACAGGACCACCAACAAACTCAAGTTCTGCCACATGGGGGGTGGCTACACCAACTACGCTGGCTCCGCCGACGGCTTCTCCCTCCCGTATTCTAAGCTGGAGGACTCTCAGTTCGTCCCCGAGGAGGACGAGATCTATATCAGAAGACTGCTACGAGAAGTTCTTCCCCAGTTTGCTGACCGGCCGTTGATTGATCAGCATCTGTGCTGGTTCGCTGATACAGACGACTCCGATTACATTGTCGACTTTGTCCCGGGCACCAACTCCTCACTGGTAGTTTTGTCCGGCGACTCGGGCCATGGATTCAAGATGCTGCCCATCTTTGGAGGTTTCGTGAAGGATCTTTTGGATAAAGGAGTCCAGTCTCAGCCCAAGTGGCAATGGAAGGAGACCAAGGCCAAGTCAACTGGTGCTTGGCGCAGTAGTGCCGGCCAAGAGCTGGCAAACATCCCGCGCGCCAAACTGTAGGAACAGAGAGGGCATTTCAATCTGAATAGTTTACACATGGCATATTAGGAAGGATGATAAATGAATGAAGCGATATACAATCATGTCATCTTATCTGATGTTCCTAGTCACCTCTTGATCCGATGTTCCTAATGAGCCTGAACAAAATGAAATTGTTAGAAACATTTATGAGTTAGGGCCCAGAATATCGTCAGAGACTAATTGAGATGAGAAATAGGGAACAAGGGTACAATGCCACATCAAGAGATCTGCGAAATCGTATCATTGATTTATTGCTGCGACTTTGTCAACTGAATTGGAACAACTTGACTATCTTACATGGAAAGGAGTTTTCTGTCCATGTTAGCATCCACTCGGGTAACCGTGATAACTGAGCTTGAGGACAGAGATCAATTTTGCCGTGCGATTTAAGAGGCTTGCTCAAGTAAACTCGACGATAGAAAACAAAAAGAGGTTTCAATCGATTCAGCCCGCGAATCTGGCAAGCGACGTCACCGGACAGGGCCAGAGTCAGCCCTTGGCGATGCAACACCAGTCTGACGGGGGCTGTGCATGATCAGCCCGCTTTCACAACCCCCGCATGGCATGGCATGATTCCCATGTTGTCTCCCTACGTCATTGTCAGAATCCCATGCCAAAAATTCGATAAAACTGAAAAGGTGCAGAAACTGTGGACAAATGGGGGGAATCGAGTCATATCTGTCGGCGAAGCCAAAATGATTAATGCCACAGATAATGGAGACCTATGCACCCAGTGCGCTGACACCGACTTTAAACGCCTCTCCAAGCTGAATTACCCCGAAAGTGCTTTTGTAAGGCGCCTCGGGTCAATTGAGACACTGAAAGCCTCCAATTGTCGATTATGCCGCTTTTTCGCCACCTTTGCACCGCGCAGTGCGCCAGCCGGACTGGCATTCGAGGATTTCGACCTGCGAGTTTTCAACACGAATTGGGTCTTTACGGGCTCGTCCCGTGAGCCAGCAAGGAGAAACCTGATTGGTGTTGTACCCTCTAATTGGGGCTCTAAGGGCATCCAGGGGGGAGACATGGCAAAGATGCGTCTGGCTATGGAAGAGACGGGGTACCTGGGCCTGGAGCCGTCAGCAGAGGACGCACCGATGATTAGCAAAGTCAACAGAGTGAACTCTAGAGGCTTTGACGTCGACTCGGTTAAGAGCTGGATATCATACTGTCGGGATAATCACTCGACGCGGTGCCATGACCCGATGGCCGTTGACCCTCCTGGTCTTCATGTTCTTGATTGCCGCACTCGCCAAGTTATCTTTGCCCCTATTGGATGTCAATACGTATCGCTGTCTTATGTATGGGGAAATTCAACACCGAAATGCGCCAAACGGCAATCGACCAAGGCTAGGTTTGAAAAGGTCATCGAGGACAGCATCGCTGTTACCTTGATGATGGGAATGCGGTACCTTTGGGTTGATAGGCTCTGCATAGACCAGACCGACAGGAAAAAACAACGCCACCAGATAAATCAGATGGATCTGATATATGCTAGGTCGACCTTGACAATCATCGCAGCCGCTGGATACGGGCCGGAACGTGGGCTGCCTGGGGTAAACGGAACCTTTAGAAATCCACAGAGGCAGATAACGATCCAGGATGGCACAACCTTGATCTCTACTTTGCCGATGGGGAGGCATCTGGTCCAGAAATCCAAATGGAACACCCGTGGATGGACATACCAGGAAGGAATTCTTAGCACGAAGCGTCTCATATTCACCGACAGCCAGGTTCTCTTTGAGTGCAACGGGATGCATTGTTGCGAAGCGGTCTCCTTCGACCTCAGCCGTATGCACAATAAAACCAAGGAAATGTTTGACATGGACGCCTACAGACTAGGTGCATTTGGAGCTAAGACCCCAGGCTCAAATCCGCAGGAATACATGAAATATGTGTCTGACTTTTCCAAAAGGGAGCTCAGGTATGCAAGAGATACACTGGATGCTATCCAAGGCGTTTTAAATACGTTTACGAGGGCTAGAAACCCGATTCACAATTTCTGGGGCATCCCAATAGTCAGCAGTGACGGGGACTTTTTCAGACGAACGGATTTCGTTTTGCTGCCTACAAGCACGACTCGGTCGAGGTCAACCCGTTTTATCATCAACCTTCTCTGGGAACCATCTCCTGCCTACCCTCATGGCTTCACGCGGAAAAAGGGATTTCCTAGCTGGTCATGGACCGGATGGTGTGGGAAGATCAAAGATCATGTCTCACTGGGGAATGTTGTGAACCAGGGAATTTTCCTGGATGCCCATGTGTGGTTTTCGGATAAGCGGAATCACCAGTGTCATTCCATTGAATGGATCCCTCTACAGCCTGGAAAACACATTCTCCAAGATGTGTTCTCCTCAAACCTGCTCCTCGAGGCGAATGTGATTCCTCTTGAGATTGTCAAAGTTGAATTTTCCCAGGAGGAGAGAAACTCATTGAGAGGAATGGCGGTGTCGCACGCCAAGCCACCTGAAGGCGGATTTTTCGTCAAGATCGATACAGGCTCAGGTGGTATCGTTTTCTCTGAACTCCAAGGGCACGATCGCCAGAGGGTAGATTTTACCAAGAGCCAGGACTCATATATAGCTATCCACTCGTTCACAGAAGAGATCATGGGCGTCAACAGGATGATGTGCTCTAGCAAGGCAATGGTTCTAGAGAGAATCAATAATCACTACGAGCGGGTAGGGGTTTTCAGCTTAGATTGGGTGTTTTGTCGACGTGAAAGGGGCAAATTAACAAGACCCTCATACCTAAGTTTCAAATCGATCTCTGTAAAAGAGAAGATTTGGCTTAGTTAATTCACATACATAAATAATCTGACAGTCTATCTAAAGGTAAATATCGGCCTTTATCCTGCCCCATGTCTAGCTCGCGTGTTGGTGCTCCATGGTGGCAAATAACATCTATTTGACCTCCAACATTCAGCTAGTAGACATACTCAAAGTTTGGGTTCTCCTTGTCTGTCATGTCAGTGAAGGCCGTGGCGTTCAGTGAACCCGTCGAGGTGCCCTGCGCTCGAAGTTCCGCGCGTTGCTTCTCCTTGCGCTTGTTCTCCCATTTGAAAGCATAGCGGAAGACGAAGAAGAGAGCGAGCTCGATGACATTAGCTACAAGTAAAGAGCCAATACCGAGCCGGTATGTGGGAGCTTGCTCGGTAAGATAGAAAAAACTTGGCCGTGTTAGAAGAATCTGATAGCACAAGGAGCCAAGGACTTGCACTTACGGGCTAACGATATTTCCGATGCACGCACCAAACCATATCATTCCGGAAACAATCATCTTCTTAGACTGTCCGCCAGTGTTAGAAGTGATCAATGATAGGGAAATAACAAAAGAAGCCTGGTATGATCCAGTGAGGTAGCTAAATGTGCTTATGTTAGCCTGGCCATGATAAATGAATCATCTTGTACGTACAAACAGATGAGACGCCCAACATAAGCATTGTTAGGTGCAAGCAGGAATCCCAAGGCCCCAGCGATAGTCGGGATCATGAACATGGCACACACCCAAGTGCGGCTGTTCTTAGGCATGTACTTGTTCGCCAAGGCGCCAAGGCCGATCCAGATGACGACAATTACACCCTGTGGGATGCCAAGAAGAGCCGTGTTCAGCGTGTTGAAACCAAGTCCTTTGATGACAAGAGTTGAGAAGTTGGAGATCCCGCCATTTGGGATGTTAGCAACAAAGCCAAGGAGTGTGAAGAGCCAGGTCTTGTAGTCGCAATAGGCTTCTCGGATCTGCTTCCAGTTGATTTTCCCCTGCTCAACACCAGTTTGGTTTCTTCGAAGGCGAGCAATCATGATGAGCTTCTCTTCCTTGGTGAATCCCCAGATCGTGGTAGGCGAGTTTGGAAGCATCAGTACGAGGACGATCGCCCAGAAGGAGCAAAATGCGCCCACGATAATGAACTCATAACGCCAAGAGGCGAGGGCGCCCTGAATGTGTCCGATTGCATATCCTGTACACACGCATGTTAGCTCATCAGCGTCTTCGTTTTGACGTGCTTCAACGTACCAATCAGCCCACCACCGGCAACGCCGATACCGTTCCATGCATACCACGCGGAAATGCGCGATGGCTGTTCCTCCCGGGTAAAGAACATTGTAGTAATCAGCATGAAGGCGGGGTCGGCAATGGCTTCGAAAGCACCAGATAGGATCCGAAGTGCCAGCAGCCCGGCAAAATTGCGCGCAGCAGCCTGGGCCATGAGGAGTGCCCCCCACATGAAGATGTTGAATGACAGATACCATGCTGGCGGGCTGCGCTGCATCAACAGATTGGATGGAATGGCCCAGACGAGCCAACCGAAATAGAAGCAGCTGGACAACCAAGAGTACTCTTGCCCTTGTAAGTTGAGACCCTCCTTCAGGCCGAAAATGGCTGCATATGATCTACACTGTGTCAACAGGGACTTGTCGTTGTAATACGCCTCATCGAATGAGAGAAACATACAGTGTGGTCTTATCAACGTAGTAGAAGAAGTAACAAATACCTAGAAGAGGGAGAATGCGCATGTCCAGCTTGCGGACTAACTTTCTTTCCGCCTCCGAGTCAATAGCATCATCGTTTGGATATCGTCGTAGGGCTTCTTCGTAGATCTCATGGTGTTTCTGTCGGATCGCATTGGCCTGAACTGGTTCGGCGTACTCGTCTTGGGTGACGCTCTCTCCACTCTTGCGAGGAGAACCAGGGGGTGAACCTTGATCAATGATCTTCGAGTCCATGGCGATCTGATTTCAAGGTCTTGTTTTCGAGATGAAATCAAGATAATTCCCATAGAAGGCTTGGGAGTATATTTATTCGGCAATCAAATGAAAGAGAGCGGTCAGCTCGGCAGTCTCCCTTCGTAGGATTGGGGCCAGACTGACTCTGGGGACGTGGAGAGAGACATTTCCCCGCAGGCCATTGCCGGGGTAGACCGGAGGTTACCCCGATGGCCAACACGAGTTTGCAATATGGAGCTGGGGTAATTGTTTTCTAGCCATGTAGAGTCTGAGATCGACAGGCCCAGTTGGCTAGCTGAATGGTCAGCTGGTTTTCGGCAGACCCCAATGCTTTTACGACATCATGATGGAGACTTCTGTCCCCCCACGGTCAACATCCGGACCAAGCCTATTGGTGGAGAATATCATTCCCGGATTCAAAAGCGAACAACGGGCGTACTAGGGCAGGTTGGGGAGAAGAATCTGCTGATGGGAGTGAGGTGGACTTAGGCCGGGATTAACCAGTTCAATGAGTAATAACAGGCAAGCGACTGATATGAAACATTGCACACCTAGAACCTCCAGGCCAACACGTGATTTTCCCAGATTGCTCACCGTCGTCTGTGCTCCTACCTGTGCAACCTCTTACTGGGACACTCGAGAGCTCAGAAGGTCTCGTCTAGCTATCAATCTCTAGATAGAAGATGAAAACTAGCGTTACCTATGTCATCAAGTCTTAGTCCTAGTTGCCACTTGTTCTGTTATGCAACGGCAATCCACTCATCTAGATGAAAATCTCATGCCTACGAGGAACTTTTTGTCATGGATACTTTGTATTGTGAGACGTATTCTTATAAGGCTGTCAAGATGCACCCTAGCGCACCTCGCTCATCAATTAGGATGTGGGAACTTCTCTACGACCACCGGCTCTCCTATCCACTTCACGTTCCGAGTCGCCCTTTCGTCAACATCGATGAAGAGTTCGTATTCACCAGGGTAGAGTACCCGGTTTCCATCTTCATCGACACGTAAAAATCTCTCTAGTTGCAAGACCACTTCAGCTGTTTTTGTCTCATAGGGCTTGATGCTCTTGACACGCGCATAGCCGACTAGAGTTTGGTTGGGCCATGGCTCCGGGCCAGCCTTGGACCGAAGAAATACAAGAGCCACATAGTCAGATTCACGTTTGCCAGTATTCTCAACAGAAATCGGCACCTTCAGCACAGGCTTATTGATCAAATCCATCCATGGTGTGCTTTCAGCGAGCATTCCCACGTTGGGAATATCACCAGCAATGAATTCGCCTTGCCACTCAAAATCTTCATCGAAGGACACATCGAAGCTAGTGTAGTGGAGGCCAAAACCGAATGGTACAACTGCCTCTCCGGAGTACCACATGTGCGTCCGCCCGGGATTTGTTCCGTTCTGGCCAGGACGGAGAGTCATATCAGTAGGTGGTACTTCGTCAACATATCCAGCGGGGTACTGTGTGACTGGAAGACGCCCTGCTGGTGCAGCAAGGCCAAATAACAAATCAATAACAGCTTTGCCGCCAGATTGTCCTGGATACCCACACCACAGAACCGACTTGATTGCCTCGTTGTCGAAGAGCTCACTGTCGTCCAGTTGGCCACCTCCAAATTGGACGACGGTGATGGGTTTCCCAAGGCTAGATAGTTCTCTTATGAGACTGAGCTGGGCCTCTGGCCAAGTAATATTGAGACGATCCTTAGACTCAGCTTCGATGCTGTTATCAATACCACCTAGAAAGAGAATCTGATCGGCCCTTTTTGCCATCTCAACTGCGTCATCAAACGAGGGGTCAGGACCATTGATGGCCGAGCCAGCCACCCATGTGAAGTCGAGGCCAATATTTTCGGCGGCCTGGCGGGGAGAAATGAGATATGGAGGGGGGCCAAAGTAATTGCCTTGCATCTGCTCCGTGGCGTTAACCCATGGACCAATGAGCACTACCTTGGCTTCTTTCCCAAGGGGCAGGTGATTATCTTCATTTTTGAGGAGGACGGACCCTGCCACAGCCGCGTCGTATGCTAGCTTCTGGGACTGCTCTGTGTTGACGTCTTTGAATGAAAGCTTACGTAGCTCTTGTCCTTCAGGAGGATCAAACCAACCAACTGAGATGAGGGCTGACCACATTCGAGTCAGTGCCTTATCCATATCTTCTTCTGTAAGCAAGTTATTATTCCACCCATCCCTGAGTAGGTCTGTACTGCCAAACTCGCACTCGAGATCGGTCCCCGCTCGTAGAGCAGTAACAGCAGCTTCACCTGCCGTCTTGGAATACTTGTGATTTTCCCAGATGTCCGAAATTGCGCCGCAGTCGGAAGAGATATAATGCTCTTCCTTCTCCCATCCCCAATGCTGGCGAAGAACATCCTCCATCAAATAGCTGTTCGCACAAGCAGGAGCGCCGTTGACAGAATTGTAACTGCACATGAATGCGCCTGGATTGCGTTCGGCGCAAACTCGAAACGGCGCGAGATAGAACTCATTCAGATCCTGCATACTGATTTGTGCATCGAAATTATGGCGCGAAACACTGCCAAACGATTCAAAATCATTCCCAGCATAGTGTTTGCAGGTAGTGATGACCTTCTTGTAGCCCCCAACCCCCCTCTCGAGGCCGGCCAAGAGTGATTTTGTGTAGCTTTGGAGATGGAAAGGGTCTTCGCCAGGGGTTTCTTGCCCACGACCCCAGCGAGGGTCTTTGAACGAGTTGATGTTGGGAGTCTGTAAACCTTAAATCAGAGAAAAGCTTTCGAACATTGCATAGTCATCTTCAACTCACATAGAGATCCAGACCAACACGCCCATCAGCGTTATAAGCTCGTGTTTCAGTGCCAATGACATCAGCCATGGCAGTCACGAGTTCGTCGTCAAAAGCAGCTCCAACCAAGATAGGTTGTGGAAATGAAGTTGCACAGTACCACTCTCCAGATGAAGGGCTATCGAAGGTCACGCCTCGGCTTGCCAACCCATGAAGGCCTTCGGCCCACCATTGATATGGCTTGATCCCCAATCTTGGAACCCCGGATGCATCTTCGACGAGATTTGTAATCTTCTCCTCGACAGTCCACAGAGACAGAAGAGCGGTAGCTCTTTCCTTTGGCGAGAGAGACGGATCGCAAACCGCGTTGGAACAGAGCGGCTCACGGTTACAGTCGGGAAAATGTATGGGGTATTCTCCCGATTCAAGGGGATTTTCGACATTCCAAATGCTTATGCTATGCATTGAAAGAGAAAAAAGAAGTCAGTTTCATGTAGAATCAAATTTTGTGTGCGACGTACAAGTAGGTCCCGCCGCATATTTGGTTCCCATCACCGGAACATTTGGTTCCACAAGAGGACTCTACGGCCTTCTCATTTCTGATCTCATTTCCACAGTGACACTCGCTTTTGTTTCTCAAAATTAGCATATAATGACATCGATTTAATACGAGTTTAGGTCAGATTATACCGTCCATATTCTACTCCCGCATATTTGAAGCCAAACCGGCCACAGAGGTCAGCACAGGCCTGTGGTGAGTTATTGCTGAGCTTAACACTGACACCGCCGAGCGTTCTTGGAGAGCCGCTGTCCACATAACAAGCATCATAGGTGATTTCTGCTGTAAAGTTCTGTGCTGGAAGGCAATCTCGGGTCTGAAGCTTCACTTGTGGCTCTCTGGCAAGGACATTGCTTGCCAGGAGAAATAAGAGAGGTGCCGCCTGTTTCATTGCAGCAACTGGTTTGCAATCACTTGACTCTTAGCATTGGGCCAATTTCATGGAAGCCCGTAAGAACTTTATACTTTCTTTCACTTTAGCCACACAGATCCTAGCATTGATCATGGACTCGCCCCAAAACAAACCCCACGAAGGTTGACTCCCAAGGTCCAGTTAGTTTAGGCTGAATCTGCCAGACTCATTGACTCTTGATTTAACATCGTCTGCCGATCGTTTAACCGCTCGTAAAGTACCGTGTTAGTCGATCCATGGTATCAACGTTGTATTGTTATTCAATGTATCGTCATACGAAGGATAATTTGGGTCTGGGCAAGACTGCACGGTAGCATTTACCCGCATCCCTCTTTTGACCCCTCATAGAGGTTACAGTGCCCCTCAAGCTTCTATTGATCGTTCGGACTTATTTATGCTAAATAGCCGTATATTCCTTTCGTTGATGTTGCTCCCAGACACTGAAAGCGCTAGAGGAAGTATCTTTCTCCACCTATAGGTTAGTTGATAAGAAAATGACTATTGATCGAGTGACACATAAATCGAGAACCTAGTGTTAAAGAAGGGACGAGTAGCAGATGAACGCGGGGATGTAAAAAATAGTATTCCGCAATTTCCAGTCGTACATTTCGTTGATAATCAATACTTAGGGCTGAGCCTCGTTAGACGGGCGATGATATCTTGAGGTAATCAGCGAGAGAGTCGCTAGTGAACACAAGAGATTAAATTGAAATCCACAAACATGACATTTAGTTACGATACTCTCCTCCGCAATCTCCCATAACCTCAAACATCTCCATCCTTTTGCTCTGTGATAATACTTTCTCAATCTCATTCTGGTCTTCCTGAACAAGGGACCATCCGAAGCTTGCCAGGTTAGAATCAGTATGCTCGCTAATGCCCATGCGCGCGCCGACGATAACAGCCCCAACATATGGAAAGTCCAACACCCATCGTGTTGCCACATTAGAAATCTCGACATTGTGTTTAACTGCGATACTCTTCAGTGTTTTCAACAGGTCCTGGAAGAGAACCCAGCCGCCCCAGCTCCGGATCGCGCCGTAATACTACGTGAGACTATCAGAAGCGTGCGGTATTGAGAAACGGTTACAAAGAAGACTGTACCTTTCGTTGGCTAGGGGTAATCAGAGGGTCGTAAAGGTCGGGTTCTGGCTTGTCCAACCACTTTTCTGCGAGAAAACCTCCACACTAAGCCTGAATCAGCAAGAAGTTCGGGATAACCTTGAGGATGGGGCCTTACCAGTGTGCCATAGGTCAGTAATTTTATATTATGCTTCAAGCACACCGTGCCCATTTTCACTGTTGGTCGAGAATCAATAAGTGAGAACTGAAATCTATAGTGTTAGTGGATTACTCGAAAAGTCGCGAGTGGAGAGCCTTTTGAATCCTGGCATTTACCTGAACCTGGTTAGCTACTACCTCGATACCATGGTCTACAACAGTCTCAAGATGCTTCGTATCGAAGTTGCAGAGCCCGATCATCCTGACGCGGTCGTCCTCCGCTAGGAAACGCAAGGCATCGAGATATTGTGGGTTTCGGTACTTAGCTATCGTTAGCTTTTCTACGAGATAGTACGACGGGGTCATCAATATCTTACATATTGCCAGTGGAACTGGAGAAGGTCGACCGAGTTCTGTTGTAGTCTCTTGCACCTCTCCGTAACCGCAGCTTGAATGTCTTCGCGAGTCACAGATGTCATGGCGTGGAAGACGCAATACTTGGTGGCCGTGAAAAGAGCATCTTTATGGGGCCAGGCGGACCAGAAGTGACCCTTATATGAACAGTCAGTCGAGCATTAGAAAGGAAAGAAACTTGAAAAAGCAAACTCACGAATATGACTTCTGCGTCACCGTAATGGTCTGCCATATCAAAAGCAGTGAAACCACTCTGCACGTGCCTAGATATCTGGTCCACAATCTTTGATGTCGGAGCAGTTCCCCAGGCAGGACTTGACATTTGCCAGAGGCCTGAGAAAATTCTCGGAATCGTTCGACGGCCCAAAAGACAAGTCTCTTTGGCTCTAGGGGGTGGTTGAACTAGATCCATGCTGTTTAGAAGTATCTCCTGGGTTTCCGCACCAGGTAATTGAGGACGACCAAGCAGCCCTGCAGTTGCATGCGCGCCTCGAGAAAAGGGATGGCTTGCTCCCCTTCCCTTCGCGGCAATTGCGCACTCCGTCAGACCTTGTTCAAAGCGTTGTAGGAGTGCTCTTTCATCATCGGCCAAGGCTCGAGTGCCTGTTGCAACACACAAGCTTTTTTGTACAGCCGTCATTGCCTGGACGATATCATGGTCAACCAGCGCGTAAAAGTCTAGAATCTCGTCTCTATCGGCATCCAGCGGCTGCCGCCGTCCGTCTGTCGCGTGAGAAATAACCTTGCTTAGCAGAGGAAGACTTTGGAAGCAAAGCCCCGACCCTAGCATGCAGCGAACCAGTCCCTGGACGGCCCGAAGACTTTTGAGATCGGTCAGTGGCCGATTCAGCTTCAATTGTCCAGCCGCGCTGTGCTCGGCAAAATCTTTAGTTTCTCGCTCCAAGGTACCGGTAGCTTCAGGATGTGAGGCGAGAATGCTTCGCAGCACAACACGCAGGCCATCGGGAGGAAGGTTGGCTATGATTGTATCCGTCATCATGTTGACGTGGGATGCAGTAGCCCTGCCATTTCGAGAGACGGTCATATTCAGAAATTAGAAGTAGACGTGTAAATAATTGCCTGATGTTTGGTATGCCGTTTATAGTGTATGTTGGAGTGATACTTGGCTCTTAACACTGAGCCTGGATAGCGATGGCATGCATTTGAAGCGGCCACATGACCTAGACGTCCGACTCACTTATTTGTTCTCACATGGGGATGCCAAGGTTGCCGGTGATCTAAGCGAGGACCGGTGTCTCAAGAGCGTGCATAAGACGCCGGCCTCCACTCTAACCGCGCTCTATCTTAGAGACGGTGTGTTCTTGGTGGTCTGGACCGTGGTCACTAACAAGCGTGAGGGGACTCAGCCCTTGCCTGGACGTTTCCCTTGTCCAGCTAGCCATGGTTCCTGTGCTTGGTCTCCTTGACCCCGCACCCAGACCCCAGAAAGCCCCAGACTTTGCTTACCTACCTGATGCTTCGACGAGGTGAATGGACGATGACGACGCGCCCCGACCATCCGGATGTTTGTGATTGCATCTCAAGCTCTAGCCTCTCTACTATCGACCCCCCTACGATACACATATTAAACTGTGAACGCGTCCAAGATGAATGCCTGTCTCGCATGCCGTAAGGTCAAGATGAAGTGTCGGCCGGGCCTGGCCGGAGTTGATTCGAGATGCGAGCGCTGTGCCAAAAAGTCGATTGACTGCGTGTTCCAAGAGCATCGGCGCGGACGCAAGCAAGGCACAAGGTATGCGATGCTCACGGCCATCTGTCAGGTGATAAGGCCCCATTCTAATTGATGTTTTGGGTCATAGGATAACTCGAGCACGGCACGTATCTCCCACGATGGCACACGGATCGAAAACGATCGAGGGGACCTCGCAACATGCATCTCAATATGGCCCTCTGACCGGCTCCTCCTATCATACATCTCTTACGCCGGTTAGTCAAATCCATGAAGATGTCTCCTCTGCGGAGCCGAGCGACTTGCAACCGTCGGGGCTGTTGAATCTCGAAGCCGGCAAGTTTTCACTTCAGTATATTCTTGGTAGTGGTAATAGAGACAATGTGAATTCTCCGCCCGGCCCATGCTCCTTGTCTCAAGATGACCCCATCCACCTTGGTCTGATTAATCTACAATTAGCTGGATGTCTCTTCCAGAGGTATGATACTTCACCAACTATCAGACGACAGCCTGGTTACCGTACCGACTAACGTTAGCAACTAGTTTTATGGATGCGTTGAACCCATACATATGCCAACTTGATCCGGATTTGCATACTCTGAGCTATGTCCGAGAGAAGTCGCCGTTTCTATTTACGGCCATTCTCGCAATGGCGGCCAAGGCCTTCGACACGACCATGTACCGTCCGCTATACGACTACGCCAATCAGCTAATGAGCGTCAGCTTTTGCCAGGGCATCAAGTCCACGGAATGCGCACAGGCCATAATGATTCTGACATACTGGAAAGAACCACATGATACGCGGGCATGGACGTTGTTGGGCTACGTGATCCGCATGTGCATGGACCTGGGCTGGCACAAGCTGAAACTCCCGTCGATGCAATATCAACAAGCTATTAGCGACGCACAGAGAAGAGAGGCTCGGAATATTGAGCGGACCTGGTATGTCCTGTTCGTGTATGATAGAAGGTTTGTACTCATTTCCAGCCGAAACATGCACCAGCAGACGACGGCTGACTTCTCCCTAGTATAAGCCTTCAGACAGGGAGGCCTTTCATGATCGAGCAGAATGAGTTTATCGACTCAATCGAAGGATGGTGCAAAGACCCAATGTCTCTCGCAAATGACTATTTCCTGGGGGCTCTCGTAAAATTACGGTTGGAAACCTCGGCAGCATTTAGCCTGCTCGGGTTCCGGCAGCGCAGGAGTTTTACGGCAAGCCTTCACGAGATGGAGTCCTTGCTAGCCTTGATTCACGGGCGCATCCAGGACTGGGAAAACCGTTGGATCGACCTGACAAAGGCGGTGCAGCCAGCCGATGACATCAGCTGCCACCACTTTCTTATCCTTTTCTATGGCACACATCTCCGGTTGCAGCTATTCTTATTACCACTTCAACATGCCCTCGCATCAGACGATGCAGAATCGAATTCAGGCCTGGAAATGCTGTGGATTGCGTACTCGAGTGCCATCGACCTGCTCCAAGTGGTGTCTCAGCGTTCTTCCCAGCTATATATTGCTCAAGACTCTGTTCACATCATGATTGCCTATGCTGCCGCATTTCTCGTCAAGGTTAGTCCAGTCGCCATACGACCGTTCAAGGTGACAGAGATTCGCTAACTAGGACCCAAAGCTGCTTCTATTGGCGCCAAAAACGATGGTTGCCAAAATAGAGCCCAGCATTGTTGATGCCATGCGTAACGCAGCACTTGCGCTTTCTCAACAATCTCCTCCAAGTGGATCGAGCTGTGCGCTTCCAGCCGCCTTCCTTGATAAGATCACATCGAACCTGACCGCGAAATGGAACAGTGATACTCGCCCTATAAGTTCTAGATTGACCCCTTTGCGCGTAGAAGCAGATGATGTCACCAGTAAGGATTCAGGTTTGTTCAGTATTGAAGGCGCAGAGAACATCTTTCAAGCTACCAATCTGGACCTCCAGCTCGTCGACGATGAGGGATGGGCGACCATCTTTGCCCAAGCTGGGTTTGATTTGGGGGATGATGTTTTTCTGAATTGAAATACTTGGGAACATAAATATCCTGAGGTCAATTGAAAGAGTTTATAGACGTAATGGACTTGGAGAGCCGACCATCTACATGACTGTTGCCTTTGCCGAACTTCCTTGTCAAATCGACCCCTTATATTTGTTATTACGTGTTGAGAGGAACCACAGTGGTCTCTGCATGAGAGAAATCTCGTATCCCTTCCCGCACTATCTTCAACTGAGAGGGGCAATTGGGATCAGGGCAGGCGATCAATGCGTCGGTTGTCATCCAGTCATTGTCGGATGTCTTGCGCTGCTTTGCGGCAAGCAAGGGCAGCACAGATGCTGCACAGGATTAGTTCCCAATATCGGACCAACTCGATACCATATTACTGACCTAAGCTGTAGATACTAATTCCTTGGCCTGGAGGTAAAAACAGCATCTCGCCTTGAAGAGTGAAGTGATCTCCCTCATTTGCGCCACATAGGATTCTTTTTCCAGGGGGGCAAACAACTTCGACCTTGAGGTCGTAGAGTACGAACGAATCATCATTTCCGGATTGCGACGGCATGTTGATAGGACAGCGTATGGATATCCAGTATTCGGCTTTGCAACTTGAAGAACACTTGGTTCAGCACTGTGGCACGGTCTGCGGAGCAGATATTAAATAACGCCAAAGGGATAGAAGGGCTCCCACTTCGGACGGGGTTCACCGGCATTTTGTCACCTTCGCTGGCGCTACAGTTAGCGTTTTCTCATGCCGGTGTTTAATGGTTCCGCATCTAAAGTCCTCACCGACCGGCGTCTTATGGTTTCTTGTCACCGGCGTCCAAGCCTTCTAAGCACTGGCTTCCAGGGCTCCCTGACTGACGTCGCATCAGAGCGAATGCACACATCCTCATAATTTCTCGGGTATGGGGAGCAGTGCGGATGGTCGCCTGAAGGAAAGGACTACAGGCCCCGGCGCCAGGGATTCGGGATTATATATTCGACTCAGTGTGCTCCTATCTGGGGGCCGACACCGAGGATTGTAACCTTCTTCTTTCTCTCTCATCACTCTACACCCCCCGCCTTCTTTTCCTTAAAAAATGGCACGACAACCGCACGACAACACGGAGAAAAATGTCGTGGAATATACTGAGCCACGGGATGTCGAGCATCAGGAGAAAATCGAGGATGAGCCCGCTCCGACTCAGGGACTGAAGCGGGATCTCCATGCTCGTCACATCAACATGATCGCCCTCGCGGGCATGATCGTAAGTCATCAAAGACATCGTTCGATTCGACTTAGCGGAAACCAACTAACCCTCGGCTAGGGAACGGGTCTCTTCCTCGGCTCTGGCAAAGTTATCGCAACCGCCGGGCCTGCTGGTGCCCTGCTTGCATACACTCTCATGGGTTGTGTCACTGCCGGCGTCGCATATACGACTGGCGAAATTACAGCCTTTTTGCCTCACACCGGAGGCTTCGTTCGACACGCAACCAAAGTTGTCGAACCAGCTCTCGGGGCCGCGACCGGCTGGAACTTCTGTTTGTTCCACATTACAAATTCTCTGGATGGGCGCATAAGCTGACTGCGAAAGGGTACACCATGTCCATTTCAGTTCCGGCTGAGATTAGTGCTGCTGCCACCGTCATCCAGTTCTGGAGAACGGACATCAATCCGGGTGTCTGGATCACGATTTTCCTCATTGTTATCATCACGCTGAACCTGTGCGGCGTCAGGTTATATGGCGAGGTGCGCCGGATATTCACTTATCCCACCAACAGTCTTTGCAAATTTCCAACTGACCACTCTCGTGTAGTCTGAAGTTGTGTTTGCATCATTGAAGATCATGCTGATCATAGGCCTCATCATCGGTGGGATCGTCATTAATGCCGGTGGAGGCCCTAGCAAGGAGCGATTGGGTTTCCAATACTGGGAAGATCCCGGCGCCTTCAACACTTACATTGAGACTGGAGCAGCCGGTGGCTTCCTTGCATTTTGGAAGGTGATGCTCCCAGCTGCGTTCAGCTACGGCAATATCCAAGTCGTAGCCATCTCCGGTTCCGAGACTCATAACCCCAGGAAGACAGTGCCAGCAGCTACTAAGAAGACATTCTATCGAGTTCTGTTATTCTACATTCTCAGCATTTTCATTGTGGGTATTATAGTGTAAGTGATCATTATTGTAGAACCGGTACTGCTCAACTATTTGACCGTCTTTACGACCAGACCATACAATGATCCCTCCTTGGCTCTCTCGACAGGCACTGCCCAACAATCCCCTTTTGTCATCGCGTTCAGCCGTGCCGGTGTTTCTGTTGTTCCTTCGATTATCAACGGAGTTGTCTGCACCTCGGCTATCAGCAGTGCTTCAGCATGTATCTTCATTGCCTCCAGGACGATGTACGGATTAAGCGTTGATGGCCATGCCCCCAAAATCTTGCAACGCTGCAACCGGTTCGGTAGCCCGCATTACGCAATCGGGCTGACATGTGTCCTCTTCCCTCTTGTTTATCTCAACGTCGCCAATAACACATCAGTCGTATTCGGCTGGTTCGTGAACATCACGACAGTCGCCGGCCTCATCGGATGGGCCGTGATTGAGGCCACCTACTTGAGGTTCTATGCTGGGCTTAAAGCACAAGGGCACTCCCGGAAGGGTAAGCACAGACACAAGCTCCAGATCTTGAACACAGGAAGACTGATTTGACCGACAATATAGACATTCCGTATAGGAGCCCTTTCCAGCCCTACACGGCTTGGGTCACGTTGGTTCTCGTTCTCTGCGTCATTATATTTTCCGGTGAGCGATTAAAGAAATTGCCCGTGAGGCGACAAGGTCTAAAGGTGGCAGGATTCGATGTGTTTGTTAAAGGTCACTTCACAATCGATGGGTTTCTCACTTGCTACGTCAATATTGGCATCTTCATCGGTATGTGGTTCATGATTCGTTGATCATATGCCGCCCTAGCTAATCAGGTCATCAGTGCTCTATCTTTTCTTCAAGTTCTTTCTGAAGTCAAAGGTGATCCCACTCCATGAGATCGACTTTGAGAGCGAGTTCCGGGCGATGCGCCAGGAGGCTGAGCGGTTGGAGGCCGAGAATTTCGAGGCAAAGAAGAAGCCCTTATGGCGCCGTATCATCAATAGCTTCTAAGTACAGTAAGGCCTCTTCCATTGTGTTTCAAAATCTTAATACCATTTCTATGACTGCTATCTCCTCCGATCCCTTCCTCCCTTTCTAACAAATGAAGGAAGCCAGGTGAAAGAAGGTAGCTTTAATAGTCATTCGACGAGCCGCTCGTCCTGACGGCAAGTGAGTCATTGGCATGAAGGTTTGCAGACTTTTCTTTCCGTACAACCACAGCCTTGGGCTAGTAAAGGCTTTTTTTAAGTTTTTGTATTCATTGTGTTGAGTTATCGGGCTCTGGCAGCTTCCATTGCTGTTGAACTTTATTCTCTTTCTCTTACATATTATAAGCGTATTTAAACTTGTACTATATTCTCTTTTACTGATGTGATTTGATGTATGCACGATTGTGACTTGAGCGGGTTTACACAACTCTTTTCCATCTTAAACAACTATCTACGTTTTGAGATTTCGGTTTCCGGCTGTCTCTATCAACAACTCACAGACCGGGTTCGACTGCAAGAATAACCAAGGATCCTGCGTACAGCTTCCAACTACTCTATTAAGTTAGGAAAACCCTAATACCTTTGGTAGCTAAGAAGACCAAACGCTCAACACATGGAAGTCAAAGATTAGGAAAGAATATAATTTTAGCCCTGGGGAACGAGAAAGTACGTCCCGTCTATGAGAGACTTTGAGTAACATATAAAGTATGAAACAGTAATGGAAGACGCTAGACCCATACTTCACTATTCTCTGGCAATGGCCGCTTCATTTCGGGGTTCCTCTCGCCTCATGCGCCCTCGGGAGGCTTAGTAGAATTATCCTAATCCTTCACAGTAGCCAACTCTCCTAACTAACTGATGGACGCTTAAACTAAGAAGTCCTAGCGGCTGGGACAACGGATGCGACAAGGGCGATTAGGCTGCCAATAACACGAGCACAGCCACTCGAAATTAACGAGCTGAAAAATTAATAGTTAGCTAAGGATACTTAGCTTCGACCAGGTTGCTGGTGCCTGGATAACCGGCTTAGGCAAGGCAGCAACGCCGGATATATAACAAGGCAAAGAAATCATTTCTGCTTATTCTTGACTACTTGCTGCAATACGGCCTTTGAACTTCCTCATCGGTCCATTCTTTGACCAAACACAACCATGCCCGTCACCATCCAGACAGCCGATCATGCCCCAAGGCCATGGTCCAGACCATCAGATAAAGCCACATCGGCAAAGATGCTTCTCGAGGCATCGTGCCCGAAGGAGCATAAACTCTGCAAGGCCATCTTCCAAAGTTCCTTCAAGACAATCGCATCATCCCACATCTGGCCATCCCCCAATAGTCTCGTCTACGCCGCCCACGCTGCCTATAGCAACCACCATCACCTAACCATCCGGCCCGAGGATGTCTGGTTTGCCATTCTCACGCAATTAAATTTCTACATCAATGCACACGCTGAAGAGCTGCGGTCCCTTTTTGTAAAGCATGAGGGCAAAGAGGAGGCCAAGGTGGAAGTCGCCGGCACCATTCATACCGTTGACTTTGGAGAACTGGCTGTGATGATGACGGATGAGATGGAGAAGCAGATCGTCGACCCGGAGCTGAAATCCTGGATTCTGCCCGACTTCACGACAACCGAGACTGTGGACACAGTCACAGCTGCAATCCTAATGATGGGCAGCATGCAGTCATATTTCCATTACACCATGTCTCTTAGGTGTGGTATCCCATCTGTCACTCTCCTAGGCCAAAGGGAAGATTGGGTCAAGATCCGTAACCGCCTCGACAAGATCAAACAATTTGGTGCTGAACCAACCGTGTTCGCTAAGCGTTTGATCACGGTTGTGAATAACCTGATCATCGCCTTTGACAAGCCAAAAGATCCTTCCGTTAAGGAGTTTTTCGGTAAGATTGCTCACTGGAGGGCTGGTGGCTCAGGACCTTCGTGGCTCTCTGGGTGGATCACGGCATTCTGCGCCTGGGGCCCTGATGGCACTCCGGTTAGAAGCGCGGGGTTCCGTGCAGATAGCGTGGTCTGTGATATTGACGGAACGAAGTTCCTGCTGGTGGACACGATGGATATCCCCTCTGGATTTGCTTCCGTGCCTGTAAAGGTGGACGATAATGGCCGCATCTATAAAACGAAAATGGTTGCTGGGTCCGTTGCTATATCGGTTACCAGCAGCGGCCAAAAGTTGGACCAGTCAGATATGCGGAGCGAGAACGAGCAAGAAGTAGGGCTTGATTCGCTTCAGCCCGTAACGGGGTGGTGGATGTTTGAGCTCACTGACTAGCACAATAGTAAACATTTTATCCATCCTTCTCCCTATCAAGCACTTTCTGTTGAAAGAGATGCGGAAATCCTGCCAAATGCTAAGCTATAAGTGATAACCTTTATGCAAAAGTTCTGTAGAAAATGATTCAGAATTTCAAGCTTGCCCAGAGGTACGTAAATTAAGTTATGCCAACGAGAGAATCTATTTCACTGCAATGCAACCTACAGCCAGTGATGTCTTTGACACCAGCTACATCGACATGACCAGCTCGGCCGAGCTGGCCGAAGCCATCAATTCTATGTTTGCCTGGTATCGCGACTCCATAGTATACTATGCGTACGTGGCCAATGTCCCGACCATCTCGCAGGATGGCAAGGACCCTTCCAGACATTTCTGCAGCAGCAGATGGTTCACGCGTGGCTAGACCCTCCAGGAGCTCCTGGCCCCGACAAACGTTGTCTTCTATAATCAGTCATGGTCAAGGATAGGCAGCAAGGCTGGCTCGCTTCTGTCTGCCGTATCCCAGATCACCGGAATTAATAAGAACTTCTTGAACGGAAATTGGCATCTGAGGATGGCGAGCGTTGCTGAAAAGATGTCGTGACCCACCGGAAGATAACACGGACTGAAGATATCGCATATTGTGTAATAAGGGTCTTCGAAATCAACATGCCCCTGCTCTATAGGGAGGGTGAAAAAGCCTCCACCCGACGCAACGCAACCGGAGGAGTCGGGAGCAACATCAGTCGCGGGATGGCTGGTATCTAAATATCGAGCAACGTCTGAACATCTCTATCAATATGGAAGTCAGGCGATCTATGCTACTTGTCGGGCCAGACATAGCCCTAGAGCTGCACGGCGTGATTGAATAAGATCTGAGATATGCAGGCAGGGCATAGGGTAGAAATAAGTAGGAAATGGAAGGAAATGATAAGTATTAGTAATTTTTTCTAAATAATAAGATAATAAGCCAGTTATTCATAACTTTATAATCTTTTATTATTATTAGTTTTAATTGAAACCTTAGAATTTTAGAAAAGATAAGAGTGTATAATTACGTGATATTATAAGCCGAAAATCATTTCGGCCAGTTTTATAATAGGTTTTCTACTTAATATATAACCCGCATCGTGGCAGTGTTCTCCGGGTGGGGGCAGTTGGTCTCTTTTTCAATCTCGCCGCCATCTCATTACTCTCCCAAATTTAACGAAAGACGACAGTAACTCGTATAGTGCTTAGAATAACAATCATGTCTCCCGGCGAAAGGTTTTCCCAGGCCGCTGCCTTTTCCTTCAACCCACTAACCGTTGGTTGAAGCAAAATCCCCTCTCCGGACTATATAGATGCTGGAGGTCGTGCCCTAGTGCTAGTATGTCTATGTACTATACCATGACGCTCTTGGTGAGTGTTGAATCCTCGTCTCCTCATTCTCACAGAGTCTATTTACCTCCAAGAGATAGGGTGTGCTACATCGATGATAGTGGTGATGAAGAGTGTCCGTATTTCATTGGGTCTATTCCTAAGCCCAGAGAATGTACGCTGTACGAGTTAGACGGGGTTACGCGTGCCAAAAGTAAGCTGATCAGCCCGGATGATGTTAGTAAGGTCGATGAGTGAGGCGATGAAGATTCGCACTTTGATGCATTGTCGCGGCATGGTCAACGCATGCCTGCCTGATCATGACGCGTTAGGCAGCCAGCATGGGGTCCTATTGTCCAAAATGCAATTCCGTACTTTATCCCCGATCACTTATATTCGGCCCTTTGTAATTGGCTGCAGGAAAAAGCCTTGGAGGCGCAGTCCTTCTGCCTACCAACACGCTGAAGCACTGCCGCAGATCTCCAAAATATCATCGCCACTAGACCAGCGTTTCTTACGTGAAAGAGCTGTTTTCTTTTTTCTTTTTTCGCAAACTGCCCAAGGACAGCTATCAGCTTGATAAGTACACAGCTGGAGACAGCGTCGGCAGCTATGACGCAGGCTATCCCACAAGGGAATCACCATGCTATATTGATCGGTATCAATGCTTACACAGAGCGGCCGCTCCAAGGCAGCGTTAATGATGTGCAATCTATCAAAGCCATTTTCGAAGACAGACTCAATTCAGTCAAGATCCAGCTTCTCACAGCAACATTGGGAGAGGGCAATCAGCCGTTCATTGAGAACAGGGAGGCTCTGCCGACGCGGGGCAACGTTGTCGCCGCGTTCAACAATACCATTCGAGATGCAACAGCAGGAGACTACGTGTACATCCATTACTCTGGGCATGGCACGATTGTGAGGCCCAGCCTGGACCCTGAGGATATGGTATCTAACCAATTCGCCGGAGACTTGGCGCTTGCTTTACTAAACCATGAAGACCCAATGAAAGTTCAGCCTTCCAGGCAAGAGTCTAGCCAAGCTCTTGAATCGTATGATAGACAACGGGCTCATTTTGACCATTGTTCTGGATTGTTGTTTTTCCGCAGCCGTCTATCGTGATGATGACGAGCCTCTCAGTCAGACCAAGTTGCTGGGAATCCGGTGTCTTGAGCTTATCAATACCTCTCACCGAGACCCTTCCTATGTTGAAGACTACAATAAAGCCCTTGGCTGGGTGTCCGGTTACCGCAACGCTGACATGCTTCCGAATTGGATGCTCGATCCATCCAGGTACTCCATGCTCATCGCTGCCGGACCCCATGAGATAGCAAAAGAGGTCACGGCAGGCGGACAGAACTTCGGCAAGCTGTCTTACTTTATTCGAGAGGCTTTTCGTGGAGAAAGAGGTCTAGGGATCAGGCAAAGGGATCTTTGTCGCCATATTCAAGCAAGATTCTTTGAAGAATTCAAGGACCCAGAAGCACGACAAACCCCTTGCCTGTTAGGGAACAAGGAGTTGGGTTTCTTCGGACAGAACAAAGGCGCTGACCTGGGCAATGAGGGCTTGCAGCACAGAAAGCTGTCCGTTGTCAGAGATCCACACGATGCGAAGCGAATGATACTTCAAGCGGGACAGGCTCACGGAGTGCGCCTAGGTGATGAGTTTGTTGTTTGCGTGTCACAATCTAACCCCGCTAGTTTCAAAGATGGCTCAACAAGTCAGGTTATCTTGTCTGTTGTTGAGACATATGCGGTCACCTCTATCCTGAAACCAAAGCATCCCGATTGCACAGAAAGTGACCTGTTCCAGAAAAGAAGTGGAGATTCCAGAATGACAGTGATGTCAAGCACGAGGCTCTGTCTGGAAGAATTCAGCGTGCTTCTTGATGCATCTTTGTCCAGAGAACTAGACCCATGGCACGAGGCATTATCATCGCACTTTCTAAAGCTTTACAAGACCGGTAGCGCAATTCCATATTGCTTCCACATTTCAATCACATGCGATGAGACGGAGAGGCCTCTTAAAATCCAGCTCATCGATAGCCACGGCCAAGAGTATATCAATATACCGCCCATGTTATATGATCGAACAAATATCAGCGATCTCGCCTCTATTGTTCAACATCTGGCCAAGCACCTTTTTGTCAAGAACCTGTCCTATCCTTTACCCTCGCTAGATAAGTCATGGTACACCTGGCGGGAGTCTTTCGACGTATTCATAATGGCGAAAAACAGCAGTGTTCGGTACGAGCCGGGGCAGAGCATAGAGGTTGAAGAGGACCCAAGGAGCAAGCGACCAGCAATCGATATTCGACTCCGAAATAACGGATCTAGTGATCTCTTCGTCTACATCTACAATGTCGGCCCTCAATGGGAAGTAGAACACATCCATCACGCCACCTTTGAGATTCTCTTTTCTGAGTCGAAACGGGTTGCAAACGGCGGGTTCCAGAGATGTATGAGCAAGAAGCTACGGACGACAGTGCCAGATGCGATCCGGAAGAGTGGCCAGCAGTTTTGCGATGATACCATCAAGGTCATCGTAACCTCTCATTGGACGAGCTTCGACATCTTTGAGCAACCGGCCCTCTATGTCCTCCAGGAGCGTAGATCTCAGTCGCACGGTGAACGGTCCGTGAATCTTGGTCATGAGAAGTGGGCTGCGTTTGACTTTCCGGTCCGGACAAAGATCACGGTTGATGGAGGGACTGCATAAGTTGGCACTTGAAAAGTTCAGGCTTAGAAAATATGATTTTCGCTTGCAGTGATAATGATAAGTTAAACAGGTTTCTAAAGTAGCGTATAAGAAAATCTAAACATAAACGTTCGTCACGGCGGCTCTATTTTGGCATAGTAGTACTTCGGGCGAGTTTATGATCGGTAACAAAGCAATGGGCACCGGCGTCGACGCACTCTGGACATATATCGAAGTCTCCGCTGTTGCAAAGCGAGCAGTGCCAATACATGCCTTGCCGGGTGGGTAGAGTACAGACATCACAAGCTTGGTAAGTTGGCCCATATTCAGTCGTGCCCCTTCTACTGGAATTTGGTGCCATTTCACATTTGTCTTCTTCCACTATCCCTTTCAATCTGGTGCTCTGAAGGATGTTGTCGGCAGCCTCAGTGTGGCTTTCTCGCCTAGCCCAGCACAAGGCGGTACGACCAAAGCAGTCTTTCATGTCTAGAGCAATTTCACATTCCAGTAGATGCTCGACAACAGACCTGTGCCCATGCCGAGCGGCCATAGATAGAGGTGTAGAGCCAAATCGGTCTGCTACATCAATCCCCAGTCTCTTGTGGCTTAGAAGCTCCATGGCCGCTGACTTGTGGCCGGCAATACAAGCATTGTGCAACGGTGTTCGACCTGCTGCATCTCTCGCCGATAAATCACATCCGTGTTGTATCAAGGCCCTTGTGATGGGGATGTTCCCATTCCACGCCGCGGCATGTAGTGGCGTGTAGCCTCTACTGGTTCTCCGTTTGGCGTCGGCCCCCTTACATAAGAGAAGCTGCATAGTTTCGTGATGCTGGAAGAGTACTGACAAAAATAGGCTACTGCATTCCTCAGCTACAGTGGCATTGATATCTGCTCCATTATCGAGAAGGATACATGCGATCGCTGCGTGTCCATAACTCGCAGCGACGTTGAGAGGAAAATTGTCACGCTCATCGCGCAAGTTGACATCAGCGCCCCAAGAGACGAGAAGCTTGGCGAAATCCAAATGACCTGCATATGCTGCAACATGAAGAGGATGCCCGATACTGATATCGGCACCATGTGCATGTAGCAGTCGAGCCAGCTCCAAGTCCCCTTGAGAGGACGCAATATAGAATGCAGTTTCAACCCTGTCTATTATCGCGTTGACATTAGCGCCTTTCTCGAGCAATAGTCGCACCATGTCTATCTGCCCGGATCTCGATGCGATGTGCAATGGTGTTTCCCGTGTCTCCGCTTTCCTTGCCTCGATATTGCCTCCGTACTGGATCAGTACGTTAGCCGTAGCCGTGTATGCTGTCGATGCAACATACTGGATTGCAGGTGAAATCAACTGGGCATTCTGATGAAGGTTCGATACAGCCTCGATGAGCAGCTGAACAGTATCAGTATGGCCTCGAATCGCTGCACGGGCGATCGCTCGGGAATACTCAGGCGATTCAGAATCTATCTCGGCCACTCTTCCGAGAATCTTGCGGAGATAGTCGTTGTGACCATGGTCCGAAGCTGCGTTCAGTGCGAACATGTCCGGGTCTTCTATCCGAAACTTTACCACCCGTTCCAGGGTTTCGCTGCTCTCAGCCTGTGTAAGTGGGCCTTGATTATCTGCGTCATGCAAAAAAGCGATCGAAGGAGGCCCAAGTAGCCATGACTCAAAGTCGGCTCTTGATCCCTTCAGAGAGTACAGAATGAGATGACCGTCGTGGAGGGTTTTCAAAAGATATTCGTAGTCCGGATGACTCGCGTGAATAATTCCCATGGCCTGTCTTACCATATCAAGACACTTCTCCATCATTTCGTTCTGGTCGGTGGCATGGTGAATTTCTGCGTACACAATTGCAATGTCGGAAAGCAGCTGAAGCCGGCCTGGAGACGTTTCCGTTGTCAAACTTAGTTTGGTGAGAAGATTTGGGAGCGACTCATCGAGGTATGCAACGTCCCCTTCTTTCCGGAATGCCCCCATAAGCAATACGCCTAGGGAATGGTGTTTAAGGCCCTTTTTCGGGTCATCGTTATGGCTCATGGCAGCTGAGATCCTCCTAGATCGTATAACGCTATGGAGGTCTTCAGAGCTTTTTGATATGTCATACTTGAGTTTATACAGGTCCGCAAGAAGTTCTTGATAGAACGACATATCTTCTTTATCATCATCCCCTATCATTTGTAAAAGCCCCTGCAGACTTTCAACAGCAGCGTCGAGGTCGGACAGGTCACCGTCCAAGCACTTGGTGTAATAGAGATGGCATAGTGCTTTTCGCATGGATATTGTATCCTCGCCGTATGGAGTAACTGAAGAGAGGAGTGCTCGGGCGTTTTGAATTGCAAGATTGAGATCAGCACCCTGCGCTGTTTGCTGGTACCTTCTCATGTATGCGTTCGTCAAGAACCGGTGAAACTTTGGCCGGTCGTCGTGACGCTTGGGTATTAACTTTAGAGCATTCTCGATATACTGAATGGGTTGAACGAGGCTCTCCTCCTCTCGTGTTTCTTCGTGTTTATCCACGTAGGCGTTGGCCAGATGCATTGTGAACCTCGGCAATTCAGGGTCGGCGTCACCATGGTACGCGACCGCTTCGTGATATTTCTTAATGGCCGCTTCAACGTCCGTGATGGCTCCATGACTATAGAATCTCATATGGAAAGCCTTTGCAAGGAGGAAAAGGAGGGAGGCGCGGGAGGAATGATCAAGTTGTCCATCTTCGAGGGCCTCCTCAAGTTGTTCGATGGCAACTGTCTGTGGAAGGGTCATGACTGCGGAGCGATCTTGCTAGGATTATTGCCTGCTGGATATGTCTAGATAATATAGCACAGGAAATTGAATTTGTGCGTGTGGAGTAATGTAAGATGCTTGCCGTTGGTCGGCCAAGTTGGAGTAGCAAGAATCTGCTGGGCCACAGAGCTGCGTCTTACCTCTGCTACGATCTGAGAATGACACGTGATGTCATCAACCTTCAGCTTTCCATCTGATTGGCCTTGGCTTTGGTCGAATGCTGCCTAAAGCCCTCAGTCGTGCTGCCTTACGTTTAATGTATCTAGACTACGTCCGCGTCTGTCTCCTGTTTCAGAAACGGACGGTAACGACAATCCAGACAATTGAGCAATAGCTCTCCAGGCCTCTTTTATAACCGTGGCCGGAAATGGAAGACCCTCAAAAGAGTGCAGAGGCCAAGCCAGATAGAGCCGATGACCATCTATCAACGACCCGCGCTGCGACGGTGGCCCAGCTTCAAAGGCTGCTAGAATACGCATGCGAGCATGATGAACACCCATATATAAGCCTACGACCAGCTTTATCCAGCATAAGAGCTTATGCCAAGGTTCTAAACAACACCCGGGCTATCGACAAAGCAATGAATGTGCGTCGCAAAGCTCTGGACAAGCTGGCAACTGACGACGACACGGGAGTGTTTATTCTAAGCGATCTTGCGGAGGACTTTCTGGCCAAATTCGAGGTTTCCAAATTGAAGACAGATATCGACTCATGTCTCTATCTGTTCCAAGGCGCGGCCTCCAGCAACTTGCTACCTGACGAGCACTGTTGCCACGCCATCTACAACATCGGCACCGCGCTGGCGGCAAGATACCATGCCTTCAGCGCCTTGCCGGACCTAGACCTGGCAATTGAAAAATTCAAGCAGGCGCTGGCATTAGCACCGGAAGACGGGACAGGCCGGATCTTACAGCTCCGAGCGCTTGGTGTCGCTTATACTGATAGATATGCACAGACTCGCACACAAGAGGACTACCAGGGCGCACAACAAACCTTGCAGACCATCATTGACATGGGTCCGTCGAGCGAGGAGCTTCAAGCTCGAGTTTTATTTACTCTCTCTAGCCTTCACTTTTGCGATTTTTTATTTTCAGTTACTGCAAGGCGCCAGGAGGCCCCCATCGACACCAGACTCATGGAGAATGATTCTGCTGCGCATGGCCGGAGCCATGTAGAAAGGCGAAAGGATTACCAGCTGCTTAAAATTGATGAGATGATCAGGCTTATGCAAGCATCCCTCCAAAAACCCTCAGCTAAGGACTGGAAGCTCGAACGGCTAAGCCTGCTCTCAGTCGCGTACCTGTATAGGTACAAATTGAGTGGCACAGAGATCGACCGGAAGACATCATACGGGATTGCTCAAAACGCCTTGGCAATGACAATAGAAGGCAACCTAGACCACTTGCAATTACACGCAGACCTTGCGAGTAGACACAGCCATGCTTATAGAATAACTGGTCATGTGGATCATTTACAGGCCAGTATCGAAAACATCGAGCGCATAATCGAAGCGAGCAACTTGATACAAGCGAAATGGTTTCTTGAACTGGGCGAGTTATACATTATGAAGTACGACCGGTTGGGCTGTCCAACGGATCATGAAACAGGACACTCACTCTTGCAACAAGGTCTGAGCAGGGCCACTTCAAGTAGCGTTCGACGTAAACTGCTAGTTGCCCTTGGTCGGCTTGTTTACCTACAACGATTCGCCACGGGTGGAGCCTCCGCAGACATTGAGGCTGCTATAGAAATGTTTGAAGAAGCGCTTCAAATATCTTCTGAGACTGATGGTACTGGGCTGGGGCTCCTTGTTGGGCTTGGTTCGGCATATATCTCTCGATACACTCGAACAAAATCGCCCCAAGACCTCCACACTGGTATGGATAAGCTCGAGATTGCACGCAAATTGGCATCAGGGGCGAATCTACTCATAGCCGAGTTGTTATCTCACCTTGCACATGCACATTTGCTCTTGTACAAGGAAGGGAAGGACCTCGGGCCTATCAACAGAGCAATCGAGCTGGAAGAAGATGCACTCGTCGTCGGGAGTCTAGACGTAATACATAAATGGGGACATCTAGAGCGCCTTTCCGACTATTACCTGGTGAGATATGAGCATACACAGGACCAATCAGACCTCCAGGCAGCCTTGAGTCGGATCAAGGAGGTTGCCGAACAGATTCCAGATGATCATCCAGGCAGAGCGTGGTTATTTCAGAAGTATACAGCATTGCGTAGCATGTTTGGCGGGGAAGAGATCGGAGACACCGGAACCGACTCCTTATCTCTACTAGAGGAAGTACTTAATCATGGTCCCTCTCCTCCATTGCAGCGCATTTTGGCTGGGAGACGTCTTGCAGCGAAATACATAGCGGATGGTGCATGGAAGTTGGCATATGGAGCACTGGAACGAACCATGGCACTGGTTCCCTTGCTCACACCAGACTTTCTTCGCAACCACGACAAGAAATCAGTAATCGACCCCATTGCAGGCCTAGCCACTGATGCTGCCGTCGTCGCGTTGCGAGCTGGCAGATCCCCATACGAAGCCATCAATCTGATTGAACTTGGACGCGGAATTATACAGTCATCACTGACTTCCATGAGAACCGACATCTCTAAGCTCGAAGAAGCACACCCTAAACTGGCCCAAACCTTTGTTCGCTACCGCGACCTGTTAGACACGCCTTGGCTACCACAGGAACCACCTTCTCATGCTGATTCTATACCATTGGCACCAGGTCAACACCCTGATGTACGATATGCCGCTCACCGGGAACTGCAGAGAACGATACAGGAGATCCGCAATTTGGGAGGATTCGAAAGATTTGGTCTTGGGCCGACTGAGAGCGAGATCAAAGCTGCAGCGGCCTCCGGCCCAATAGTGATGATCAATGTAAGTGCAAGCGGCAAAGCATTCATCATGGAGGTAGATAAAATTCAGATGCTCTGGTTGCCTCTACTCTCTGAAGAGGCAATACACGAGTACGAGGTAAAGATGCGTTCCGGACAAATCCATGCCACGCTGGAATGGCTGTGGAGAGTTATTGTAAAGCCAGTCCTCAGAGTGCTCGGTTATGACGATAAGCCAGCCGATACTTGGCCTCGAATTTGTTGGATCCCTACAGGGGAATTGATAAAATTCCCACTCCATGCGGCCGGGCTTCACCTACAGGGCCAGTCGCAGAGTTTGCTGGACAGAGCAGTCTCAACGTACAGCTCATCGCTCCGCGCAGTCGTCGACGCCCGCCGAAATGGTCAGAAGTCTGAGCCTTCCCAAAGTACTTCAACGGCAGCATTGGTTGGAGTTGAGACGACTCTCGCCGCTGTCCGGTCCGAGATGGACGGAGTCTCGCGCATCTGCCGGTCCATGGGGATGCAAGTTCTGCGGCCTGAGCCCTTTCAACGCGACGTCATGGCTGCACTGAACAGCTGTGATATGTTCCATTTCGCTGGTCACGGCAGGACTGATCGGGACGACCCGCTGCGGAGTGGCTTGATGCTGATTGACGGTTGCTTGACACTTGATACACTATTTCAAACGAACCTCAGTAGCAGAAAGCCATTTCTTGCCTTTCTTTCGGCCTGCGGAACAGGTCAGGTAACCCACCACAGCCTTGTGGACGAGGGACTACATCTCATAGCTGCATGCCAAGTAGCCGGATTTCGCATGGTTATCGGCACGCTGTGGAAGGTGCGCGACTCAGTGTGTCTCGATCTGGCTCTCCGCCTGTATGAATGGGTAAGTGCAAATGGCCTCAGTGCAGAAAGTGTGGCTGAAGGCTTCCATAATATATGTAGGAGCCTCCGCGCCGAATGGGTCACTAAAGAGCAGAGATCGATCAAGCACAGAAATTCATCAGGGCGGCCGTTTTCATCAGATGTGGAGGACGATGATGAGCATGACATGGAGGAAGGAGAGAAACAAGACCTAGCAACACTCGACTGGACCCCCTTTGTATTATATGGAAGTTAATCGGAAGAAACAAGAGGCCTTCTAACAGATACTATCTCCGGTGAAATACAGCAAATAATTTTATAGTTCGAACCCCTTAGCTAAAAAATCATCGAAACCAAACAACACAAGAATGTCCAGCCTAACAGGGGCCACCACCGCTTCAGTGGCCTATCCAAATACAACCTATAAGCCCCATGCATCTATTGCAGCTGGCAATTGTGGGGAAAGTTGTTCCTTATCGTTGTGCTGCGAACTCTCTTAGCACCGATGCCGCAGAACTTGAGATTCTTCGTGTAGTACACGCGAATATATTCGGGGTTGCTATAGCTCTTTTTGTTTGTGAAATGATATGGCTTGCCGTTCGGAAGCAGGGGCAACTCCCAGATATCTCTAGAGCATCCTTTAGGGAACTTCATGATGTTTCCATTGTTGTTAAACTTCTTGGGGTAGCCACTGCGGCCTTTTTTGGTCTTGGCCTCGCGAATGTAGCCAATGGCTCTGTCCTGGCTTACTGTTCCGTAGAGAGTGCCGTTGTTGTAGTCACCAGCTCTACAGATGTATTTCTAAATTTATAAAAGGTCAACTCTGTACACATGTCTTCATAGTAATGCTTAGTATATGAAGGTGTAGAATCATCTAGACCTGGCCAGAGCGCACTTGAAGAGACGATAAAGTAGAAGCTTTCCCTTTATGGTGAGAAACGGAACTGGCGAGAGCAATATATATGCTTAGAAGGGCGTAGAGCGCCATGGTATTGATGAGCATGATTACTGATGACAAGTTGTAACAGAAGAATGTGAATGGCAAAGTGCAAAGTGAGCTGGAAGGGGTCAATTGATAAGGCTGTAAAGTAGGTAAGTTCAGTCAATATAGCTAATATAAGTATCAGCCTTTTTTCTTATTCTACTGAGAATTGACACTTCTTATACATTATGTTCTATGGAACGTTGGACAGCCCAAATTCCAGATGTTACCTCAACGTAGCCCCAAAGAAGCGGTTCCGACGACTGAAGGATTCACATGAAAAATCATTGAGTTGGTTTCTAAAAAGCGTGTGTTCAAGGGAGAAAAATAAGCCGTTGTCATCGCATTGTCCCTATTTCTATTTGACGCTACCATGGGATCACGTGTACCCCGGGTGCAATTACCAAGCCCCAATATGATGGTTACTTTCTTACGGGGAGGAGCTGTGTAGAACCTCGCACTGGTTCATAGGGATCATTCTAGAGGATAAGCTCGGGAATTGACTTGCGTTTGAGGAAATGCCCTCCAAAAATCCCCGACAACTTTCCCTAAAGATTCACCTCTCTGAGCCATGTGAGATTATTGAATACATATTTAGACTCTTGGAGAGAATCGCCTGCCTGTCGGATAGTTACGATCCATATGCCATCTTCCGTCTAATGAAGAAAACTGCCGTGTCCCTCGCCATCTTTTTTTCGTGGTAAGAGTTGATCTTTAGCAGAAAGAAGCATGAGCGGCGAAGGAGGCTGATCGCATCATCCGTGAGCACAACAGAGAACACTGAGTCGGAGCTAATTTCAGATCGTGCCATTCATGTGCGGACGGCATCATAGGTTATTTGAACTGTTGTACCAGGTCGCAACTAGAGATTCCACCACAGTGTTGATAAGGTATAATAATAGATTAGTATGCAGGTCTTTGTTACTGCCACCAACTCTTCATGGTTCTACAACAGCTCTCTCTGTTGAATATTAATTGATTTGAGCACGACAGAACAAACCGGCATCATGTCCGCGGTTACTCTCATGTTCCATCCTAAGGCTGCGCCACCTTATGCAGACACTGCCATCCCCATTCTGAACTGAACCTCTGTGTTGGACAGCTCAACACTCTCTGATGTCGCCATGTCCATAGATGCATTCTATAGTACCGAACATCATGAGTTCGGTGCGATCAGGGGGGTGACTGTGGGCGTTATGGGGTTTGATTGATGACCTTACATAAGAACTAGCTACCCTCATATCATCCTCTACCCAGCGTTTATGAACGGTTTCTATTACTTTGATGTGTCCCATCTAATCGACATAGACTGGAAAGCAGAAAATAGGGAAAGGCTATTATCAGACCAAGAGTTCTGCTCAGCCACGCCGATGATAGAAATTTTCCCACGCCGCTCGTGTATATTGCGTTGAGCAAATCGCACAGTCGCCGCAGCCACGGCATCCTGGGGATGTCCATTCCCCCGTGAAAGGATGTACTACCCAGGATGGATCTCTTTCTCCCAGCAACCCCGTCTTCATGTCGTACTTGTCAGGAATAGTCACAAATTCGAGCATATGGTCCGGCTTTGGGCGGTTGGCAACAGTGTGAATCTGGACCCCCCGATTTCGCCCCTCCTCCATCGCCTTCTGAAACAACACTTTTTCTCGTGGGGTAGTTCCGTCTTCCTCGATTGGGTTGAGATAGACGGCTTTCAGCCTTCCGAAACGGCCAGATCTCATCATTGCAACAATGGCGTCGTCGATCGTCTCGTATTCCTCGTACTCACCTCTTCTAAACCATTCTTCACCCTCTTCATATGTTTCCTGTCCCCAGATCACTAGGACTTCCAGAGAAGTTGGGAGCAGCCGAACGAAAGCGTCAACTAGCTCGTCATGATTTATGAAATCGTCGTTGGTGCAGTGTGGAAGTGAAACATCATCATTGCCCATACCCTGTACACTTCCCTCCTCATCTGATTGCTTATTCCTGGCTTCTCCAAGGGCCTCATTGATAATGTCCTGAATGCACAAGCTTACTAGACCGAGGTTGTCTAGCCCCTGCAAGAGCCCAGGTTCATACGACCTGCTATCGCGACCGTTTATGTAATCTGGCCTGTAGAAGGTGAATCTGCGAAGGGACTGGCAAGAGGGAGAGTCGCCTAGATGTACGAGAATCATGTCGCCATCCATTGGCTCGTCCGCAGTCTCTAGATGTCCACGGATTACTAAAGCCTCAAGAGCGTTCGGAGCCATGAGTAGCGCTTCCCTGAAAACCCACGAGTCGTCTTTAATTCTATCGAGAATGATCCTTTTCACGGAAGAACAGGCACCTGGCAGTTGAAAGCGGTCCTGTACATCATCGACGTCTTCGAAATCACCATCGAGACGCATATCCAGATTCCGAAAGTAGACCTCTTCGATATTCGGTAGGCGGAGTAATATGGCTAGATGATTTGCACGCGCGGTTGCTCCATTGGAGTCTCTTAGATTTCGAGTAACCACTCCGACTGCCACACTCCGAAGAGAGATGAATCCAATCGGCCATGGAATCGAAGCTGTGAGGCTACGAGAAGCGGCCTTCCGCATCCACTCAAGACTTGTATGACGGTCCCGTTCCCTTTCAGCGAATCGAAGGGCTGTTAGGCGGGGTAAGCTGGATATGATGAGCATCTTCACGAATCCGTCACCGCCATTTTCGATCTCGTTCCGAGCCAAGTCATGGTCCTCCGTGTCCGTGAATGTGAACTCTCGCAGATACATATTGGCCAGCGTTTTGACACGCTCAGGTTCAATTGCCGGATTACCGCCGCTCTCCATTGAGATCGCCCCGTCTGAATCGACACGCCACTGTTGCCAGTCATCCCAGGATGCCCTGCTTCCCCAGACCTCATATTCGCGCACATGCCAGGCTTCGATAGCTTCCACGCCAGTAACGTGCGACAAACTGTTCAAGAGCTTAACGGTTTCCGAGGGCTCACGGTCTGAAGCAATGCGGTCGTTCTTGTATGCTGCAGCGTGGCGACGTAGAATGTGCGCCGACGAGTAATAAATGAACCTGCATGTCCTCGCGAGATTATAGTGCCAGGAAGGCTCCAGGAAATGGTAGATGTTGTGAATGAGCTCTGGACTCAATACTTCCATGGCGAGCGCAGATGGCTATACTCTGATGTTGATAAAGGGCGAGCCTGTGTTCTGAGTGAGGCTTGTAATAGTGATGGATGCAGGAAGAAAAGGACAACGAACCAAAGACAGACAGACAGTGTAGGCGCCAGAATATCGTGCTGACTGTGTCCAGTCCCCACGGCAGTCTGACGCACAGTCAGCCATGGGTTTCGTTACTTGTAGGATCTCAACCCAGCCGTTCGCTGAGGGAATACTGAGCATGGAGTGCTCTACCGCCCTTGAAAATACAACAGTACTTATCATCTATTCAAATGTCTTGAGACTTAGTTTGAACATTCCTCTTAATTATTTGACATCGAATATAGCTCTGCAAAAGCATGAGCTAAAAGCAAGGCCGATGCTGGACTGGGACCAAAGTGTTGACATTCTGCTTGCACAAATTGGGCTGGCAATTCATAAAGAAAAGAAAATTCAGGTTTTATACTAGGTAGCTAGATTTATCTTGTATCAAAATTTCTTACGTTAAACACACAAAGATGTCGCAGCCTAGGGTGTCTGCAATAACTAGAACAAAGCAGCTTCAGGCCTCATCAGTCGGGTAGCCCATCAGTTTCCTGATCGCAGCTCTGCCGTTTGGTTGGAGATCACGCGAGCCTATTCCAGCCCAGATACCCTTCGGGCGAGGCGGGCTCTCAATTCTGTCCCAGCCTTGCCCGTTGAACTGAAACCAACCGTCCTTCAGCTGGTCGAACAGATACAGATTCCGGTTCTCGGGGTGTAATTGAGCAAACATTGTCGTCGCCCACGCTGTTCCACCTGGGGGCGCATCTTCTCTTATGACAGTAACGGCGTAGCAGGCCTCGCTCCATGCAACCTGGTAGTAATTGCGCTGTAATAAATACGACACGGTTCGGCGCCGCGGAGGGACCTTGCCGAGAGCGACAGCTGCATTGCTAAGGGCCTCATTTGCGATATTTAGTTGCTCATCGTCGAGCCGAACGATTTGGTCCTCGGGGGCCTGGCTTTGATGTCCGGCAAAACTCCAATGAATGACCGTGTGTCCTATCGAGGCGGCACATGATCCCCATTCTATGTCAGCGCCGTCGGCACCGCCTGATAGGCAAACATCTTCCAAGCCTTGGAGACGTTCCATTGTGTTCCGAAGATTCGCCAAGTGGTGTTGTTGATGACAAGTAAGCTGTGGGCTCATCTGCCAACACAGATGTTCAAGTGAGCAATGCGATGAGTCATCAGCAAAAGATCATCAGCAAAGGCTGATGCTGGCACCATCCACATCGATCGTCTTCATGGGCGATGAACTTCATAGCTGGTGAGGTGAAAGATCTCGATCTGTTTACAAGGCGCTCCTAATTTTGGATTGATCCCAAGGTTTTGTTAAGTCTCCCTACCATGACGAAGATTTGGTTGAAAGAACGTTAAGTCGAAGCAATGATATGACAATTAAGTCATTAGGCAAAAGAAAACCCTTGCCTGGCTTTCTCAGGTTCACCCTGTATATCGTCACAAATTGAGATATCTGGTGCCAAGGTGCCCACTCTTGGACCTTCAACAACGCATTGCATTGTTCCAAGAGACGGGGCATCTCCGCTCCGATGCCCACGCCTTACTCTTGACGCCTTATGTTACGCCCTACTTCACGCCCTACAGCCGAGTTGCGCCCTTCTACATGGTGGCTTGTGTGAATGGGCGTGATTGACTCCAATAGTCTTTTAGGTCCAGGAGATCAGCGAAACTTTCTAGAATTCGGCAACAATAAAGGGACTAATGGGTGCCACGCCACATGAGGAGTTGCCGAGGTCGGACATCATGGCTGGGAACGTTGAGAGCGAATGGGTCGAACTCGTTGCAGAGTCATAGAAATAACATTGAGCGATTGTAGAGCCACAGAAAGAAAACGAAAGTCACTGATTTCCTTTCATTATGTATTTAATGCTTATTAAGATAGAGTGACAACAAAAATAATGATATCGATTAACTTAATAGTCGCGCAACCCCCAAAGTTTGGGAGAGTGAAGTTCAAGGAAGTGGCCCCAGGTTGATCGCTAGGTAGTCTAAGCATGTAACGTACATTGCCTCTGGTGTATTTCAAATTTTACAATTTTGTTTATCAATCTATTTATTGCCCTCAACATTTACAGATATTCCGTTGCCAGCTCAGAATCTCCCTGTCGCTCCATGACCTGTCGCACAAGACTATCATTTATGGGAGTTGGTATTCCGACCTCTCTTCCTCTCCGGCACCAGTACCCATTAATAAACTTGATCTCAGTCTTTCGTCCTTGCCTTAGATCAACGACCATGGAACAGGTAGTTTCCGCCGTTTTTGTCAGAATGGCGTTCACTGTTGACTCCAATTTCTCTATCGCAAATCGACTGGAGACACCTTCCAGGCCTTGAAGTTCCGGAAGTGCTTGTATCACGGCTGAAATTTCGGTGAGCAGGGCTTTGCGTACTTCCGGAACGGTGAACAAGAATTTGTTCTTGGCGTTATTGAGCGCGCAAAGGGGATTGCAGAATGCATTGACGCTCAGCTTCTCTAACTGCATCTGCAATGCTTCCAGGAAGGAATATGCAGTAGCATTAAATCTAGGAACAAGAGGTAGGGCTTCCAAAAGATATGATGCTGCGGCTCCCTTCTCACTGTTGTTTCGTGTAGATTCTGATCTAGGCACAGGTCCTAGAGATGTTGCCGCGAACCCGGTATGTGTGATGTTAAAAGGGGAGTTAAGAGTGACGCCATGCGAAATGACCCCCGTTATGTAACTTGGACGGGTCTGAGGATCTGGGAAAATCTTTTCGCTGACTTCTTCCATCATACCAGATCCGTTCTGCAGAAATAGTATGTGAGAGGAAGCATCTAATCGATGCTTCAACGGTTGTAGGGCGGCAACTGTTTGCGCCCCCTTGACTGAGACAACGAGGTGGTCAATGATATCCTCACGAACGGTAGATGCCACACTGTCTGGCTTTGATGTGGAAGGTACACTGTGCCATTTTCCGCCTTGGAGAAACTCCAGCTTGAAGCTGGAATGTTCAATTATTTCTCCATCCCTCGTCTCCAATGTGATTCTGCTACCATTCTTGGTATATTGGCCAACGAGAGACGATCGATGGAGAAGCAAAGTTACTGATGGAGTAAGGGGATATGGAACTTCGGCGAGTGAATGAGCTGCAAACGATCCAATGCTTCCAAGTCCCAGGACATGAACACGAGGCGGCCTCGGCTGAATTGTGGTCATGATTTTCCTGGAGGTTGGCTTTAAAGGTGCCGCATATACACGCCGGGTACAACCCCAAGAAAGAGACGATGATCGTAATATTGGAAGCATCGGAAATCAAACGAGAAAATTCAATGGCTAGAAATTTATGCGTCATAGTACCACCGAGGTTTACAAAATATTTAAGACCAAGCAATTGGTCCCCTTAGGCCCCGTCAGAACAAATTCGCTCTTGCCTTCAGCAGCGCGTGATCTGTATAAACCCCACTGGGAATGAAATTCTTTCTCTTCGGCCCCGATATATCTGCATATTTTACAACAGTCTTGCAATCTAAAACTGCGGCTCGAGTGGCAAGAGCATGCTCTAGGGCGTCGTAGGGCGCTGCTCTGCTCGGCCGCCCGCTGCTGTTCCACCCAGTGGATTCATGGCTTATATCCAATAAGAAGCGCAGAATTTTTCTCCGTTGTAGGGCGTGATCGTAGGGCGTAGGGCGGCGGGGGTGAGCAGAAAAGCGTGCGCCGCGTCCGGAGGCAGACCGGATCGGTTTTTAGTCTTGGAGAGGCGGGAACAAGCTTTTGGGACGAAGCCTTCTTTATGCTTCCAGATGACGAGAATCCTGTCAAGTTCTCGTCTGTAAGTATTATTTATATTCCAAATCATGGATTAATTATACTCGATAAACTAAAAAGAAACCGAAATGTGAGGTTTAAGAAGAGCCCAAGCCACCATACGAATCCAGGTCTGTGCAAATTACTTGTGAGAGCTGACATATTCAAGTTCACTCTTCACCTCGGCCATCAGGTGAGCCACCTAAATGCCGGTTGCGAAACTTATCGAGCCAGACATCGTTGTCCGCAATGGTTTGGTCCCACGGGTCCACGGAGTCAAAAACCAGGCTTCTTGCCTCATTCTGGAACATCCTGTCGGTGGGCATTATCCCGAGTCTTATTTGCTTCCGGGCGAAACGAGCGAGGTGTACTGCAAGGATGTCAGGAAACATCATCGAGTCGGTATTCTCCTCTATAGGATCGTCGGGTTCAGGGGGTGCTGTTCCGCATTCCGGAGACTGCTGGCTTGACACTTCTACCCGCCGCCAGTTGTCAAGGCACTGTTCACTTGCACCTCGAATTTGAGACAGGTGATCCTTGTGACTTGTGACTGAGAACGGGAGAGGCGCCCTTGACTCTGAACCAATTAGATAGGGAGCGATCGCATGGCGTACTTGAGGCGCAATGGAAGGGTCGAAGTCATGCTCTCCTTTCCATTGGTCCATGGCTGCGCCCGATTTAAAATGTCTGGCGAGATGTTCAACGCGTGCTTCCCATGTTTTCATCCTAATATTGCAGAATCCACATCTGGAGGCCACTGGAGGGCCTTCTTCCTTACATGAATCAATGTTGCTCGGGTTTTTCACCTGGTGAACATGCCTGAGATGTTGAACAAGATGGTCTTTACGGATGAATCTGGGAGGCTTCCCATCCACGTGGCAGCTACCATGGCTGTGGTCCAAGTTCAGATGTTCATCCGTTGGGCTAGGAACACCGCAGTATGAGCACTTGACCTCTCCTGTCACCAGTGAGATTATAGTCCCTGTAGAGGAAAAGCATTTCCAGCTATCAAGGTTCAGATGGAGAGACTTCTCGTGTCTCGACCAGTCATATTTGCTCTTGAAAGAGTCGCAGCAGAAAGTGCAATGGAAGTTCCTCTGATCCTTTTTGTTTCCTTGGCTCGCCGCCATTCTTGGCGCTCGCGTCCGCTTCGATACTCGGGACCTCACTCGGTCACCGTCTGGTTGCGCTCGCAGCAGCGCCGAGCCCGCAGACGAGTTCGAACCGCCCGTGGAGCGGCTGGTCGCGCTGCCGTGGCTAGTGATCGATCCAGGATGACTACCTGCCTTTTGGCTACGCAAGCTCCCAGCGGAATAGCGGCTCTTTAATGGCATATCCTTTAGGGCATTTGCAATATCTGATAACGATGCTGCCTCCGTTTCTGGGGGAGAATCTCTCCATCGCTGCAGCGGGTTCGATGTCCCTTGTGTTGAATTCGTCGCATTTGGAATTTCTATTGGTGTCGAGATACCTGATTGATAAACCCCGTTACTGAAGTACCGGCTCCTGCGCCGAGGAAGTCCTCGGTGTTGAGTCTCCAAGACTGGTGGGAGACGGTCTTGATACAAAGGCGGTAGAAGAGGCGGGGATTCCCATGACGTATTTGGTGTTTGCATGTTCATGTGTCCTCGCCCAGGTATGCTCTGTAGATCCGGGCCGGGAAAGGATGTGAACGAGCTGGCGCTGGGGTATGCTGATCCTAATGATCCAGATATTTCGTCATCGTTAACTCCTGGGCTTGAGAACCCAACCAGTTCCGGAGCGATGGGGGATGGCTGGGATGACAAAAAGTTGCTTTGCTCCCTGTCGTGGTGCGTATGTAGTCCGTGAATATTCTCTGTTGCCAATCCAAGTCGACGTAGGTCCAAGTCCGAGAATGTCAGAACTATTTTATTACTGTTAGCTTTGTTCAACGTGCCCAGGAACCGCAGGATGGATGTACTATCGCCCTCAACAAAATCCGAGGAATCAAATTGAGCTCCTTGCTGAGTGGTTGATATCTCATTGGGTTCTTCGGCCATTATGTCGGAGATAGAGCCGTAGCATGCGCGGCTTGAAATCTGGGCCTACAAAAATCTCAAGTTGCTTGAGATAAGAATGAGGCACATGGAATTAAGGTTTCAAGATTTTAGAGAAAGTTGTCCTGTGACGTGCCGCGATCGGAGTGGCTCCACCAAAGATTCCCAATCTTGCTGGGATTGATTCAAGGCTTCTAACGAAGGGCGTACACCAATAGTGGCACCGGTTGCATATTACAACCCTCTTACAGTATGTAGTCTCTAGAACACGCACTCTCTTAAAGATCAAAGTTATATTCACTAGAGGCTCCAGTCTTCCAAAATCGACCTATTCTCGACGTTGATGTTTCACGCGGGCTTGACTTCACTTTTGCTATCCGATTCTCAAGGATCCCAATTGCGATCTATAGCACTCGTAGTAATGTGCAGTTCATTCACAGTGAAGTTGAACATGGTGTCAAATGTAAGATTCTCATATGGGCTGCAATCTGAACCCGGCTTTGACTAAAATCATCAGTCTAGTAAATGCAGGTCACATTGGAGATCCCCAAATGATCTAGGCCATTCTATTCCAAAGCATTCAGGACAAGCTTCTGGTAGTCTTCGACAGCCAACTCCAAGTCTCCCACAGTAATGTTTTCATAGTCAGTGTGGGCTACGAAGATGGTTCCAGGGCCGTACAATATCTTGCTGTAGTTCCCCTCGACCTTGAAGCCTGGAATGTCGGTTCCATATTTCATCACTGCTGTCTCAAAGCCTATATTGCAGCTTGAATTAGCAAGGGGATACTTGTTTCTTAAGAAGGGAAAAGGGGTCCGGAGAAAGTTACCATCAACTTCACAATCCAGCTCCACAAGCCCATACCCTTCTGAACAATCAAGGCTCAGACCAGTCGAGTCAATTTCTTGGATAATGCTATCCAAGCGCCCCTTCACAATCTTCTGGCCCCCATCTTCTGGACCGAGGGCGACACGGATAGTCATGCCAGCCGACGCACTGGCAGCAATCACGTTGTTCACTTCTCCGCCCGCGAGTTTGCCAACATTCACCGTCGTGTTTCCAAACTCCTCACTTGTTCCCAAGTCCGCAAGCAGAATCTCATCCAACGCATGTATCAGAAACTGTGTGGCAGATTTGCCCACTTCAGGATATCCACTGTGTCCAGCGACCCCCTTGGCGTTCAAAGTGCAACCCAAGACGCCTTTGTGGCCGCAGGCTAGTTTGGTCTCAGTTGGCTCCCCGAAAATCACGGCGCTCAGATCAGTAGGATTCTCGATGAAGTAGTCGCTTAGAGCCTCAATCCCATCACCATAGGCTTCTTCCCCCACCACGAGACCAACAGCAATATCAGCTGGGCTCACCTTCCCCGCTTTGACGAGCTCGTCGACGGCGATGACGATTGCCGCAAGGCTACCTTTGGCATCCACACTTCCACGACCGCTGATAATTGTATCCGTTGTGACGGAACCCTCTTCAATAGCGTATCCAATGTGCGGGGGCACGGTATCAAAATGAGTGGTAAGAATAACCTTTGGGGAGAATTGGGTGATATTTCCCGCAGGCGAGGCCAGGACATTGATGCGAGTATCTCCCTCTGGAGTATTTGCAACAGGCGGGACTGCCTGGGTGGTCACTGACCAGCTCTTATTCTGGAAGTATTCATAGAGCCAACTTCCCAACTCAGCTTCAAGGCCAGAATTTGAGGGGATTTCGACAACATTTTTATGAAGCTCGAGGAGGGCGCTGCGATAGGAGGGGGTGTCGCATGTCGCAGCAGCCGCTAGAGCTATCAAGAGGAGGGCAGCTTGAGCATACATCATGTTTTTCGTGTACGACTATGCGAGGATACAGAGATTCCATCCAGTAGGACCTCATAGTCCATCTTGAGCAACAGGCTTGGACTAAATACCCGAGGATGTCTTATCAGCCATTTACCCTGGAAGACTGTACCCTGGAAAAACAAGCAAGTCAACACCGATCAGCGCAGTTCTGCATTAGCTGTGGTTCATTTTGACCCTCAATGCTACGCTGAAATGCAATTAGTATAGGCTCTTCTTTTCCTTGAGTGGATGATGAACAGCAGACCCAGAATTTACATCATCGCACCTAATAATGTCGACACTCATGTGGCCTCATCTATCGCCCCCCTTGCTCAGGGTCGTATTCGAATTTGAAAAAAGCACGCAAATACCCATGGAGAGATAACTGCTTCCTACTGGCATCGTATCTCTTACGGCATAACTTAGTCTTTGCAAAATAGTCAAACATCACAATCGGTTTTGAGGGTCATCACATCTTGGCACTTACTTTAGCATTTATACTCATATCTAATTTAGATTATGTATGCCTTCTTGGACTGGGATCCCGAGATTCGTGTCTTTCGCCGATCTCAAATTTCTCCACTTTAGGCTATCTACCAAGTCTACCCCGGCACGGAGAATTCCTCTTTGAGGGTTGCCTATCGTACGGCGGTGCGGTGCGGTGCGATGTTACTTCCTTACTAGACTCTTTGATCCTTATTCCTAACCCTGTTGAATCTATCTCTGGTTCGAGGCTAGATTTTTGTCAGCTGAGCTCGTCAGGCCTATTAAACGCGGCACCGCTGCTAAACGTAGCGTTGAGAAGACCTTTCACGTACATATATGAGTCGAAAGGCAACGAATTGTCCCGAATGGGTAGATTGGAGTAGCTACTATGCTGTTCTCCTCTTCTAGACAAAGGAAAAGAAATATGCCAATCTTCTTCTAGCAAATCCCCTAGCTCCCTCTTCACAAGCCGTGCTGTTTTGCAAGCTTCTCATCCACCGCAAACACCATCTTTCCCATCACATTCGTACCCGAAATGAGTTCTTCATGGACTTGAACCTCATCGGCCAAACGAACAACCTTAAAGACCTTGGGGATTAATTCCTTTGTCCTAACCTTTCTCAGAATTGCGTCAAAATCTTCCAGAAACACATCCTTCGATTTCAGGTAATGGTCCGCCATGACGCTGAAAAAGCTTGTCCTCGGCTGCTGCAGCCGCGCGCCAAGCAGGGCGTGAAGAGCCGAGGGGCTGCTCGCCATCCCGGTCCCATCAGCCTTGATCTCGTCCATGACTCCGATAACAATCACCTTCCCGGTGTCTTCTTTGGTCGCCTGGTAGCTCTGAAGAAGGCTCTGCTCGCTGCCCACGGCGTCGTACGCAACGTCGACTCCTTTCCCGTCGGTCAACGCCTTGACTTGAGCGACAAGATCAGGAGCGCGACGATCAACTGGAGTAACGCCCAGAGATCTGACGTAGTCGAATTTAGAAGCAGAGCATGTTCCAATCAACTTGAGGTTGAGGTTGAAGGCATTTGCGAGCTGTGCAACGGCAGTACCGATCCCTCCACTCACCGAACCGATCAGAACGCTTGATCCAGGTGGGAGGTCAACCCCGCTGCGCTTTAACATCCCCCAAGCCGTCATATAGTTTAACGGAAGTGCACAGACTAAGACTGGGTCATCAGTTGCCTCTATGGGAATGAGTTCTGTAACAGGCAGGATCGCGTGTGTGGCATGAGCTCCAACGACACACATGGAGGCAACACGATCGCCAACAGCCAGGCTAGTTTTGGACGCTGCCGAAGAACCAATGACCACGACTTCTCCGACAAGCTCGTAGCCCGGAGTAAAGCCAGGGTTAGCGGTGCGAGGGTCTGGGTAGCCCCCTGCCCGCTGAATATTGTCTGTGCCGGCGATGCCAGCCGCAATGATGCGTACTAGAACATCATCGGGAGAGATTTCAGTTGGAAGATCCCATGTCTCCCACTTCATGACAGATGGACCGCCAAACTCTGATACGATCCATCGCCCGGCCTTGTCCGGAGTCGGGCTGGTATTGAAGGACATGGCGGCTGCAACAAATAATTAGAGCAGAGGTAATCTTTAGGTACCTGAGCTTTGCAATTAGTGATGGAATTTTATTCGAGCCCATCCGAAAGTAAATGTTGTTCCTTGAGCCGTGGTGCTCTTGATATACCGATGAGAGTCCGTGGCAATTCCATGGCTAAGCACCACGGTTACTCCACGGCCTAAATTGATTACACTAGCCCCTTCTCCGACACATCCGACGGTTGATGTCATTCTGAGCTACAATATTTCTATATATTGCGTTTAATGATCTACCATTCTAACCTCTCCGATCTTGGGCTGTATGAGAGGCGTCAAGAACAGAACCAGAAGACACCGACTGGCTTGGCCAGAAGACAACTGCGTGGGAGAGCTTCAATATAATGAAATAAATGTTGTGAACGGCCCTATTTTCATGAGACTGTAAGGTACCTTCTTAGAAAGAAATGGCTGCTGCTAGACAAAGGGCTACAATCTCCTCTACGGCTTGAGTTGCAAGAACGTCATCTTTCTCCATCAATTTTTGAATGACGACAGTCTCATGGTGTGATGCCACGTTAGGAACATTTTAATTCATGTGCGCCGGTTCGAGACCTCTCCATTAGGTCTTGCATTGCTCACATTTTGGGATAGGCAGAGTTCGATGTTGTTTGACATGATGTTCAAGAATTTGAAATGGTCTGTGGAGGGCATCAAGAGTGGCCGTCAAGGATCAGGAAGAGGTCGGATGAGGAGAAAGAGAGGAGCAAAAATAGGAGCAAAATCCCGCTCAAGGGCGGGGTCAAAATCAATGCTGTGAGAGATAGCGGTGGCTACTTTGAACAATCCTACTATTTGAAAGGTACTTGAGTTAGGGGTACATTGGCCGAACGTACACAACCTCGACATTTCATAGGTACACTACTTTGACCAAACGACGTCCATCCCCAGCTAACACAGCCACTCAACTACAGAGTATCCTCCAGTAAGGTCCTCTGTCTCAGAGTCAGTAGGACTCTCGCGTAGGTTATTGCCAAATAACAACTACACGTATCGGCACGCCATGTATCAAAGACAGGATAAAGTACCGCTTTCTCCATTGTTTGATCATTCCCAACATCTAGCATTTGCCGAGGTGATGTATTAGATAGCGGTCTGCTGCCACCTATTATTTCGAGCCTGTCTCAAGGTCTCCATTCTCAGCATGCAAATGACTTAATACAGAGCGATCTGCCTGCTTATCCGGGTAGAAAAACATCTTTATAGCTGTACCTTTGCATTGTTAACCACGAACATGCATCTCGTAAAGTCCCATATGACTGCAACATAGCTTCAATGTTACCAAGCGCTGACCCGCCCCCAAATGTCTATCGCCAATTAGATTCTCGTCAGCCCACGCCACAGAATCCTTTTAACCGTAGGGCTATCTGTCTTCCACCTTATATTCGTTCCAATTAAGCCGTAGCATCCTCGCTTATTCTTACTAAGAGCTAAGGATTGTTACTTCAGATGCAGCAAAGGATTCGGAGTGGTGTGAATTGTGTTGAGATTGCACCATTCACCTGAACCATACTCACATTACTTGTTTGGCACTGCCAGGCAGTCTTACTTACTATTGGGGGCAATTTCATCAATATGTGACTTCCGACGTGCCTCGCTCCATCCGCCAAAGGTAATGGATGGAGGATGAGCTATCATTATCCTGATCTTATTTGGTAGGTGCTCCGCCCTACAACCCTCTTCAGCCATTAAAGGAGCTAAGTTTATCCCACACTGTATACTGTCACATTTGACTTTTTGCATTTAAAGAATCCTCACTGGATCCTGAAGCTTTATTGATCATGGGAATGGGGTAACCCTCGCCTGGATCAGAGGAACTTTGTGAGAATCCGCTTTAGAGAGAGCTGAGAAAAGCTCTAACTATACCTAGAAACATTTTTTGGAAGACCTTCAGACTGGTATCTTGTCAAGTCTAGAATCATTCAAGCGTATTATTTATCTATAAGCCATATCTTGCCATCCGTATTATCTCAATGATTTTGTTCCTTTTATTTCAAACTTGATACCAAAGCAAATTCCCTTCTGTTCTCTGATCTATTTTCCTACATCTAGATATGTTCATTTCCATGGCTCGCCTATTAACGGAAATCCTCTTACTTATAACATTAGTCGGCCTTTTTTCGTGGATTGCCGCAACGGCTACGCCCCGCAGCGAAGAACGGGCAGCCCCTAAAGTCCGCGATGCTCTAGTGTATAGGGATACTGCCAGCCTATTTGGCCCCGAGTCGTACGGCAAGAGGCACGAAGATGCCCGGAGGCCATCAGAAGTCGCTAAGCCAAGCCTCTCCGTCAGAGGCGCCGCAGAGAAGGTGCAGTTGGATACCAGAAAGACCGCTGCCAAGAAGCCACCAGCTGCCAAGAGGGCTGCCGCCTCTCCCAAAAAGTCTTCTGCTCCAAAGAAAACCGCTCCTAAAAATGTTCCTACTCCTAAGAAAGCCGCTACTCTCAGGAGGCCTTATCCCACGAAGAAAACTACTCCGAAGGCCACGATCAAGAAAGCTACGGCCAAGAAGCCTGTCGCTTCGAAATAGCCATCCTCGAACAAGACTGCCTCACGTAAAAAAGTTCCTCAAAGAGAAATACGATATACCTGAATCTTTAGGGCCTAAAGATGCAGCCCAATAAAAAAACACCCAAGGCTGAGAGAGAAAAACAAAAAAAATCATCTGGCCAAGGCGAAGGAACGAGAAGATGAGAGGGCGCGGTGGAGAACGCGACAACCCAAGCAGAACGAGGATGAAATAACTACAGTTGATAAAGACGATGAAGAAACAAAGAGAATGAAAACGCAAGAAGAGAGGCAGAAAAAGGTCAAAGAGCAAGAGGAGTGGAAGAAGCAGCTCGAGAAGAACGAGAAGTCGGGTGAAGGATATCATCTCGGTATGCGTAGGAAGTGAAATTGCGAAGTAAAATGCAAATAGTTTTAGTTGGGGCCTAGTCGCTTAATTCTGTTAAGTCAACATGATTTTATCTCTATTGTGATGCCAGATAAGAATTTCAACGGGACCTTTATGCTGATGAGCCAAAAAGGTATCAGACGGGATGCCAACATGTAGAGATCCGATACATATGGACACCTGACGCGAACAGTACATTTGAAGAGCTCCAGGCCCATGCTCCATTCCACGTGTCCTTATTTTCCCAATATCCAACTATCCTTAGCCCAACGGGGACGATGTTTTCTAGAATACTCCATATCAGGAATTGTACACGCCAACCAAAACTGTATCGAGCGACTGGTAGCTCGCGAGGCAGGACCTTGATCTTGTAACCATCCGCCCACGACTCTGCCATCTCTTCGATTTCCATACTTTTAAATACAGGCCCGTAGTTGTTATCTGCAAGCAAGATGAGCCGATGCAGATGCGGCAGTCGAGTTGGAACGTTCTTGGCCAGCAGCGATGGAATATGTATCTCGGCGTATTTTTAGAGCTTCATCCAACTCCAGCCTTGATGTGTTACGATCAAGTTGGGGCTTGCGCTGGTGAGTGGTGTCCAATATCATAATACCACCCACATACCTTACACAAGCAGGATTGCGACGGTGTGAGTGGGGAAGTTGTGAGACTGCAGAGGTACTTTGTGCAACCAGGCAGAGAATAGCCATTCATTTTCAAATCCTACTAGACAGACTCTTCTTCACTCGGATATCGCGCCAGATTGAGTCTCATATGCAGGCCTGTATCAATTACTTGGGTGGGACTCAGGAGTCAAAGCACTCAGCCCGCCACAGTTTACAAGCCTCACTTCTCACCTCCATTATTTCTAAGCGTTACTATTGGCTGCACAGCGAGTTCTCCTGCTTACATGGACCCATCATTCAGGCTGAGCCACAATAGGTGGCGTTTCCGCATTTCCCTCAAGGCCAGGACAACGACAAACTGTCATCAACAATCCAACACACCTACACTGCGTGGACAATGCCGGAATCCTCACATGCTGGCTATAGCCAGTCTTTTGTCCCTTTCTCCCGTCTCCCAGCTGAAATCCAAATCTACATTCTGGAATTAGCCACAGGTGACTCCTCATTTTTATGGGCGGAATGGTCGGGCCCAGGACTGAGCATGCTGGCACCGATGGTCACAATACCAGAGCTCGGCGAGGGTGACCTACCTGGCCTCATCCCGTATTCTCTCCCCGACGGTATGCCAAAGACTCTACCCGGTTTCCCTCTGCCAGGTGGACTTCCAGACCCGTCGGCAGATGCGTGGGTTGATTGGGAGACCTACGAGACCATGATGCAGCCCAAGCAAAGTAATTTGAGCCGATTGACCAGTTCTTTGATCAAGTCTTTGAGACAGACTACATTGACTGATGAAAATCGTCAAAATTCTCTGGGGTATAACCCGTTGCTAGAATACTTGAGAACATTCTCCCTGAGTCGCAAAATCGCCTTCTCCAGGGCCATCCTCAGGACAAGCCAGATACTCCCGGCCAACACAACATCACACAGCAGTAGGCCAGTATTTCACCCGCTAAATCATGGGGCATTGAGCAGCAATGTTTTCAAAGACCTGAGAACGGGGAGAAATTGCTTCGCCTTCGTTCTTGGCAACGACAGGTCTGCTGAGATGCTTGAATCTTCGATGCTGCAGAAAGTCACCGACCCCAGCAAACAGTACACATTTGTTTCGGCTAGGCTTGCTGATATTGAGCGCTGCATACTTGGACATCGACTGAGCTTCTCTCCTGGGCAGCAAACGCTGGACAGGAGCAGGTTCAAGCAGGTCGATTGGGCCATGTGGTGGACGCCCGAGCTGGGCGCTCGCGCGAGGCGACCGGAGGCAAACCATCCCTTCTTCATACCCCCCGAGACCATCCTTTCGATATATTGCGCTATCCTACATCGTTTGATTGGCGATTACTCTCACACTACAAGAAACTGCCCTGCGGAGCATGAATATGGAGACGCCATGTATTGCTCCGGTGAATGGTACTTCCGGCTCCTGGAGACGGGAAAATGCAGTCGCTGCGGGAAGTCGTTGTTGAATGATCTTCTCCATAATTTTCCCCAGCTTGTAGACGAAGATGGCCATATTGATGTCTTAATCTTGCTAGAGAGAGGTGCTTTTGAGAGGCCAGAGCTGACGATGGATACAAGAAGCTATGAGTTATATGTTTGAGCCCAGTCATATCCCTCAGGGTCTGAAGAATGGTTTCCATGTCGAAGGGCATATTGAGAAACACTTTATACATATTTATCCTATCTCCTACTCTCTTATTGTCAAAAGATTCAAGACAACTCCTTATTCTTTCAATGTAGGTGAAAGATAAACGGTTGTAATCATTTTTTTCACATGGCTCAGTTTTCTCGTGGTAATGTATCATTTTGAAGCGCATGTCATGAACATTTCTACCTAGTGAGTGCAAAGCGCTTGAAGTACATTGATTTCTTACCCAAGCTTCAGGTTTACGGTCACGATATAGGCAAAGACTGGGATTTCAAGCAGCAGTGCCAGTAATAAGAGTTTGGTGAGGATAGAGCAATGGTCATTACTTACCAATTATCGGTGTATTAGCGATTTGGTATCTGACGAAAATTAGACTTGTGGCTGGATTGTATGCTTCTTGGTACTACTCGGTTCTGTGTGTTTGGGCTCAACAGGAAAGATAATAAAATGTTTGAATTCAATCAATAAACCAATATTCATCAGTGCTCAACGAAAATTAAATCAACCTTCAATCTCCAATTGCTTCCGTTCGCGCACCATGTTCAATAGTCTCTTCACCGGCTCACTTCCATCTCTTGAAGATCGGTTCTTCACTAAACTCAAGATGACGACTTTGAAGTTCTGCGGCAAATCCTCCCATTCAAATTCAGGATTGAGGGCTTTGATGAATATCTTCATAGTCCGAACAGGAATCCTGAGAATATTGCAGACATCTTCAGCCGACAAGTCCTTCTGCATAGTGTTGATGAAGCTAGCCTGCAGCGACGACTTGTAATTTGAGAACTGCTCCTCCGTACTCTGCAGAGACACATCATTTGTCGTCACCGCGAGTATGGTTTCCTCGGCCGTTTCGGTGGCTTCAAGCTCGTTCAACCTCTTTCCTGTCAACATCTCGCGGACAAAGACTTCATCGAGAGGCTCAATTTTGTCGCCAAACTGGCCTTCTTTCCCGACCTGCCAGGGAACGCGATTAATCTCGGCGTCACTGAGCACCTTTCTTGTCAACTCATAGTTGGAAGCCTCCTCTCCTTGAGTAATGTCTTCTCCAAACTCAGCTTCCAGCAGCTCTTTGTACGGCTTGATGTTCTGTACCAGCAGCAACTGAGGCTTGACTTGCCACAGAGTAGCGATCTCACCGTGCTTTTCAACCAAAAGCTGACAGGCTTCCTTCAATTCGGCCCAGTCATTGCTTCTGCACGCCGCTGCTACGCGGCCCTTTAGCTCGCCAAAGACAGCCGAGCGCCTGTTGTAGATGTTGGCAGCAGCCAGGTCATCATTTGAAACCCTCTCACCTCCCTCAGAGAGATGCTTCAGATACTTGATCATTCTGGTGTAACTCTTACTCTGCCTCTCCACCGAGTGTGGGAGGTTGGCCAAGAGACGAGTAGCAACAGCCGCCAGGTCCACGTTCTCCTCTGTGAGCATTCGCATGAGGACGGTAATGATGCTGCGGCAGTGCTCGAGCTCAATATTCCGGAGCTTGCAGTATTTGATCATCTCCGCCACGCGGCCCCCCTTGATCTCTTTCACGTTCTCCCCCTTGGTAACCACCCGCAAAATGGCCTTGTCAAGGAACCTCTCCAAACTTTCGTAGAACCACTCTCGTCGCCAGCCGGTGTAGGGGTATAGGTCGACAACAGTCTCATACCATACCCAGTCCGCGTTAGTCGTCGGGAGGTCATACTTGGGATTCTGGCCAAACAGCTGCCAGACCATGCTCAGAGGACGTACCCCTGATCCGGCGATGGTCAGCAAGTTACCAAATAGTCCGCGCATCAATTTCGTCACGGTGTCCTCGGCCTGCTTTACTACCACGGGGGCAGTCGTCCTCATCGCCGCGAGTTTGGACATGGCGGCCATGAGCAGCGCGCCCATCAAGTGGCCGATTTCCGGGGCCCCGGCTTGAAGATTGTGCTCCCTTGACGCCACAGCATTGCTGAGAGTGTCTCTCACCATGATCCTCAATGCGGCGATGTGTGTTTCGTTGCACTTCTCCATCCACCTGACACCATACGGGCTCTCCAGGTTGACGAACTCATCCCAACAGACCCAAGCCAGCATGGAGCCAACGCCTTTGTCCTGGCCTAGATATGGCACAGCCAGGATAGGGTGAAGTGGTCCAGCCTGGCTTTGAAGAGGACCGCTGTGGTCGCTCTGCGATTGCTCAAGGATGATTCCTGCGTCGAATCCCTCCAAGTGGAGAACTCTTGAGTCAAGGTTACAACACGAGCTATAAAAGAAGAGGTCAGTTTAAATCACGAGAAAGTATATGAGGAGGAAGTGAGCTTCAGATGGGTAGTTACAGTACCTAGCATCAACAGCAACCGAATCCAAGTTGCCCAGCAGACGACAATACGAATCAGTCTCGATATTCAGGAGCATGACACCCATGTCCATGGCGTGTTCCTCGAGATATCCTGCCAGAGTCTCATAAGTCATCGACTTGGCAGCCTCAACGTTGCTACTAATTTGAGCCTGGCGAACAAGCCGCTTCAGGTCATGGGTTCGCTTCGATGTTGTCTGGGACGACATCATGTTGGCGAAGCTTGAAATGATTGGCTCAAGGGCCTTTTGTATACGCTTAGCGGTTCTTCGGAGGTCTCCAAGAAGTTCGTTCTTCTTCTTCACGGATTCCGGGTCCGAGGCTTGGTATTCGTTCTTGAAGAAGCGGATGTAGGCATCTCTCAACGGGGCGACGGCGTTGCTAACCTTTGTGGAGAGTGAGGCCACCAGTGACTGAGAGAGATCCTGCAGCTCTTTCTGGTTCAGCAGTGCCTGTAACTGTGGGATCGCGGCGGAGATGTCCTCTTCCATATCATTCAGCTTCTCGATTGGAAGCTCGGCAAATAGATTCTTGAGCTCTTGCGGCTTGACCAAGTGATTCAAGGTGGGAAGAATGATTGTGTTCTCATCAGCAAGGCTGATTATCCGCTTCGCTCTCGGGTCAGTCATGGCTCCCATACCTGCAAACTCGACGATAGAAGTCATATCAGAGCCAAATGCCAACTTGGTCGTATTCAGGATCGAACTGTTGGCAATACCCCTGTAGAAATAATACTTGTCAAAGATTTGCACAAGAACCAGCGACTGCGGGCCTGAAAGTGCCGTCACGGCATTGATGTTCGCCGAGTCCAATAAAGACAAGACCTCATCGGAATTCTTGGGCTCATTGTCCGGCGTGAGCTGCACGATGAATAGCGCGTTCAGCCGATACGAGCCGGCAATGTTACGGGCATTATCTGTCATCCTGTCGTCGACGATGACGATGATGTTGTCTAAATCCCCGTAATAATTTCTCAAGGCGGCCTCATCACCAAACGGGACGTTAGCAGGGACTCCTCCAGTGGCCAGAAGTACCGGGCCTTCAAGCTGCGAGCCAAATATGCAGGGCAAAACAACATTAGACGGCTGCGTTTCCGTGTGCAGCTCCTGATTCGGGAGCTTGAATTCAAGATTTGTGCCAAACCGGATGATCTGTGTCTCTTCCGTATTGATGAAGGAGGGCACAGTCACGGCGTTTGTGACAAGCAACGCACTTCTCTTGGCGGTGATATTGGATAGATCTTCTCCCGTTGAATTGGCTTCTGGCATCTCTGTGTCATTGTCCAGCACTGTATTCATCAGTTAGCCTTCAATATCATCAATGTGTTCTTATCGATTCAGGAGATCATGTGTGGTAATACTTACGTTTCGGGGCATTTACTCGAGGAGGAGTGATGGTGAACTCGGCACTCTGTATCGCTTCCAGGAAGGACGGGCTTTCTAGTCTACTAGTAGAGCACATCATGTCCACATCTGTGGTTGCCTTTGGCAAAATGGAGCATATCAACGATTCTTCGTCACGCTTGATTACCAATGGGCAACAAATTGTTGCATCTCCAATGGTGGCCGCATCCAAGGGCACTGGAATAATGTATAGAATCTGTGAGGGTTGATGAGCATGAATTTATGTTGGGAAACTACGAAAGGATTGTTGAGCGGTACCTTGTCCACATGGTCAGCAACCATTAATGCAGGGCTGGTCCCTAGAAATCGCGTGATTTTGGTAGACTGGTAGCCAGAGATGAACACGCAGATTTCCTTCTCTGTCAGGGACGGAGCATCGATCTTGACATAGTCCAAGAGATCCTGCCCGTTCAGGATATCACCACTGTGGCTGATGCCTGAGAAGGTGTTCCGAGCAGTCCAACAACACGTGTTGCATGACGCATCCGCAAAGCAGAAATCATAGTAGGTTGGTGTTCTCTCAGAGACGGCCAGGATGGTGATTTGGCCTGAGACGATGGGGATCTTGAAAGTCGTATCGGGCGCTTGCATGATTTGGAAATCTTCAAACACGGCTACGAATTGTCAGTGTCTGATTATCACATTGTGTAGGGTTTAGACGTAAAGACATCGAGTCAGAATAGAAGGAACACCTACCCAGGTGGTTCCGGAAGCCAGCCATTCGCCTCAACAGGATCTCTCCCATCTCACCCAAATCCACGGCATTAAAGAAGAAATCTTCCGGGTAGGAAGAGATATCAATCTCGTCAACTCCATCGTTGGTACGACACAGCAGAGTACGCTCAGGGCTGAAAGGGTGGGCAGAACCGACGGGGAGTTCCTGGAGGATCTCCTGAATCTGCGCCTTTGAGGTCGCCAGAGGGCTGAAGTAAGTCTTTCTGACCCGCTCCATGGTTGCCGAAGACTGTCAATGTACAAGACAATTGTGAAGTCGATTGGAAGTATTCCGAGGAACTTTCTACTTGCCAGGGAGAATTGAGGGGGCGAGGTTCGTATTTATTTGTTTTGATGTTGCTAGTGGGAGACGGCTCAAGCTTACCGCATGAGTCATGGCTGTGTAGGACCCCAGACATGACTGGACTGGTCGAACCTACCTAATCAACGACATACTTCCTGCATGGCTGATGACTCTGAGGTTGGGCTTACTTTTTCCATGCTCTTTACTCCTCTTTTACCCTTGCATCAATCGCATAATGTCTCAAATCTGCCTTTCACTGTTCCCCGCATGCCCAGCCACAGCCGGTGTGGCAGTGTCAGCCCCTAGATCTAGATAGCGCCGATTAGTGAGGGTCTCACGTCAAGGATGAAAAGACAAATTACCAGACACGATTAACCATGGTAAGTCTACAGACTCGGAGGGTGATTCCTTACTTAGTCAATTGTTCTACTCGCCAAACACAGACATACCTACTAGTTTCATGCTAGAGAAAGCCCAGCATAAACTTGAAACCTTATACAGAAAGGTACCACGCCACCTTTCGTGGTGGTGGTGCCAACAATGATTTGATTTTCTGAAACATTTGTCTGTACCATTTCTATCATATTTCTAATGATAAGAATTGAATTTTGTGTTTCATTAACACGCCGTTAGTCTTTGAGAGGGAGAGGGAGACAAAGGGAGCAGGTTTACATATCGGCTATAGGGTAGCCTATCAAAACTACCTAGCATGTATCAAGACGCTATCACGATTGGTAGGCTCATCAAGATTTTCAGCAACAAAGCTCGTGTTTAGCGTTATAACTTTTTGTTCAGCATGACTCACTGGGTAGATAGCTAGTTTCCCCTCCAGACAGAATCCTAGCTAACGCTCAATGCCAGTAAAGCTAGAACGGGCGAGGAACAAGCAAGTGAAAGGCTCACGTTTCCGGGAAAGACGATACGAGTTGAATTTCAGAGATAAGTTCAAAACAGCAAGGGCATAGATTATTAAAAGATGGACAGAAATGCACTGAATCCGAAGGTTCCTAAAACAAGTTGAACAATATGTAGATGAAGAAAGAGCGCGGACTATCTATCTAGCACCAAGAGCTGGCGGGGAAACAAAAAGGACATGAAAAGAATGAAGTAAAGCAACCCCAACATAATACAAATTCCTATCGAAGGCACGGATGAAAATTCATTTTTTGACCCAGGAACAATGACACACGCGTGGGTATATTCGAGACAGTTCGTCGATATATTGGACCTACATGACCATTCTAGGATCCAGAGCAGAAATGTCGGCACTCGTCGCCTTCCCATCAAAAACCAGCTCGCTAATAACCTTGCCCGTTGCCGGCGCATTGTGGATTCCCCAGCAGCTATGCCCGGAGGCGAGCAGCAATCCGTCTATCCAAGTATTTCCAATCAGAGGGTTCCCCGAGGGCACATCCACGGTCGGCAGGTAACACGCCCGCCTCCGCGTCACAACCCCGTCGCGAAGCTCGTCCGACACGCTCGCGACGGCCTGCTCGATCAGATCACACGCCGCATGGTCGATCTCGACCTCATCAGTGCCAGCTGGCAGGGGCACACGCTCGTCGCTCTCTCCCGCGATGTACACCTCGTTGTTGGGGCGGGAGTAGATCTCCGGGCTCACAACGCGCACAAACGGCCTCGAGCCACCCTGCAGCTCGGGCTCGGAGAGGTAGTCCCTTGCGGCTGACGCAGGGTCGTGGACGGATGCTGTGTGGATGGGTGAGGCTGCTTCATCTGAAGGAACGGTGATGTCGGTGAAGAGGCAGTAGGCTGAGAGGGGGCGGTTGGGCTTGATGGTGACACTGTGCGCTCGTAGCGCGCGGATGGGCACTGAGGGGAGCAGCGCGGGCGTCCATGGGCCCGCGGCTAGAATGACGATATCCGCAGGCATGGATATCGACTGTGCGGTGGGTTTGTGGATGTAGCGGACGCCCTTGACGACCTCGGCGCCGTCCTCGACGACGGATTCGATTTCTTCCACTGCCGCTTCCTGGAGGACCTTGACGCCTTCTTTCTCGGCGAGCTTGGCCATCACTGAGGTGAAGAGGTAGGGCTGGACCTGGGCCGTCTCCTTCCGCGGCGCGATGTCCTCGTACTTTGAGATGCCATCCGCGCGGAACCAGTCCAGGTCCTCTGGCAAGTCGACACGTGCTGTGCCCTGGGGGTCTTTGTTCAGCTCTCTCTGCTTCCCGAGAGGCGCCCACGGGATCATCTCGCGAGCCCACGACAGCCAGTCCCCGTTACTGCTGGCTCTGCGCTGCTCCTTGTCCAGGTCACGGTCTCCCGCCGTGATCTTGCCGCAGCGTATGGTGCGGAATCCCCAGGCCTTGGCGCCGTCATGTTTGGCAGCCAGCTCGGCATGGAGGTCAAAGCTGAGAGACACCAGGCTGGCCGGGTACGCCCACTGGGCGAGGAGGCCACCCGCTTTGCCCGAGGCACCACCTCCTATGGACGTGGCCTCGAGCAGGGTGATGTGATGGCGGGAGGGTGAGTAGGCCTGGTGACGGGTGAGATAGTAGGCTATAGAGACGCCGATGACGCCGCCGCCTGCAGAGATCGTGTGAGTTTCATGTTCAGGCCCCAGGCCCGCCTCACGGACAGGCAGGCCGGGTCAACACCCGCAGACGGGGAACTCACCTATGATGACAATGTTGAGATGTGACTCGCTGCCATGATTAGCCTCATGCCTAGCGGCACCACCACCACCACCACCGTGGGCGGTCATGGCTAGAGCGTGGGCGTGGGGCTGGGGCTGGAGGCCGGTGAGTGCCTGAAGCCAGCAGAGGAGAGGAGAGGGAGGCTCGAAGGGGCAAACGGGCGTCAACGATCGATGCGGTCGGTGGGATCACTGCACACGTTTTTTTTTTTTCCTGCCAGCCCTGCCTTAGCCGTAATATCTCCCATCGGCTGTGCTGTCCAAGGCCTGTATGGGTCGATGCGAACAGATGGACTGGGCCAGCCAGGGCCGACTCTTTTTCGTGATTCGTCACTTGACGCTTCTACCCCTCCCGGTGCGCGCCACACAGAAGTGGCGCCATTTTTGCATTCTGCCCACCTGGCCCCTGCCTGTCAAGCCACACCGCCCGCTGCCCAACAGCGGGTCGCCGCGCCTGGCAGCCAGTTGGAGGCTGCTGATTGCTGCTGAAGGATCCCTAAATTCTCCTTTCGGGGGCCGCAATGCCTGCTAGCGTGTCCAGACCTGTGGCGTCCAGACGAGAAAAAAAACTCCGGGCCTCCCGCGCGCTCGGATGTCGAGCCTTTTTCGCTGTTTGTGATTTTGTGTGGTTTGCTGGTGCTTTGTCATCCAGCTCGCGTGCCTACTACCCTAGACCATCTGCCTCACAGCTCACGCTCTCACAAACTCATCACTCTCTGGTTTCAAATTGCTTCTGTGTCTCATTAAATGAGTGAACACTTGGCTCGCGGCTGCTCACGATGATCTGTTTAAGGTTTGAACTCTAAGGTGTCTGAGAAACCACCTCGCTGCTGCTTTTCTCACTCATGCATCGGCCAAGAAAAGATTTTCGCGCCCACGCATGAATCAAGCTGAAACCTGTCTGAGAGATGAAACAGCAACCCCCCGAAAGCTTCACGTTCCTGATCAGCTGAACCAGAAACTGTTCATCTAAAAACACTCTCGCACATCCTGTCTCTCATCTGGCTCTTCGCTTCAATGATTGGTTTGGAATTTCTGCTGATCGCCTCACACAACCTCAAGCTCTCATACTGTCATGTACGGCCAGCGCTTACAGTGACTCACGGCTGATGCCGTCTCACAATCAGGCTGGATCAGCTCAGGTACAGCTCAGGTAGGTGAGTGGGCTCTACGGCCACGCTGATCATCAGCACCACCGGCGACGGCCGTCATGTTCGCGAGCACCTCACGCAGCCGCAAACCACAGATGGGTCGCAAGAAGAGGCAGAGAGGCTCTTTCTCACCTGCCACCCAGGATCAACATCCTATTTTCGGCTGGATGCCCCGCGCAAAGGACCGACGCCCACGAGCACCGTGCCGACCGGTGGCCCAGACCTGCCTGTCTGGCTGGTGGTGCGTTATGCGTCTTCTGGTAGCGCTACAGGTTAGGCAGGTCGACCTTTACCGGGTCCGTGGAGGCAAGCCGGGACAAAGAGCTTCCCTCGCACCGATGATGCCAGAAATATGGTTATATTCTGGCGCAAAACTGCGACCTGCCGTATTAACTGCGCGGTCCTTCACGCTGGGTCTCCGGCTATCACAATCCACGAGCCAAAAGGGTAGGAGATCACACTGGCATTGGACAGCGCTTCCCTGGGTGCCACGCCCAAACCCATCCATTCCTCTTCCCCCAAGACAGTAAGCGCCCAGCCCGCCATCCACTATCGAGCACCCCCTTTAGCCCCCTGTCGCGCTCCCCGACGCGCTGATTCGCTCATGACGGCCGAATTCCCCAGGCGGATGAAACGGGAGGTAGATCCGCGGACAGCCCTATGGTTTGCATTGTGAAAGACGAGCATTGGCTGAGGACGGGTCTCCTCCCACTGTCGCAGGTTCCGGTGGGAAGCGTTAGTGAAAGAGCCCGCGACGGCTGCAGGTAGTTCTGGCAGTAGAATGAGGAATAAGGCAGAGGAAGCTATTGGACGTTGGGCGGCGAGGGAACTGGCCGCCAAGAGGACGATCGCACGCGAGCGCTGACAGCGAGTAAGGATGATTAGCATCAATAATCCCGACAGCGTGGAGTGTATTGATTCAGGTTGGGACGGTGACATGCGACGAGGGTGCATCCAGCCAAACAGGCAGTGGGGGTCGAATGGGTGCCGGGCAGGTTTCTTGATCAAGTTAATTATGGAATGGTGGATAGATTGATTGACTCGGGGCTTTATCACACCCCCGGGCGATGCTTCTGCAGTCGTGATTTGATCATGGTATATGCTCTGAAGCCTGGGCCATCGGCCCACGGTGATGGTAAGTGTGGTGATGAGGGTGTTGTTCTATTCGCCGGATTTACCTGATACGGCGAGAGCCTTCCTTCCATCACATCACGGCACGCCCACGCCCAAGCCCACGCCCTTGCCAGTACGGGGAAGCTGGCGATGGGGAAGGATGGCGGGACCTTGAGCTCTCGCACGCGAGTCTGGTTGTTGATGGCCGTAAGGCTAGGCTAGCTGGGAACGCACATGTAGGAGTTTTTCCACTTACTTGCAGAGGACCAAAATGTCTCAATGTTGATAGCCAGATATAAATATCGGATGGGTCCTTTGGCGGGAGCATTTGCCGACTGTCTGGCGGTTGAACCTTGGAGTACACCTATTGAAGCCCAGCCCGTCACATCATCGTCTGCTCCCTCACACTTAAACCATTTCTTCCACATTGACCCATGCTTGTTCATATACTACCGCGTCCAGAGAGCTGGGAAAATCCTTCTCAGTGTCCCTCGAAAACCTGGCCCAGAGTTCATGCTCGTTTAATTACCTTATCCACTGCGCCCAGCAAGCTGTTTGAGATATCTGAGTTCGGTCACGATACGATGTGTTCCTGGGCTAGAGACGGCACTACGGCGCAGGGGTCCAACGGGTGCGTCGCAGCCCCCTACCATCCTCGCTCCCACTATAACACCACCTGTAGTATTATAGCCGGGAACTGGCCCGGCGCCCGCTGTGGTGCACTGAGCTAACAGGCCTGACGGGCGATAGCACCAGCTCTAGCAGCACCACTACGACCGCCAGCACTCTCGCCAGCGGAGCCTCGCCCATGCTGCAGCGCTATTTGCTGGACCAGTCGACCGGGCTTTCAGACAGGCTGATCCGGCAGGCCCATCAGCCAGAGTCGCAGGCTGCGCAGCCGTCTAATGTGCCCTTTGACGGGCTGTCGAGAGAGCTCGATTTGCTGCTGGCAAAGAAGACGTAGGGATGGGATGCAGGGCGGGGACATCTTTTCATGCATCACACACACATACATGCACACGCAGGCACACACACCTGCACGCGCGCAACACACACACACATTCCGGGGTACTGAAATAGCAGTACTAATACCGGCTGTACGATAGCTCCATGTTCGCTGTATCTCCAGCACTTTAGGCGCTGTTGCCTGGTAGCCGAAAGGCCTTTTGGGGCAGGCACAGCAGGATCAGCCAGCACTGATTGGCCGTCCATGATCCATCCACTTGTACATATTCCAGTATCTCAGCTGGCCATTGAGCAAAGCAGGCACAGACAGAGGGAAAGAACTCTTGTGTGTGACAGACGAGGAGGGGCAGATACAGGCATAACCGAGCTAATAATATTATCATCCTTCCGTTTATGCCACCTCGGTCAACCCTTTGCGCGTTTTTAGACTGACTTGTCCCGTTTTTAGACTGACTTGTCCGATGTCCTGACCCTCACCCATCAGTCCGTGCTTGCCACCATGTCCTCTGCCACGCGAACTGCGCTCGTCGTTCGCCTGGGCCTGGCAGTCAGGCAACCTTCCGTCTGGTCGCTTCTGGTGGGAGGATACAGCCAGATACAGATAGATGGGAGGGGCGGGCACGGATCAGAAGGGGTGGGCCCATTGTATGACCAGGACCGTTCCGCGACCTACTCTGGAACTCGAGGTGTCAGACGTTTCCATTTAGCCCAGAAGAGCGCAGCTCTGGATCAGACAGGCAGGTGAGGACCGTCCCGGGACTGTGAGCCTTGTCTGGGGTGGGGAGCAGGAGGTGGAGGTGGCCATGGGTGAAGGGCCATGATCCCTGCTCCCCCTTGCTCTGATTGATTCATCCACCCCAAACGTGCCTCTTACCTCTGATCCCTCCTGGCCATTCCCCTCCTTCAGCTGGTCTGCCTACCCGCATTGCATTGCATGTTCCTCGCCTGGCGTGTGCTACTGTTCTGTTCTGTTCTGCTCATTTGTCGGTCCCTCCTCTCTCTTCCACCTTCAACACCATCCCAGACCTGAACCTGAGAACGGCCAGATTCCACATTCTTTTGCATCAACCAGTCCCTCCTTCATTCATTCGCTGCGCCCAGGAACGCCTTGACGGTGAGAGACGTCGCCTTACCAACACCACAGCTGCCCCTACGCTCGGCGCATCAGGGCCTCAGACACGGATGACAGCGAGCCACCACCATCACCGCCGCCACCACCACCACCACCCACCAGAAGAAGAAGCAGCAGCAGCAGCAGCAGCAGCATCGCCAGAAGCAGAAAGTAATCCTCACTCAGTCCCGCTGCCATGAGCTCCGAGGACGAGCTCCACGCAGCCACCGGGTTCCACCAGCTGCCGCTGCGCATCCGCGACAAGGCCAACGGCATCAACGGGCTCAACTCCCTCCACAAGATCACCGTCGAAGTCCCCAGCCGATCCCTCACCGCGACGACAAACGCACCGAGCCACCATCCGCACCATCCATCGCTGTCGACGGCTCCCTCCCGCCTGCACAAGCGCTGCCCAGAGTCGCTCCAGTTCCTCGCCAGCAATGCGCGCCTCCGCTCTCCCACCCAGTCGTCCATGTCCAGCATCCCGGACTCGGCCACCACCTACTCGCACTCGACCTTTGCCAGCCCCGTGAGCTCCAGCTACGCCAGCGATCTCCAGGAGTTCTTCACCGGCTCGCGCCCCTCCAGCCGTGTCTTCCACCGCCACAAGACCTCTGTCACAACCTGCTCTACCCTGATCAATGATGAGGACGAGACGCCCGTCGTCCACAACATCAGCGACAAGATCGACCAGTATCGCAGCGCCGGGGACGTTACGCCGCGATCGGCAGATGAGATTGAACCCGTGAGGTGAGTAGTGGCGCATTCTTGCTTTCATCTGTTGGAGGACTGACCAATTGACCCAATTCGCAATCCAGCCCGTCAACAACCGAAGCGCCAGAGAAGGAATTGCCACCTCTCCCCCAGGACGAGGAAGACTTTGACGATCGCCGCCTGACCCTGACCCTGACCAAGCCCTGCCCCCCTCTGCCCGGGCCGGAAGATATCGAAGACGACGAAGAAGACGAAGAAGACGAGGAGGAGGAGGAATCAGCTGCGGAGAACTGGGAGACTGCCTCGGTCCTGTCCTTTGACGACTGCGACCCTGAGGAAGCCGATGCAGTCCTGGACTTTACCATGCAGATGGTCTACGGCGTCGACAGCAAGGACGCATCTGTTCTCCCGGCCAAGTCGCGAGAGATTGTCCAGCGCTTCATCCGCGACCTCGGCCAATGCTTCTGGCAGGCGCAGGCCTCTCCGGACTCCAACAACAACATGTCGTCGTCAAGCGCATCGTCGTCACCCGTGGCGAACGGGGCTGCCGGAGACTCGCAGCGTGGCGGGAAGCGCAAGAAGAAGCAGCAGCAGAAGGGAGGAGCAGGAGGCGAAGATGGAGAGGACATGAGCGAGGGCGAGGGTGAGGCCTTCTTGCCAGCCAAGAAGATGAAGCCGACTCCTCGCGACGAGGATTTGCGCCTGAGCTGTCCTTTCAGAAAGAGGAACCCAACCCGCTTCAACGTGCGCGATCACCACTCTTGCGCCATGACCTTCTTCCCCAAGTTTGCCGAGTTGAGACAGCACATTGTCAAGCAGCACAAGAGGGACGATCCCTCGGCCTTTGTCTGCGACCGATGCAACCGCGACTTTCCCACCAGAAAAGAGCTCCGGGATCACCAGCGTCTGCCCAGAGACCAGATGTGCGAGATCTCCGACTCGGATCCAGAGAACGGCATCGACGGCCCAACTGCCACCAAGCTGCTGAGCAGGAAGCGAACCAGCGGCGCGTCGATTGAGATCCAGTGGAGAGAGATCTGGAACATCCTCTTCCCTGACGATGATGACAACCTAATCCATGAGTACAGTATGTATTTGCCTCTTGAACCAACCCTGTTCTTAAACAATAACTGACCCGTGACTCTCAGACTTCACCCCTGTCATTGAGCACTTTGAGCTGCAAAATACGTACCTCGCCTCGTTCGAGCTCCTCAAGTCGTCTCTGCGGGACAAGATCTCCAACCCCGCCACCCTCGAGACTCTGGCCGCCAAGTTCCACGAATGCTTCATCGAGACTGTCATGCGATGTATCGCCGAGGCCCAGACCATGCCCTACGCCAACCGCAGCAACAAGCGTAGCGAGCAGCTCGCGACTGCCTCTGCCGCCCTGACTGCCCTCACAGCCCCCATCACCATCGCGGCCACACCGGCGGCCACCCTTGCTCCCGCCCAGGCCACCGTCGCCCGCAAGGTCCGCGAGGTCCTCCCTCGCCCCGACTCCGGCGTCGTCATGACCGACGACACCTCCGAGGAGAGCGGTAGCGTCATGGGAAGCAACACCCACCGCGAGAGCATCCGCACTGCCCGCAGCTCGCAGCGCGGCAGCAGCCTGGTCCCCCGCCCCCGCGACCTCAAGCACCTCTCGTCCTCGCAGAACACCCACCGCTCGTCCGCCACCTCCTCGGGCGTCTTCGACGGCTCCTTCACCCTGCCGCACCACCTCCAGCATCAGGCCTTCCTCGCCCCCCAGCAGCATCAACAGCAGCAGCAGCAGCAGCAGCAGCCGCCCACCTCCACCGCCCCGATGAACTTCGACTCGGGCTACATGGCCCCCGTGGACGTGCAGGCGTGGACCAGCGGCGTCCAGCCCCCCGCTTCGACGCACATGTACCACAACATCCCGGAGAACGAGATCGCGCCCGCCGTGTTCCAGGACATGGGCATTCCCAGCGACCTGGGCGCCGCCTGGGCCCAGCAGCAGTTCTACGCCGGCGGCGACATGGGGCTGGAACCCATGGGAGACGAGTTTACAGGATTCCACAACGGCCGATAGAAGCAGTTCCGCCGCAATAAAGTAAAATTAATAAACAATAACAATTCTTAAAAAAAGAAGGGACCTAGAACAGTTGGATTCGGAGCGAAGCGCCTCTGGAAGGCTGCTGCACCCCCCCGCGCGGGATGGATAATTTTTATACGAAGCGGTTAGTATCTTTATTTTGCGTATTATAACGACAGTACAATGTTGAGCGTAACGCGTTGGGGCAAACGCCACGCGATTTTGGGACAATTGGGAAGAAGGGAGATCTTGTGCAAACAGGTTTTTGTATTAATAGCTAGACTTACCCTTTTTGTCGCAGAAGTATTAACTTGGATGACCGGCGCGCGCCCCTTTGGGGAGCGGCGTGGTTGTATTGACATGTATGAGTGGCGCTTTGCTTGTGATTACACGTGTGAATTACCCGGTTCTTGGTGGTTGCTTGGATGCTCGTATATATGAATACGAAGGTTGTGCTGAGAGGAGACGTAAGTAGATTCATACATATTCAGTGTGGCACATCTTTAGTTTGTGATCGTTGCATCTCGTTCGGGCACTGGCCTTCTGTCGTTGGACATGGTAGCACATGTCCTCGATCATCGAGCAGTCTTGCGATCGAGACATGGACACGATGGATGAATGCTCGCGTTGATCTCCCGGTCGAGGTAAATCTCCCGAACCATCCCCCCATCCGAGCACAGGCTCTCTCGCCCTCGTGACCGACAGTTCTGATAACCGGAACTCGGCTTGTAGACTACGGTGAGAATGTGTCCAGGCGTCATACAAGTTGCGGGGATTCACAGCCAGTCGGGTCTTTGTCCCGCCTAGGTTCGATTGTTGGGTGTATGTGCGGCCCCCTCTGTTGGACTAGAATGCCCCGATCTGGGGAGGCACGAGCATTGACCGGTCGGAGGGACAAGTGACGGTGGCTCGTTCCATCATTAACATAGTAAGCTTTGAATGGTTTGCTATTTAAGAAGCAGGGCAGGCTCTGCATTCGTGCTCACTGTCCCTTCAACATTTCACATCCAAAATACATAAATTGCAGAGGTTCCAAACACAATGGCTCTCTTCTCCACTAAGAACGACGAGAGTCTCACAGACTTAGAGTCCCATAAGATGGGGTCAGACAAAGTATCCAGGTCGGTTGACACCAGAGCGTTGATCTCTCAGCTGAAGCTCATCACCAGCGATCCATCGGCCCTGAAGGGGCTCGAGGATGGCGAGAGGTTGCAGTTGAAGCAAGTTGCCCGCTCTGCCGCCGATGCCCTGGAGCAGCCCTTCGAGACTATGGTTCGCATCGCATATTCGGTGGGTAGCCCGGCTTACCATCTAAACTCATTGCCGCTTTTCTTCCCTCTCCCGACTTCCTGACAGTCACCCGATATCAAACTAACAAAGTACTTCAAGCCTCTGTTGCTGGTGACAGCTCGGATCGGCCAGGATCATGGAATATTTGCCCAGCTTTGTGCCGCGGCGGGCCCCGTCTCCTTGGGTGAGCTCTCGACAGCATCGAGAATTCCTGCCGATGTTCTAGAGCCCGTCATGGACTCTATATGTGCCCGAGGAATGGCTACCCGAGTGGAAGCGCAGGCTTTTGCTGCTTCACCTCTCACGCACCTCTTGTCCTCACCAGAGCTCCGTTCAGCCCACATCCATTAGTACGTTCCTCACATCCGGAGAAAAACATGATTGTGGCCAATGTAACTGACGAGCCATGGGGGCCGACTCTGTAGTCACGACTCGGTGCTCCCAGGTCTCGCAAAACTCAAGGAGTTCCTGCACAACCCACACGGCCCGCGCACGGCATGGCAGATGGGCCACGACACGGACCTCAGCTACTACTCCTGGCTCGACGGCCATCCCGTGCAGAAGGACGCGTTCCACATCTACATGGAGGCGCACGTCATCGGCCTCCCGACGTGGCTGGACGTGCTCGACTTCGAAAAGGAGCTGGCGGCCGGCGCCCGAGCCGAGGACGTGATCTTCGTGGATGTCGGGGGCAGCAACGGCCAGCAGTGCGCGGCGTTGAGGAAGAACTACCCCGGGCTGCTCGGCAGGGTCATCCTGCAGGACCGGCCTGCGGTGTTGAAGACTGCGCTTGAGGTTGAGGGGATGGAGAAGATGGGCTATGACTATTTGACGGCGCAGCCGGTGAAAGGTATGCTTGCCGCATGGACTGTTCTGTCTGAATCGTTGATGATACTTATACAAGACTTAGGTTCTCGCGTCCTTTATTTCCGGCAGATATTTCACAACAATGACGACGAGACGTGTAGGAAGATACTTCGGGCTCAGCTATCGGCCATGGATGGCAATACTGTCCTCGTGATCGACGACAAGGTGCTCCCGGATCGGGAACTGCTCACGGACTCGATGGATTCCGAGTATCAAGCATCGCTGAGCCTGGTCATGAGGACCCTCTTCAATAGCCAAGAGCGGAGGGAGGCGCACTGGAGGAGACTTGTGGAGGAGGCTGGGCTGGTGGTTAGAGATATACGAAAGTATACGGAGTTTGACGACTCGGTTGTTCTCTGTGTCAAGCAGTAATGGGACAGTACGGTCAGATCATGAGTCGAGCCATCAATTTACGCTTTCAATTTCTGGATCTAATCTCAAAGTCTAAGCACATGTCGTTAAAGTTTCGTTCCGCACAAAGCCCATAAATCGTATGTTCAATGGTTGCCGCCAGCTATCCTAGCTAGTGGATCGGACCTCTGTGACCGTACATTAAGTATCCCATACCTGGTACACCCACGAGATGAAAGCACATGAATAGTGCATTGGATGATATTCGTGTTGGGTGCCTCGTCAAGGTGTAATGTTGATCTTCTTGGTCCTTGATAGCTGATACTGGCAACATCGCCCTTGTCGTGTACTTGGTTGCTCTTCCATCCCCAAATGGAATGTATGCATACATCTTGCCTGCGTGGTCTCTATTCCTGTCGTTTGGACATCGCGGGCCCCCTCACATAGGGCGGGGGGACCTCCCCAACACCACCGACCATGCGCTCCTCATTGGGCTCGATCCTCTCATAATCGGGCAAGGCATTATCCGGGCTGGCCTCACTCCAGGTCCCTAGGAGGTCCTCCGGGGGCATGTTCGCCTCCTGCGCCAGCTGCGCAAACCGGTTCGAGTACTCCCTCAGGGTGTCCTCGCCCTCGGCCAGCCACTCAACCAGCTGGTCGCGACGCTGCTGCACCTCGTCCCTGGTGCCCGTGGAAGCCGGGGCGACCCTGGGGCCGGAGGAGTACGGCGGGACATCCGAGGCCGAGTAGGCGGGCAGCTCTGGGTCGTTTGCCCCCGCGCGTGCGGTGTCTGGGGGTGCGTAGAAGTCGCTTGCCGCGTCGACGCTCGCCGTGTGGCCGTATCGCTGGAGCCAGAGGTTGTGCTCCCGCAGTGCCGCGCGCAAATGGTCCAGCTCCAGGGCGAGCGCCGGGATGAGCCGCTTGAGGTCGTTGTATGCAGATTCTGCCTCGGCTCCGGAGAATTCACCAGACGACATGGCTGCGGTGTCTGAGCGAGCACGGAATAGCTTCTGCAGAATAAACCTCTGTTGTTCTATATACAGGCGGGAGAGAAGAATACAGTGGAAGCAAATAGCAGAAATCGATGGTCGTTAATTGCATCACGTGTATAAATAAGCCTGCTTTAGTAATCCGCAGTAATGCGCTGGAGAGGTCTGATTAATGTGCACTGCCTCACTGCAGCGTGGATCTGCTCTACTCTGAGAACATATACGGAGACCTATGTGCACCTTGAAGGGAAATATAGGCTGATATTTTTACGTCATATTGATATCAGTATGCTCTTTTTTCATTGCAAACCAGCCCAATGTATCCGTCCATACCCAAGGTATGGAGGTACTCAAAATCTGACAATTTTATGTGCACCTCGCAAACGATATGTACAAATACATTGTAATGTGTTTTAATTAGGGGAAATCTGTATTGAAATATCAGATTATTCAATGACTGAATTGTTTTGAGCGGCGAGTATTTGCTTAACCGCGTACCTCATGATTATTGTGTATTTGTCCGATACACCTGCAGCAATTCATCGCTCGTCGCAGCCGGTAACTTACTTGCTCCGAGACATCAATCACACCTCCATAATCCCCACCTGACACCGTCCCAATGAGATCACCGTCAGGCAGATGGTGAGCAATTATTGATTTCTTCCACCTCACTCTGCTTCAGCACCACACCATCTCTCAACATCGCCACGCTCGCCATGGCGTTGCCTGCACTTCCCCGTCTTGCCGACCGGCTCACCGTTGTTTCCGTCAAATCCAAAACCGCCCTTCCCGATACCACCGTCGCCGTGCCCCGGATCCAGCTGGGCCTCTACAAGATGGGCGGCAGGGAAGCCCGAGACTCGGTACGAGCCGCCCTCTCCCTGGGCTACCGCGGCTTCGACTGCGCGCAGATGTACTACAACGAGCGCGAGGCCGGCCTGGCCATCAAGAACTTCCTGTTTGGGCCGCAGAACTCCCAGGGTCTGAGCCGCGAGGACATCTTCTACACCTCCAAGCTCGCCGACAACGAGACCTCGTACGATGCCGTCAAGCGCTCCATCGCCCAGTCGGTCGAGGCGTGCGGCCTGGGCTACATCGACCTGTTCCTGCTGCACAGTCCCTACGGCGGCAAAAAGGCGCGCTTGGCGAGCTGGAAGGCCTTGGAGGATGCTGTGCTGGAGGGGAAGGTGAGGTCGGCGGGTGTTAGCAATTATGGCGTGGCTCATGTGAGTTTCATTCGTTTGCCTCTCCATTCTGCGCATTTTTCTTTTTTTTTTGCATTGGTTGACGAGAATTCGTGGCCAGATTGAGGAGCTCATGAAAGCAGTCGAGGAGTCCGACTCCGGAGTAAGGCCCGTCATCAACCAGATTGAAGTCCACCCTTTCAACACCCAGACCGGGATCCGAGATACTTGCAAGAAGCATGGCATTGAGATCGAAGCGTATGCTCCTCTTGTGGCGGGGATGCGTATGGGACACCCAAAAATCGCCTCGCTGGCAAAGAAGTACGAGTGTTCTCCAGCACAGCTCCTCGTTGGGTATGTACTCCACCAATTCCCATTTATCCCTCGGTACCTGCGTGATATGCAGAATAAGACGGATGCTTACAAGAGGCTGCGAAATGTAGATGGAGCTTGGAGCACGGGATGGTGACGCTGCCGAAAACCACCCAGTTCCAACGCCTGATTGAGAATGCCGATGTGTCTTCCTTGAAGATCTCGGAGGAGGATATGAAAGAGTTGGATGCACTCGACGAGAGACTAGTGACGGACTGGTAAGCACACCTAACCTTCTCTTTATAAGAAGCCTATAGTTGTTCTAATATTGCTTATAGGGATCCTACTGAGTGCAAGTAACTGCACGTGCAGTCAGGCCGTCAACATTCACGCTGGTAACACGGGTACACGCAATGGAGACTTGAACTTGAACGAGAATAACAATCATAAACTAGTCTACCCAAAAAAGCATCTACTTGATTCAGACCAGCCCCCAGCTCCGTGAATCTAAAGACATTGGTAGTACCACTGGTCCTTGCGCGTGCATGTCAGTCCGTCCGCACAAGTGTAGCTACCATTCCAGGTATCTCCGCCGCACTGAGCAAATTTGACACCTGGCGTCGGGGTCGCAAGAGCGAGGATGCGCGAGGCAGCGTGCTCCGAGATGGTGACGATGTAGGCGGAGGGGTTGGTCGTGATCATTCCAGGGAAGATGGAAGCGTCCACGACGAAGAGGTTGTCGGTTCCCCAGACCTTGGCATTCAGGTCGACAACGGCATCGCCCCCGGAACGGCCATCATTCTTGCCAATCTTGTTACTGCCGATCCAGTGGTTGGCACGACGGTTGGATGTAGATACAAGCATCTGCGACGGTGTAAGTAAAAGGAAGCAAAGTTGGGAGTAAACAGCCGAGAAACTAATTACCTCGTTCACGTAATCGCGAGAAGATTTTCCAGGGGCAGGAGAGAGCCAGGTAAGGTTGGCAACACCTGACAAGGCAGTCCGAAGATTGTCGATACCCTTGATGACAGCTTCGATGTCATTCGAGTCCTTGAGGTACGGGACGTCAGAGACAACTGTGTTCAGGTTGCTGGTGATGGTCATGCGGCCTCTGGATTTGGCGCCACGGCCGAGATACTGGCTCATGGTGATAGCATCTGACCATGGTTAGCTTGGATTTGGGCTCAAGGATACAATAATTATACTTACGCGCATCTTCGTGGCCGAGACTGGCTTCAACACGGGCGGTCCATTGGAGTGAACGGACAATATTGTCGGCTCCGAGGATCTCGTCGAAGAACACTGGACCAATGTTCGGGGCAGCTTGTGCCAAAATACCAGACCGCTTGTCTATTTACAACGTTAGTAATGATTCCAGTGATTCTCAATTACTACCAAGACATACTGAGATAAGCGTCCTTGTCTGCTGTGATGGGGTTATCCCAAGCTTCGTAGAAGTCATAGAAAACAGCACTAGGATGGCTGATAACGGTGTCGGTCTAACCCAAGTTAGTGAACATGAAAACCAACGTAGATGGGTACCATTATATCTTACATTGGTATGATCCTCCAAGTTACTGCCGACTGGCAGATTGATCCAAAACTCTTCTTTGATATAGCTTGGGCCATCTGAAGTTGAGCCATTGACGATGGTGAGTTGATCATCCGGTCCGATACCACCTATCAAGAAAATCACAAGTTAGAATTCATTTCAACTTCAACAATCAAGAGGATCTAAGTAAATACTTACTTCTTAGCAGAATCTTGGCGCTGCCAAAGGTACCGGCAGAGAGGATGACTCTGCCAGTATTCTTGGTCAGGGGCACAGTGCCGACGTAGCCATTACCAGCGTAAGGCTCGACTTCAATGCCAGTGACGTGCCCCCTTTCGCGAATGACACGCTTGACCTGAGTGTTGGTCCAGAAATCAAAGTTGCTTCGCGCATTCGCCGTCCGCAGGTACGTAGCCAGCGGGCCACCTCGCTCACCACCCGCAAACATGTAGGGGCCATCCGTGTACGTACGGTTCTTCGAGTTCGGGTCAGCGATAGGATCGACGAGATTCCAACCGGCAGCCTTGAGCCCCTGGGACACAATGTTGTAACCCTCAGGGAGGTAACGCTTGCCATCCTGCGAAGGAACCCTGGTGCCAGGGATCCGGGAGAAGACTCGCTGAGTGGCGGCCGCCAGGTCCGTTGACTTCCACCCATCAGGGAAGTTGTAGTCCCAGTCTGCGGCCTTTGGCTTCCACCACAGACCAGCGTTGATGGCCGTGCCGCCGCCGAGGACACATCCAGCCATCTGATCAGTGTCAAGACAAGCGATTCCGGAGGAGTCAGCCCAGATCTGATTGCAGAGACCGGGAACATCAAATCGAGTGAGGGATGTGCTAGAAAGCCACGATGGCTTGAGCTTGCCGCCCCATTCTCCTGTGGAGGGGGGTCCCTTCTCGATGAGCAGGACCTTCTTGCCAGCTTCGCTCAGCTTGTCGGCAATGGGCAGGCCGCCAGCACCACCGCCGATAACGACATAGTCATAGGCTGTACCCGTAGGCACTGGAGTGCCAGTAGGGATAAGTGTAGAAGACGTTGAGGTGGGTGTGGCGCCGCAGTCTCCAGGGACCACTCCCGTGGCCAGAGCTTTCCAGGTGTCATAGCTCGGGTTGGCGATGTTGTCAGTCAACGTGGCCCCAAAGATGCTCTGGGAGGTGTGTTGGGTGAGAGTGATATCCGCAGGACAGGCACCGTTTCCAGGGCTGCCATTGTTCAGGGCCCAGCCAAGGAGCATGAACTTGCTGCTCGTGCTCGGGCCGCCAGTCTGGCCGTTGTGGTTCCACGCCAGGCATCCGACACAGCGATAGATGAGCTCATAAGAACCGGAGCTGATCGTTGAAGAGATCTGTGTGACTTCTGCCGTGCCAGCATAGTTGACAGGAGTCTCGTAGCCAGTGGCCCAATTGAAAGCAGTGAGAATCTTTCCCTCGTAGGGGTAGGCCGTGAGCAGGAGATTGTTGGTCATGGTACCTCCTAGGGAAAGGCCGCACCATCCAACGCCCTCGCCACTTGGAGAGTTACATTTCTGTTTACTGTCAGTAAGAAAATCTTGGAGGGATAATGGAGACCAACGCACCAGGTAGCCAATGTACTCGGTAGCATCGACAGTCAGGGCGTTTGAAGGAAGAGCAAACCCGAATGTCATGCCAGCAGTCGCAGTCCAGGTATCAAAAACAATTCCCGTAGCTGGGTCTGTATAGGGTGTAGGGGTTGAGCTTTGTGCAGCAGTATGCACGGCATCTCGTCAAGTGTTAGTGGGAGGCGATTGGAGAATAATTCCTGGAGTTGACTCACACTGTGCCAAGGCCAACAGCACCGTAGGGAGCTTGAGTGACCACATGATGACGATCTCCTGTCTTCAATCTGTCAGATCAAATCATTCAGTAGCAGAAGGCGTGGGGAAACAGGAGAGAACCATATGGCACGCATCTATGCAGATATATATACAGTATATGGGAGTGGATCAGCCAGGAAGGCAAGGATAGAAAAGAGTGCCCAGATCACCGAATTGGAATTTGAGGTATTCCAAATCTGAGACGTATGATAGGAGGAACTGGGACCAGGCAATCTCCGCAATCTAACCCTGTGCTGGCAGGATAGACTTTGTCTCCGGTTAATTGCTAAACGAAGGTGTCCCACGATCTCATCTAGATGTTACATGGGCCCGTACGGTCCTATCTAATGCTGAGAAATAGCTTTCGTCACACTGGCAATGTCTCAATTGAGAAATCAGACCGGCCGGGCCGCTGAATGGGGATATTCTTCATGTTCTCGTGACCAATATATCCTCCCTCAACGGGCAGTCGGTCTTCCTCTTCTCATATCTTCCTACTAGTTCCATGTTGCATCCGAGAAGGGAAACGGAGCTGTGTGTCCGATCTTGGTTAAAGGGGGATATCTGAGACGCCGCCCCGGCACTGCGCACCGGATTTCCATATGGCGATCAGGGGTGTGTTCAGTTTCCCCTCCCGGATCCCCGCCGAGTTTGGGATCCTGTACCCAGTGGCCCATGCGCGCACCGGAGGTCTTAGCAGACGAGGTGAGGGCGTTACAAAAGACGTCCAAGTTCCGTGAACAGACTGGCGGAGGCAAATTCCTTGGCGGGGGCACCGCGCTCAGCACAACGTTTCAATTGCAACCCCACCCCCAGACCCATGAGATTTGAGGGGAAAACGTGGCCCTAGGCGGTCTGGTCTTTCGTTTCGGATGAGACCTTGCTCTGTTTTCTGGGAATTGAGTCATCCTATCACCCTCAACCAAACTCCTACTAGTTCTAGAAAATATTGCATTCACCGAAAAGACAATGCTACCATATCTTCCCATCGGGTGAACTCCTTTGCGCATTGTCATATCATCAATAGAGGCCTGCTGGGCCTTCTTTGCTGTGTATTAAGGATGAATATAGGAGAATGTATCTTCCAATAGCGCCAAATAGACCACGTGTTGTCAGAGCGGTATTCTCTCAATCTTCAATATAGGATGACATGTGAATGAACTTTAAGGGCTGATTGTTTCCCAATGGTGAACCGCTTCTCAAGTTGGCCCTCCTGACATTGAATTAGGGCTGCTAGGTCTCTAGGATGTGTAGTCCTCTTTTCTCTGTTCTTCGATTGGAATCATGAATGTCAACTTCCCCACAAGCGTTTCACCTACCTATGTACCAATAATCTGGAGAGTTCACAGCGAGATGACTGGGAACCACCAGTTCCTCCTTCGAAGAACATGGTATTTTCTTTTTCCAATTGCGAATTAGACCCCTCAGTGGGCTTAAAAGAGGTGAAGCGGCTTGAGCAAAGTCGATATACGGAGTTCCCAGCAGCGCGGGAATGAACCAAGATGTTCAGAGCCCACGATTATCATGTCGAGAAACAAACGTGGCAGAGCCCTCTTTGTTGCGGTATGGACGCCTTGACTGATCTCTCTACTTACTAAGAGTAGAAAAAAAGGCATGAATTTTGGTAGAATATGCTGAACTCTAGTCACTTGGTGTCCTTTGGCGGCCGACTTAGATCAAGAAACTAGCATCTAATGACTTCCAGAGCATCTTATGCTGTATGTCAGTGGGGAGCTAAAGAAGAGGCTTTTTTGCTAGTGTGGGCGACTCTGGGAACATCAGGAATTAAACTGATAGTCGACTGGATATTTGCTCAAGTTTTGAGGGGCGAGTACACCAGTCCACACGGGGGGTGTTGCCCTGGCTAACACCTAATAATGCTATCAACCGCTGAGAGAGTGTATGAGAAGCAATGCCACTTAACATCACGCAATAATTAACCAGTACAAGCTAAATATTACGCAATCATTGACCAGGAACACGTATAGTAGAGCAGTTTCAGAATTGCTATTCTCCGAGAACTTGAGCGAGGTTAGGCTTTTGTGTGAAGCTATCTAGGTAAGATCGAGTTCGAGGGGTACAGTTAAGTATTAATAATTATTTATAAGCGATACAAAGACATAGAGCACTCAAAAAGACACAAGAAAGCTTTTGAGTTCTTTCATCCTATGGTGTGAAATATGTCAATGAGGTGGCCTGTACTGGGAAAGCAACTTAATCCATACTCTTTATACGAATATTTGCATGGGCTATTTGGAAGGTGACGCAGACAATACTTTCCCTGTCGCGGTAGGTGGTGCCGGCATGTCTCGAGATCATCTGCCAGAGAGGCTGTGACCACTGTCATTAAAACCTACCCTTGTGTATTTAGACCAAATCCTAGTGCCATTCACATACCTAGGCATTGAAAATTGCTCAAGTCCGGCTACAACATTGTTCTCTAGGTGCATCCACGCCAACAACCCGGCTGAATTCTGATTTGATAAGATTCTAAAGACCCCCAGGCAACAGACTAGTGCCATGATATCAAACGAACCTGGGTCGGGGTTTGTATCACGATTAATCCAAGTTTTGTTCTTAAAAAGCCAGGCAAAGGGGAGCCGATATAGTTATATATCTTGGTTAGGGAAATTCCTTCTCATCGGGATAGGTTTCCACGTCAGAGCCAAAGTCTATCATTAACTCACTAGTATCTTGAAATTCGCGTAAAAGGCTGTCGGGGATATTGAGGCAGATGAATTTGAAATTAGCCGTATCCGGGGACGAAACTCAACGCGGGAAAGCTGCAATGCTGCTGAAGCAAGAATATGACTACGGCCGGTTCCCGATATGTGTCACAATCCTTGCAAGGATAGGAATAGCAGATGTGAAACTTTACTCCCTTTTAGATAGATCTCCTAGAGGATATTTCTATAGTTATTCCTATTATCAAGGCACGAAGTCATGCCTAATTCCATTTCCCTTATTATGGTGAGGGCCATTATACAAATCACCTTCAGATAGTTACCAAATATAAATATCAAAACTTATGTTGGAGTCTGGGGTTTGAAGGCAAATCAACTGTTTCCAAAACGCAACTAAATTTCAAGTAATCTCTAGCTTAGAAGGATAGTCGGGGTTTTAGATCCCAGAGGGACTCAAGCTTCTCGCCTCAAAGAAATTTAGCACTGAATTTGGGTAGATTTAATATCTTGGATGTCATTATTCGATAATAGGGCTTAAGATACACATGAAGCTCTTAGAAGCTCCCCAGGTCAATCTATATTTAAAAAACAGAATAACATTTCGATGTGGTGGTTCCGGGTATTCGTGAATGCCAAGTCCTGAAACCGAAGAACTGGCGAAGACCCCTGTCACTAGGCCTCGTAGAACCATGATTTTACCTCTTCTCCAATACTCCAACGTCGGCTGCGGCCCGGAACCAATGCGGATAAGGCGGCAATGTGCCCTGTCTTTTCTACGACACCCGACTGAGCTTCGGTAGAGGGAGCCATATCGCCATGAACTAAAATCAAGTCAATTTAGATCAATAAATTTGGCCAACCCGCGAAGAGCCTCTAAAATCAACTACTCGTTACCTGGTCTAGATATAGTAAATCTTCAACTAGAATACGGCTCTCGAAATTTCAATGGAATGCTTCGCTTTGGCCTTCATTTGGATGAACAATAGTGTACGGGCCGCACGCTGACCTCGGTGGCGGACCGCCAGAATGCGACCATCCCTGAAGTTCCTTGATGAGGAGTAAGACACCGACAAATCTACCATGAACTTGGATACAAGCTAACCCCAAGATATCAATTGTGCGGGGAAGGGCCAGATATCAGACCATTTATTTCATTTTGTGCCAGCGGGGAAGTCCCAGAGTAGAAATATATAAGTTTGTTTGATCCGCGTCCATCCGTGCCTGACCACTCAGATCAATTACTTTACGAATTACCCATCGACCTACCGAGGGATCTACTTAATTATGAGTAATATCAAACTTGGAGATGACTTCACCAAAGCTGTCATTGCAGCTACTGGGCCGAAGGCCGATCCGCGTATCCGAACAGTCTTTGCCAGCCTGATCCACCATTTACATGATTTCACCCGTGAAAACCAGATCACGGTGGATGAATGGACAAAAGCCGTTGCCATGATGAACCGGGCGGGCCAAATGAGCAACGAGAAGAGAAACGAGGGCCAGCTTGTATGTGATGTTCTGGGGCTGGAATCGTAAGTTGGTCCTATTTTGAAACATGCAGCCTCTGAATACGACTAACGAGGATGGGAAAGACTTGTAGATGATATCACCAATAGCTTGTTGGTGGGCGAATCCTATGAAGCTACTGCTACCGCTATCTTGGGTCCCTTTTACAGAGATGATACACCTGCAATCCCTAACGATGCGAGCATTGTTCTCACGCCTCCCAAAGATGGGAAAGGCGAGAATGTCTACATGCACGGGATTGTCACTGATGCCGCAACGGGAAAGCCGATTCCTGGAGCCAAAATCGACATTTGGCAATGCTCTACAAACGGAATGTATGAACAACAAGACCCGGACCAAGCAGAATGGAACCTACGGGGGAAGCTCACAACAGATGAGAATGGATACTATGGGGTTTACTGCATCCGGCCAGTGCCTTATCCTATTCCATATGATGGTACAGAGCTCCCAATGCGTTTTATTCCTGCCACGAATTCTAAATAACTGATTCATTCGACTTAGGTCCTGCTGGCGATCTTCTTCAGCTGCTAGATAGACACCCGTGGCGCCCCGGGCACATCCATTTATTGGTAGGTGTTTGCCACTGAAGCGAAATTCCGTTGGCATGACTAACTTCCGATGAATAGATTGGGATAAATGGGTATGCTCCTTTGACCACACAGATCTTTGACCGGACCAGCAAATATCTTATCGATGACTCTGTCTTTGCTGTCAAAGATGAGCTTCTGGTCGACTTCAAGCCGATACAGAATAACCCTAAGGCGGAGCTTGAGCTAGTTTATGATGTGAAGTTGGCGCCATCTAAAGCCTGATACCCACTATATATGTGAGGCTTTCTCTATTTATATTATTTTCTTAGCTACATAGTTTGCTTTGCTGAAGGATTATGACGCATGCGTAGGAAGAAGTTTTAGCATTGCTGAATCAGAAAACATATGGTTCCCATAATTATCAAACGGCTACTAGCGACCAAATAAGGGATATCATTCGCAGGGAATAAGTAAACAGGCATTACGATCGCAGGGCTTCCTATCCCTAGTCACGTAGGCATTGGCCGATATATTAATTAAACTATCATTCACCCTACTTCATCGGGATGCAGGGTAGGGACGCTCCCGGGAAAATAGTCGATCCGGATGTCAAGCAGCCAAACCCCTGGGCAAACGTGGACCAAGCTCAAATGAGCGCCCCTCCCATCATCTTATACTTTTCTATTTTGGAATATGGAAATTCCCACGCGCATACAGGTTACTAATCCAGCAAGGACCAGCGTTTTCAACGTACTGGGAAGTCCACTGCTTGCATCATTTAACTGTTGCACCTTCTCTTCTCGTGTAAGCCCGAGTTCGGATGGAAATTCCCGAGAACCAGCTGCGAGCCTTGCAAGGGACATCGTAAAGCCACATGCAATTTGAAGTTGATAAGGGAATCGGGAGAATAGACGCTGTCTCACGTTAGGCTCTCTGCCCTAAACCCCCGCCAGACCAAACTCGCACCAAGCGCTGACTTTCAATTCAGGATAAGCGCCCGTCCGGCGCTATATCATATCGTTTATTAGTGGTCCTCGGTTCATAGTGCTAAAGTGAATCAAGTTTGATCATGACCCAACCGCGTTGTGGCGCCATTGGGTGGGCGAAGGATTGACCAGGATCCCCCGACCTGTCTCATTTTCAGCTTCGCTCAACAAGCCAGTGAGAGACGATCAATCGGCTCACCAGCAGCTGAGTGTCCATCTGGCGCGCGCTTAGAGACATCCGTCCGATTGGGTAACAAGCTTCTTAACCGTGAATTAGGTAAGACTCATTTAAGGGTAATGTCCTAGGCTTAGGAGAGGCTATGACAATATTAGTCTGGTGGTGTGGGCCAGGTTGATCCATGGTCAGCAATCCTTCGTTCCGCCTGTCCCCGTCTTCCCCCTGCCTGAGGAGCCCGGAAAGCTTCTGTCTGTGTCAAGAACCAGCCTGTGGAGATGGAAGAACTGAGACAGGTCGCGTATGATTGGAAAGGAGGAACAGCTCACTGGTTCAGAGTGCCTGAAAGCCACAGAGCTGTTCCTCTCTGCGTTCTCCTCAGCTTCTAATTATGGCACAGGCTGGGCCCGCTCCCTAGTGCCGAGGACAGGGGCTACACGAGTTGCATTCCAAGGAAATTCTAAGCGGCTGCGGCAGTTCTGTAACTTTGATGATTAGCTGTTTCGGACTTCCCCTTCGGACTGGGCAAGCCGGCCAAGTGCCCTCTCCCAGTCGACGGGGAAGAACATCCCCACAGAATCCCACCATCTTCCTGGCCCCAAATCATGCACACGAGCAGTAGCCTTGTCGTTTGAAACACGTTAGTTTGCAAGGGTCTTTGACCTTCTCAGCTGCCTTGCTGAGCAGTTAAGAGAATGTCCATCCCATCCCTGCTCTCCTCCAAACTCGCATCGGATCTTCCCTCCTTTCCGCATTCTAACCTTCGGCCACCTCCACCTTGACATGCGCTCGCTTCGTCTTGAGCGTAAACGATTTGACGCTTTTCACGATTGAAGATGGAGTGGCCAGTCAAGAATAAGCATCTGCCAATATCGCCCAACTATGGCCGAAGCGATGCTGGACTACACCCGGTCCCCGAGCCCACGTTGGAGGTCGTCGCTGGCGACAGAGTGGTCTATGACGAAGGAAAAGAGGTCGTCTCGTCGCCAGGCGCCGGCGAATCAACCATAGTCTCTCCCTCATCACCCTCAGATTTGACGTCTGCCACGACGCCAGGGCAGGCCAAGATCAAGCCATTCGATGGCCACTACGACGGCCACCACTACCACCACCACGGGATGGAGGACGACGGGAAAATCGTGGTGACGAGCTCCTCCAACGACAAACAGCCGTGGTACCGAAAGCCGATAGTCCTCGCGGGATTGATTGTCCTAGCCGTCGTTATTATTCTGGCCGCCGTGCTGGGAGGCGTTTTCGGTTCGAGGAGCCGCAACAATTCGTCGTCGCCCGACTCATCATCAGGAAGCACCACCACCACCACAGCTTCAGCAGCGCCGTCCTCGACCGCGACGTCAATTGCCGCAGACTCACCCATGGGCGTTTCGGGGTGGAAGAATGGCGACGATAACAACTTATATGTCGCCTACCAGGCCGCCGACAACTCGCTTAAATACAGCAAGGCCACGGCGTCGGGGTCACAGACTGAATTTACCTGGGGGGAGCCGAAGTCGCTCAAGCCGGAAAGCACGCTGGGAAAGAATGCTGGTCTGACTATGAGCGTCAGTGTCGATCAGTCAAACGACGCCAACTCACAGGTATGGCTACCCGTTTTGCCGTGGTTCATCGTGAAGAAAATTCTAATTTTGTTCTTCAATTTAGATCCAGCTTAGCCTTCTATATGTCAACGAGACCTCGTACATCAACGGCCTGACTTACGTTACCGGGGGACAGGCGGAAGCCAAGGGATTCACGACCTCCGATATCAACCAGCAGCCTTTCAAAGTGGCCGAGAACAGCACCCTGTCCGCGTATTGGCCCTTCATGTTATACCAGAATACCTCGGGTGTTGTCCACGCCCTTTGGTACGAGTCGGAAACCCCATACGTTCCTTACAGTCTCTCAGCTACGGCCGCGTCGAAATCGAATCTGGCCGTGGTGCCTGTTTCACGAAACGTCACCAAAATCAGCGGGAAAGGCTTCTGGGCAATCTTCTACCAGAACCAGAACGGGAAGATAGTCGCCACTCCGGACCCGGGGTTCTGGGACGAAAAGCGTGCTGATGACCTTGTCACCATTGTCAGCACCTGGAATTCTAGTAGGCATCTCCCAGTCATGCTTCCACCCCCAATCCTCAATGACTAACAACTTTATAGCGTTTCCAGATATCACACTTGCAATTGGAAGCTCGTTCACGGCATTCTCACTTGCGCGCGGAGACAACGACAAGGTCAACACATTTCTCCTGTATCAAGATGGTTCGGATATCAAGCAGGCCTGGATCAACAACGACAACGGCTGGCAGATCTCATCACCCAAGCTCCTACAAGGGGCAGACAGGGGGACGCACATCGGATGCATAACCCCCGCCGTGTGGAAGAGCGACCGCACGTTTTCCGAAAAGCTCCTGGCAGAAGAATCGGACTTGTCGAAATGCTACTTCCAGAAAGGTGGCAAGCTCTTCGAGGTCCGGCTGGAAGGCAAGGACTGGGTGGACTTGAAAGAGATTTCAATACCGTAAATGGTATTTCATTCGTTAGTATATGTTATGATACATTGGGATTTTGCTTTTCGGGGTCCGGGGTTACTTGTTGGGCAGGTCCGTGGAATACACTGGGCTGTAAGCGTTTGCTGGTACATACACCGTTTTCTTTACATTTTCTCTACAATACATGAACGGCTTAGATATAATAAGACATCTATTCGGTTAGATTTTACTGCACGAGTCACGAGTTCCCAAACATATAGTTTTCTGTACGTTACATCAATGAAGGACCAGCATTCACCAGCAGAATTCTGACCACATCTTATATCATCAACATTTACCTGATTAAGAGAGGAGATCATCTTGGATGAGCTAGAAACATTGTACGTGCATGTTGGTCTAGCTCTAAGAGACGACGGGTTTCTGTGGACTAATCGAAGAATAACCAACACTTTTCTCTATATCACGAAAAGGCTTCAATCTCTTCCCCAAATATCTTCTTCGCTCCCAATGCTCCCCGTGATCCTGTAGTATAGACCGAATAGAGATATCAGGCACTTTTTCCATTGTGGAAAGCATTCAAGTGTTCTATGATTGATTAGTGTATCAAGTGGGCGACTGGAGAAATGAGACCTGATGGAAGAGTTGGTTATAAACAGACTGCTTTCTACAATAATGTCAAGAAATTTAGTTGTATAAAATAAAATGGAGTAGTAATATATACTGTGCTATCTCTGAAGTATATATTATTAGCAATGAGTAGTTTGATGATACTGATCGCAGACTTAAAAATGAACAGTTTACTGTTTGAGTGTCTAAATTTCAATGTTCCACTTGTGTATATACTGCAACATCGAGATGGCTTTATCTCGAAAGTCTCATGAAGTACTTTCATTAGCCCAATCTGGTATAGACCGAGGATGTATTGCATCTCGGTCTCGGCCTCGGTCTTGGAACCTCATCTAGAATCATGGGAATTATGCAGAGTTTGATAGGGGAAACAGAGATCTAACCGAAGACTGAAAAATAAGAAGCTTCCTGTAAGAACTTTGCGAAATTAGAAATTGAGAAAAAAAAATAGATTACATGAACATCCTTTGGCTGTGAACTCTATAATCTACTGATGAAATCGTACTCATCCAAGGTTCGTCGAATGCCGGATTCCGCGCAGTCCGGATTTATAATCTCATCATTTAGGCATGATGTCGCTATATATGAGTCGTTCCGATCTACTCATTGTTAGAGATGAACGCTATTCCATCAATCTCCAGAAAAAATAATGGCCAGCGTTCTTGTTGTGGGAGCTACAGGCCAACAGGGCGGAGGCGTCATCAGCGCGCTGCTGGGTTATGGCCGCACCGATCTCACCATCAAAGCATTGACCCGGAATACCTCTTCTGCTGCGGCCCAAAGCCTGTCTAGAAGAGGGGTGCAGCTGTACAAGGGAGACCTTCTTGACCGCCAGAGCCTGCTCAACGCGTTGGATGGCGTGGATGTTGCGTATCTTGTCACCGACTTCCGAGGGCCGGAGGATATTGAAGGGGAGATGAAACAGGGAAAGCAATTCGTGGATGCTGCGAAAGAATCAGGTTCTTTATTTCTGGCTCGTGTGGAAACTTGCTATCTGGAATTTCTGGAGTCATAGCTAACGAATCAACGCAGGTGTCAAACATATAGTGTTCTCTTCGGTGGCTGGTGCCGACATTTCGAAACCAGTCGATCACTTCTACACCAAGTATCACCTTGAAGAGTACATCAAGCAGTCAGATCTCACATGGACCATAGTCCGGCCTGTAGGCTTCATGGAGGTGGTGCCACCCCCCGGAATTGGAAGGTTTTTCTTCATGAGCGCAATGGCTTCACTCATGGGCGACACGAAACAGAAATACGTTGCATGCGAGGACATTGGAAAAGCTGTGGCAGCAGCCTTGATCGATCCAAATAAATTCAGCGGAAAGGTAGTTACTGTCGCCGGTGAAGTTGCTAACGTTGATGAACTGCAATCAGCTCTTGAGAAGGGAGAGGGACGCAAGGGCTGGGGGAGGATCTGGCTTCCTCGTTGGGTTATCATTCGGCTGACGCCCCATCACTACAGGCAGATGTTTGATGTGAGTGAAAAGATTATTTCCTGGATTGTTCTCGCCCTCTTGCTTACGAATGAACGGCAGTGGCTCTTTTATGACAACTGCCAACCTGGGAGCCCAGAAGAGACTAAGGAAATTGTCCCAGACCTGCTGAGCATCGAAGCTTGGGCTCGGAAACAGCAGGCTGAGAGAGCGATCGCCAGCTAACACAAAGAAACAGTGGTATATATGAAAATCTTGCTTGCTGGAGGAACATAGCTGAAGATGTCACTTGCGGTATTGGTACAGCTGAAGAGGTTGCTTGTGGCATGACAATGTTGATAATGGCTCTGGCGCCGCTTCTCTTTGATTGAATACATCAACTAGGTTTCACGTTATCATTATGCCTTTTAATTAAACCCCATGAGTTCCGGGTCTCTTTTCATCCTTGCGACCCCTATGTAGCGTGGATGCGACCTTCCCAGTCAACATACGGTCAACGTCGGGTAGCAGCAGGGCGCATATCAGCGCAATGCCCGAGAAGGCGATGCTAACGTAAAAGATGGTACGATACGCATCTGCGTTTGCCAATTTGTTTGCCCAGACACCTGCAGCAATGATCTGATCACTGATTCCAGGAATGTCGCTGAAGCCTGTCCCTGTGCCGAGTGCCGTTAGGAACGCAGCGACACTCGACGATGGCAGGCCGGCCTCTGTTATGGCCGGTGGGACGCGCGCCGGGATCGTCTCGGAGAGACGGTTGGTGAGGACGACGTTGTAAATCGTGGAGGCGATGCAGCTGATGAAGAAGCGGATGGAGCCCGCGAGCCCTGAGGCAGAGCCAAGGTTGGCCTGATCCCAGGCTGATATCGTGACAATGGTGATGGCCAGCGACTCGGCCCAGCCGATGAAGAAGGTGCCGAGCGCAACGAATGCCGCGGCACGTCCTTTGCTGTCGGGGGTGCTGGTTGCTGTGCAGCCGAAAAAGATGCCACTCAGGAACACCATGACGACGCACTGCCACTTTAAATAGCCGATCGGTTTCGCTAGAAACCCGCCGACTATCTGTCCAAGGATGATGAACAGCCCAACAAACGACGCATACCAGGAAGATGTTGTCTCGTCCATATCGGTGTACAACTTGCCGATCATGTTGGGCCAGACGATGGCCAAGGCGTAGTACACGCTGGCGCCGAGACCAGAGAGGATGGTGGCAGCATTCCAGGGCCCATTCTTGAAGAGATGCATGGGGACCAGTGGCTCTTTGAGATTGGCGAAAGATTCCCAGAGGACAAAGGCGACAAGGCCGACGCAGCCTGCGACAATCGTGCCGATGACATATGGAGAACTCCATGCATAGACGTTTCCGCCCCAGTTGAGGCCCATCATCAGAATCAAGAGACCGCCGGTGTATAGCGTGGTACCAACGTAGTCAAAGTCCTTGATGAATTTCAACAAGCTGGCGTTTTCGCCATGCTTCATCTTGAAGGTTGGCGGATGGTAGAAGAAGAACCAACACAGGAAGCTGGCGACGTTGATACCCAGCAGAACATAATAGCAACCCCTCCAACCGACGCCAGGGTGATTTTGGAGGAAGGCGTGGGATATGACGGGAGCAATGCCAGACCCGGGAATGGTGAAGATGTAGCACGCGGCATTGCCAGCCAGACGGTACTTCATAGGAACGAGCTCACCCATGACGTAGTAGTATGAGAGCTGCGTGGCAGCTGCGATGCCCACGATGGTGGTGCCGCCGATGAGAGCGTTGATGCTCTGGGCCGTGGCACACACGATGGAGCCGATGATTCCAAGACCTGCGCCGCCGACGAAGACCCATCGGCGACCGAAGATGTCTGTGACTCTGCCAATGATGGTGAGGGCTACGGCCGAGGTGAGTGTATAGGTAAGTGCAACCCAGACGACGTTGCCGTCCTGTCGTGGTGACTTGTCAGTTATTTCCTCATAGATCGTGGCTGTCGAGGTGTAGTACTCACTGGGCCAATGTCATTGTTGATTATTGTCAGAATTGGGGCAGCGTACCCATAGCCAGCCACTCCCGCCATGAGGCCGAGCCCGATACCTGCCATGGTACCTATGAAGAAAGGGCTCGTGAAATAGCCCGGGGGAAGGCTATCCTGGTCGACTTCAAAGGTGTTGTCTTCATCCTTCTGAGGTTGGTCTGCGTTGTCGGGCCCCGACGGGACCTCTCGATGATCGACCTCATGTTTCTCGCTCTCATGCGAGGTGTTATCCGGTAAAGGAGACATCTCAGCTAATGTTGCCTAGCAAGCGATAAGGAACCAGCTGTAGTTCCCAAGTCGTAGATATATCAGCCAACCACGAACCAACTGCATTGCTCGGCTGACAGGAAAGGGTAACTTCATCCGATCGCTCAGGGGCTTCCTTAGCCCCTTATCCAAGCAACAGAGTCGAGACTGATTGTGGCTTGAAGAACAAAGACAGTTTGCAGGGTCGCTGAGTCATTAGTGCCTTGTCTAGAAGGGGGAAGAGGAGACCAAGAGCGCCGTTTGTCACGGCAGAGCATTTCCGAGCAAAGAGCTTCTCTTCCTGACCACACACGATGATGCATCTCGATGTTCATCAGAGGGAAACTAGACGGCGATGCTTTACCGTCTCACGTCAATGCTTCTGCTATGCGTGATAGGTGTATGTTCCCTGTGACGTGTCCCGACAGCTGGATCGTGCGGCTAGGTGAGTTCAAGGTTGAGGAAGCAGCCTCTGAGGCAGAAGGTTTCCGCCCTTGGCCAGCTGGAAATGTTGCCGTGACTTACTGCCCAGTGCCAATGTGCCGGCGCAGCTCATGACGGTGGGCTGTTGGGAGTGCGATGGGTAAGGGCGAGCTCATGTCTGCGCGCAGATGAGGGCCCAACGACACTCGCAAATGCGCCGTGGGCAACTCTGGCCGAGGGTTCCATCTTCAAGGTGTCTTTCTTAGAACATCTGGCAATTGAAGCCATTGCACGAGATGGAAAAGACGCCCTGCATGCCAGCCGTTGCGGAGGCTGTACTGACGCGCGAGCAGAAGACTCCGCCTTTCTGTGGAAACATCCAGGGTTGATCTGCGGGGGAAAATTGGGTATTATCGCATCACTCCGCCATTTGACAACGAGGCCCGCTATGCGTTCTAGCCGTGGATATCGTCGCGATATTTTAGCGCCTTGCAATGAAGGAGCGCTCGCAATGTCTCGTGGAGGTTGATGTCTGGTCTCAGGGTCAGTGATCCAAGCTCACGTGATCTTATCTTATCTTTTATCTTATCGTGTCGCATCACATTCACCCAAGCAATCTACCTACCCGGTAGTTCCGCCCTCACGTATCGAGACCACAAAGCAGGTCTCCATACGCCAATGGTCAGATCCAGTGCGATAACAAGCCGGCTAGAAGCAAAACACACCATGAAGACATGTGCGCGGCCGCCGCAACAGGGAGTTTCGGTCACTGTTGTGGCCCATTTTCACAGAGAACTTGAGGGGCAGCTTGCTGAGCTGGTCGGGTGGTACAAGAGCCAGGGGTATGGATCGACGCCAAAACATCAGTTGCCGGTCCTTTGCCTTGATCTCCATCTCGGACCAAACAATGACAAGGCAGAAAGCGAGTGATACTCGTTGGGCATTCCCACAAATGTACATGCACACCTCTGTGCGCACAACACAACAGTGCCGGCACGAGGACAGCCACTAATACAGTCCAACACGCCCCATGAGGCATCCATGAGCCGACTCGATGCACCAGAGCGGGGCAGAAATAGGCGAGACCATCCGAGTGTTCCTCTGCGGATGGAATATTGCTGCTTGCCACCCTACCTTGATATGTACTGATTGGAATGGCACCGCTGGCTACCTCAAGAACGAATTGACATAGCTCGAGAAGCAATTGGACACTGGATAATATATCTTCGGTGCCTCCATCTCGCTCATTGATCCTTGATGCCATTGCACAACAGGCATCCTTCCCCACTATTCGCCTGCGTTATTCTGTCACAATTTTTGACGCCTTTGTGGTGACTGGTGGGTCGGATGCCTCGCCGTCGCCCATGACGTCCTCGTAGGCGCCAGAGACACAAATCGAAGACGCTACGATGCCGTAAATTCCACTCATTGAATTACATGCCCATGGTAAGCAATTAAGAGCGTCCATGTTGTGCTCAGCCCTCATCAAGGCATCTACACCTTGGCTGTGAATCCCGGCGTCGCAACAACCTACACAGAACAGGCCTGGTTCGTGATGCGTGATGCTGAGATACCCTTTGACCGCAGATAATTCCCGAACATCTGATAAATTAAGTAGGTGTAGGTAGCTTGGGATTCGAAAAAGTGAGCGCGCAATCTACTAAATGACAGACGAATGTGGTCAAATGTGCTGCGTGGCGAAGTGTCTGAGAGCATTCCAAGTTCTTGCGATGGACGGCAATTCGCTTCATGTTTTAGACAGCTAATTGTCTTTGAAGTACTGGGTTTTGGTTGAATTTGGCTAAACAAAAGTGTTGAATAGCTGAAGACTGCACTAGAATGTGGAAGAACGAGTCTCTTGTCATACTCACACACGTGTGGGAGCAGCATAGCCTTCACATTTGTGGTAGGGGACACCTGGGCTGCTCTGGCAATTCGCCGGTATTGATGGGTGTTCTCGGTGCACTACTGTCACGCACATTTGGGAATAGTTCGAAGCTACATTGCACAGCCATTGAGGCCCTAGGTAGATTACTATAAAAGGTTCGTGTTTGCAACTCACTTGCTACTTAGCCAACTGGTGTCTTTCATCCATCACGCACAGAACAATTTTCACCATCACCGTGGAGAAATCTTCATTCTCAACCTTTTGCTTTGCTCAGTAACAATCACCAAGCCCCAAACATGGCTAAATCAAAGACCACGCGCGCTCCTGCGTCCCTGTTTTCCCCGCCCTCCAACCAAGGGCAAATGACTCTCAAGACCAAAGCCAAGAAGAACAGGTTAGTAGATGGACCCAGCTCAATGTGTCGTGACTAACAGTAGTTCTGCCGCAGTGGACACTCCCGGAAACAAAAGCGAGCACAATATGATGCGGCGCCACGTTCAGATCCGCCTCCTCAGGGTGATCGTGTTGAATACTATGAGGGTAAGGCCGGAACGGCCATTAAGGGTTTCGAGCAACAGTTTGGCGGCGGCGGTAGCAAATAGGCACAGACATGACCTGTGACGCTTGTATTGAAGTTGGAGTGGCAGAGGTTCGGAAAGACCGACCATTATCTGGATGGCAATGACCAGATAATAGCAATGATGTTGCGCAAGAGGCCCATTTTTTAAATGAGCGTCCTTTTGTTTGTTTCTATTGGCTAGGGAAGCCACGGGGAGCTGCTGTATAGTTGTATAAAGAGCCTAGATTAGATGAATACCGGAGAGTGGCAACACTCGAACTATAAATCACACTTCTCGCATCTCAAATAGGATAGGGCGCCGTATGACTTGATCCATAAGGACGGCGAGATCATTCCACCGCCACTTGCGGACACAAGAGCCGGTAACCCGCAAGATCTAGATTTGAGCACTTTTGACTTGCTGTTTCAGTTTGACTCTCATTATCTCAGTTTTGCTCCCCTTGATCGGAAATTGGACATGAACGGGTTTCACGGTTTATCAATCACTCAAGCCTGTAATTAGCCCGGTCTCATGAAGGAACCTTTCATAATTGGTTCTAAACTTGCTTACATCCTTGACGGTGCCAAATCATACCACTCTAAAAATGCGAGAGGAAATGCCGGAGACTAATCAATCTAGACTACAATTGACATTCAATATCGCGTATTCTTTCCTGTGGACAGACATACATCTAAGCTACTAGTAATGAATATGCTTTCCATTCGCGGGAGTATGCCAAATTGTTCGAACCTCAACCGTGAATGACCCAGACATTCCCCTCAACGGCTCGAGGATATGTGTCATCGCGTTAAGTGGATAGACTGAAAGGTCGCGAAGACTTAGTTAAATAGGAGAGAGGAATGGAGGTAGACTGAAACAGGGCATGGCTTTGAGACAACGGGCTGGTCTAGCCACCAGGGAAGGTGGCCGGCAACAACAGCGGCCGAAAGACACCCTTGGGGCCGCGACCAGGCTAGAAGATTCTCGCTGGCATCTGATTACAAACTTCCCTCTTAAGGAAGTAGGATAAGTCGAACGGATATCCTTCCACGCTCACTGGACTCTGAACTGGTTGGCTAGTCCTGCTCAATATTCTCGTCAAGGGAGATATGACGCCAGCCACTCGTGGAGCATGTGAAACCGGGGTCTCTCGAGGCCCCTGACATAGTGAATCATTTCATTAGGGAGGTCGGGAAGTTTGAATCACCATGTTCCCACACACGTGTGTCTCATTCTCTGTTTAATATCGGGGTTTGGGGACGAGAATACTATGCAGATCCAGTGAATCTTGGGTGGCGATCTTCCCTTGAACTCTCTTATAGAAAGAGGTCGATCCTAAACTCATCCGAAGATGAGTCCGTCCAGTCCGCAACGAGATCCCCGGGGAGCCCGCACATTAAGATGAGGCAAATATTAGCTTCTATTTACATCCTGTCTGGGTTTGCTTATGCTTCATTTCTTCGCGGCAACGCAGTGGAGGTCGATTTTCTCGACCCGTTGGGAAAGAGTGCACTCGCTTCTCCAAGGCCGGGCCATTACAACGGATGGGGGACATTCGACCAATTAATCGACCACTCAAACCCGGGCCTGGGCACGTTCAAACAGAGATATTGGTACGGGACCCAGTATTGGAAGGGCCCCGGGTCCCCCGTCGTCCTCGTCAATTCCGGAGAAAGGAGCGCCGAGGGGACGGACCGGGTGTACCTCAGCGATGCCCTGCTGCCGGGCCTGTTCGCCAAAGAGATCGGTGCGGCGGTCATCCTCATGGAGCATCGATACTGGGGACGATCCTCGCCGTTCAACACATTGACGTCCGAGAATTTGAAGTACCTCACCCTCGACAACAGCCTGAGAGACATCACCAACTTCGCCCAAACATGGGTGCCCGACTTCGATCCGAGCGGGACGAGCTCGCCTCAGCGTGCGCCTTGGATATACACCGGGGGCTCCTACGCTGGGGCGCTGGCCAGTTGGCTCGCGTCGCTGTATCCCGGAATCTTCTGGGCTTATCACGGCAGCAGCAGCGTTGTGCAGAATATCGACAATTTCTGGCAGTATCATCGCCCAATCCAGGAGGCGACACCGCAAAACTGCAGCAGGGACCTCAACGAGGTGATCGACTACATCGACAATACACTCTTGAACGGATCAGAGGATGAGAAGTTGTTCTTAAAGGCCAGATTCAAGTTGGAGGAACTCCAGGATGCCGACTTTGCAGCGTGAGTTGGGACTTTCCAAGGGGAGGGGAAAAAATAAAGGGACATCGCGAAGGTTTTGCTGATCTCTTTGCGCTGTAGTGCGATCGCAAGCGGCCCGTGGCTGTGGCAGAGAACACATTTCTCCGACCAAAGAAATAAGGGCTTTAACAAATATCACAAGTTCTGTGATTACATTGAGGTATGTTCTCTTGGAGCATTTATTCTGACACTTGTCAAGGTGATGTACGACTGACTTGAAGCGAAGAATTCTGCGTCATGGCTTACCTGGACAGTCCCAGGACCCTCGGGGGTTGGACTGAAGAAGGCGCTTGAGGGCTATGCTCGGTGGTTCACACAGATATATCTTCCCAGCTGTGAGTCTATGTATCGCGAATTTTATCGAGAATTTTCTGATCATTTCTTTGTCTTAGATTGTGAGAGGGAGGCTGGTTACGGAGGCTGGAAGGGAAGGTTCAACACCGGCTGCTTTGACAGCCTCAATGCTTCCAACCCTGCTTACCACGATCTCAAGGTCAATAACTGGGCCAATCGTCAATGGAACTGGATGCTTTGCAATGAGCCGTAGGGTTTCTGAGCCAACGTCATGATCAGGGAGCAATGCTGACCGGCGACAGATTTAAATGGTGGCAGAACGGCGCACCAGAGGGCACGCGCACCATCGTTTCGAGACTGCTGGACAATGAGTACTGGGAGTCGCTGTGTCCCCTCTATTTCCCTGAAGGGGGTTACGGGATCCAGAGAAACATGACGGTAGAGAGGATCAATCAGTGGACGGGCGGCTGGGCCGTCCACCCCATCAAGCGCCTGCTCGAGTCCAACGGCCAGTTTGACCCGTGGCGTGATGCTACCGTGAGCGCTGTCGACCGGCCTGGAGGTCCCATGGCAAGCACTCCAGACCACCCGGTCATCTTGATAGCCGGCGGCGTCCACTGCTCGGATTACTACAAGAGGGACTGGGACAACAACCCCGAAGTCAAGCGCACTGTTGACAGGGAGATCGGGATCATGAGAAGATGGGTACGCGACTTTTACGAGCATGGGGGAGGGGCAAGTGCACATCCAAATCAACAAACGGGTGGGCAGACGCAGAGCAATGGACAAGCAAAGGGGCAGACGAGTGGGCAAGCATTTGGCCAGATGCTTGGGCAAATCGGGGACTTACAAAGATGATGATGCCGCTAATGGATGAGGGAGTTGCCTTGTACGCTTAGACAGAGGAAGATAGAGGAGCTTTGTCAGGAATGAACGCGTCCATTTCTCATCCGGCTAGCGCATCGCATTCTTCTTCCCAATGATGCTGGTACGGTGCGTATCTGAACAATCAGCAAACGGCACGCCATTGTCCATGGAGACAAGGCAAACGAGAAGCCGAGGCAGTGTGATGCGCTTCCTGATGACAAAATCACTCAGTTCAGCTGGGGGTGGACATTGATGTTTAGCTCAGGGCGGAGAGCAAATAGCGCATCATTCATCCCGGTCCGTTTGGCGCTTGGCTTTTTTTGAATTTAGTGACTGCATGTTCGGCCTCATTATCACGCCGCCGGTCAGTTCAAGGAGTGTCTTGCGGAGATGCGGAGATCGAGGTGCGGACATCGCTGTCCTCTCCCCCAGGGAAACAATACCTACGCCTGGGAGAGAAGCCCAAACAGTTGAGCCGATTGTCATTTTCATGTAGAGCGATGGCGTTGTGTTTGAGCATATATAAGATGAAAATGTGACACGATGTGATGATGTTGTGTGCATCATTGCTTCACCCTCCAACGAGAACAGATGGAGTCGCTGCACCTTAGCCGACCACTGACGCTGAAATGCGGCCTCACCATCCCCAATCGCCTGGTGAAGTCGGCCCTGGCTGAGAAATTTGCGACAAGAGATTCCCTGCCGGCCAGCAAACAGTGCCTCTCTGCTTACGAGGAGTGGGCAGACGGCGGCTGGGGGATGGTCATCACCGGTATGGTTTCACCCAGCGGGCTGCAGATTCACTCCATGCCACTGACACAAACGGCGCAGGAAATGTCCAAGTAACCCCCAAGTATCTCGGAGCAAAGGGCGACATTGCATTTGACCCGGCGAGGAAGGACGAGGAGAAGGTGCTGCAGGCCTGGAAGCAATGGGCGGCGGCCTGCAGCAAGAACGGGACCAAGGCCATCGTCCAGATCAACCACCCAGGCAGACAATCCCCGGCCGGAGCTGGCTGCCGCGGCCCATTCACCAAGAACATTGCGCCCAGCCCTGTCCCCCTGGACTTTGGCGATGGCCTGCTCCCCAAGATCATCGGCTCGGTCATGTTCGGCACGCCCAGGGAGATGGCCGTGGCCGAGATCGAGCAAGTCGTCCAGCACTTTGCCAGCACAGCCCGCCTTGCAGCCGACGCCGGGTTCGCGGGCGTGCAGATCCACGGCGCGCACGGCTACCTCCTCACGCAGTTCCTCTCGCCCAAGACGAACAGGCGGCTGGACGACTACGGCGGCTCCGCGGTCAAGAGGGCAAAGATCGTGGTGGACACCATCCGGGCTGTGCGCGCCGCCGTGCCGAGCGGTTTCTGCGTGGGGATCAAGCTGAACTCGGCGGACTTCCAATCCATCTACGACATGAAGGACTTCAACGAGCAGCTGGCGGCCATCACGGCCGCCGGCGTCGACTTTGTAGAGGTCAGCGGGGGGACGTATGAGAACCCAGAGATGATGGCTGACAGCCCGGCGGTGGAAAAGTCTGCCCGCACCAAGGCTCGCGAGGCCTTCTTCTTGGAGTTTGCCAAGATCGTCAGGGCCGACTTCCCAGATGTCCCTCTCCTGGTTACGGGAGGCTTCCGCACGCGCGAAGGCATGGAATCCGCGGTGTCGGAAAACGACTGCGACATGATTGGGCTTGGCCGGCCTTCGGTGCTACAGCCGTCGATGCCCAGGAGCATCATCCTCAATCGCGATATCCCAGACTCTGACGCGCACGTATACACAAAGGAGATCCCGACGCCGTGGTACATGGACATTGGGGTCAAGGCAATCGGCGCCTCTCATCAAGACGTGAGTGCATCGCAATTATGGCCCCCGGTCGGCTGCTTTGATCGTGCTGACTTGACGTGTCACAGGCCTGGTACGTGAAGAGAATTCACAACATGGGGTCTTGAGGCGGACTGAGGTGACCTTCCTACGCATCAGTGTATCAAGCGTACCCGACACAGTTCCATCAAGTATATAAATAAGCAAATGTCTTTTTAATAATAAAATAAATAACTGGGTTGGTACGAAAAGAAACAGATTCGAATTGGAGAGACGGAGAAAAAAAGGCCAACGCGGACCACAGACAGGGTCGGTGGCTTGGGTGGTCAACAAATGCTAGCTAGCCAAGGCTCAGCTGTACGATGCGATGAGTAAGGGTCGCAAAGTCTTGGCTCCCCATTCTTTTTGACCTCGTGCATCTGGTAGCTGAAGATGACGCGACCGTCAAATTTCCGGTAAAATTTACCGTCCCACACCTCCAAGCCGTCGACAATCCTCAAGCCCGTAATGACGTAGACGCGGGGGCGGCCCCAGCGGCGCGGTTCAACATTGTCCCAGACAGATTCGTCAATCATGCTACACAAGTGGTATTCCTTGGCCCAGTGCTGTTCGAGTTGTTGGAAACGGAACCGTTGTATGATAGTGGAGTTGGAGGAACTACGTTCGTAAGATTTATCCGGGCCGGAGGTGCAAACAGCATACTTGTCTGGCATGGCCTTTGGGGCAAAGATGATTGAACCCATGTCGTGGGGGTAGGAGAAGACAGCACCTAGTCGGTATGGACCAGAATCACCATGCCCCAAATACTCTGGGAAGGGATAGCCTTCATGTGGCCTGGCTGCTAACCAGTACTCGTGAGGTTGCCCGAGGTTCCAATCAGAGAAGGGGTCCCATTTTCCGGGGAAGAGTCCCGAGGCCTTGGGTACAACATCGACCAAGGTAGTGGAGTGAGAAGGTAGAGTTGCAGACCTGGTCTTTTTGGCGACAGGGTCCCATTCCTCTCCCGAGGCTTTGGGTACAACATCGACCAAGGTACTGGAGCGAGAGAGTAGACTTAAAGGCATGGTCTTATCGGCGACTACCATTAAGGCAAACGAGATTACAGCGTGGAGAAAGAACGTGAGAGCTACTGTAGCTGGGTCGTCCTTATATGGGAATCCTCTCGAACTCTAGGACTCCACGATGCTTCAACCACGATGCCATGGCGAGTTATGCGAACAAGATGCCTTTGAACTTGTCGGCTTTCTGGAACTGGGAGACTAGGAGAGCCATGCCGCTGCTGCCAGTAGTAGCTCCCACCGCAGCCGGTATAAAGGGAAGCCTACTGTATGTATAACAGCAGGGTGAGTGACAGCATATTGAGTAACAACGGCAGTTTGTTTTTGTCAGGACAAGCTATACCCGCCAGAGACTTCTGAGCATAGGGTGGAAGAAACGATGTGTATTTTTAGGGGAGAGTCGTAGAGCTCATAACCTCATTGTCATTGGGTGGGAGGAAGTTCGGCAACTTTTGAGTATCTTTTAGCGTTCAGTCGTGCGGCAAAGCATGACGCAAGACAGGCATCCATGCAGATATTGATTAACGGCTTACGGAAGTGGTATGGCTGGAGCAAGGAAAGAAGTTGGTCCTGCTACCCCAAAGATTGATAGGTTGATGGGTCGTTCGAGTATAAAGTGAAGAACAATAATGGAAGAGGCCAGACCCGACATCTCAACACAATGACGTCAAAAGGCAAAAAGAGGCTCTGTTAGCCCAAGGCTGCAGCCATACAGAATGGAAACTCTGTAAATAGCTTGATGGGTTTGGAACTGTCTTGTTTGTTTCTGTGACAACCAGAAGTAGGCTGGGCGGTACGTACTGACCGACGACGATGGGTGCACTGACCGACGACGATGTGGGCGCACTGACCGACGACGATGTTGGGGATGGAGGTCTTTCCTTCTTCCAAGTAGACAAGGCAAGCCGGCTTTGTGTGTCAACCCTAACTGACATAAAATGGTCAAGGCGTGGCCAGATGCAAAATTAGAACGTTGGTATGAAGAATTAAAAAGAGAGAGAGAGAGAGAGAAGTCTCTACCACAAAGGAAAGAGTAAAGGTTAGGGCAATTCGCCAGAACCACTAAGGATTGTCTCCTTTGTACTCAACAATCATAAGAAATCAGCACATGTCAGGCTTCTGGGGTCTCTTTCTCCTCGCCCCTCACCTCTTCATGCCTTCCAATTTGACGAGTACCAGATCATTGTAGAAGTCGGGGATCGGCCGTTAGGTCTCTTTTCTGGGACGGACGCTGCGTGTTCGCTAGCCTCTTCCTGTTGATCAGTTAGCCATCTGATCAGAGTGCTTGCTCACATGAGTGAACGATGCAAATCGTTGAGGAAGAGCATAAAGGCAAAGCCTCGTTGTATGCTTGATCAAATGCTTGATCAGACGATCGCTTTTCACCGGCGTGGAGAAAGAACGCACGGGCATGACTGGATACTCTAGTTGACCCTCAAGCGCTCTGGAGAAGCGTCATGCTGGCTGTGCGTTTTCCCGAGATGGTTCAAAATATTTCAGATCCGACACAATTATCATAGAAAGAAGGACAGGCGGTCGGGCAGGCAGTCTTATGGTCGTGGGTGAAGCTTACCTCCAATAGGACTCGTGATCGAATTCTTCATCGAAAGACCGAAAGCATAGCGGGTAGGTGGAGTTGCCGTGTTTGTCTTCGGGAGGTGGCCTTGGGAGTCTTCTGCTAGAGCCAAAGGTTGGGCGTCGTGTAAGTTTTGGAACTCGTCCAGGATTTAACCGCCGTCCTAATCCCGGCCCTGACCCCATGAGAAGAATGTGATTCGTTCGAGATATTGTCGTAGTTCGTCATACTCGGTGGCGCCAAGGCTGGGGTTAGGGCACCTGGTGTTGTTGGCTCGGTTCGGGTCGCATAGGTCGAACGCATTATCTCCTATCATCTGTTAGATGGAGTGAATTCTGGTCAGTTACAATTCTACCTTGACGGTATCATGTTCTCGGGTGCACGGGAGGTCAGACTTAACCGGTTCCTTGATCATTCGCTCATCTGACTGCTCGTGGCTAAACCGAGCCTCCATCGTGTCGGTCAACTTAGACGTCACGCCAAGTCTGGCGGCATGGTCTACAAGGGCCTCTTCCAGCCTTTGACGACACTCTCTTCTCGTGGGCGTAGGATATTGCTCCCAAGGGAGAGATGCAGCTTGCACGGCAGCCCCAGAAGGTCTCTGGAAGAGGCTCATATTCTTTCGACGTCATGAGAGCCGATGGCGGAGTGGCCCATGACGAATGAGTCAATATCGGAGTGGTCGAGGTAGAGGGATCGATACCGAAGTGGTCGAAGAAATGGGAAATGGTAGTGAAGCAGCTGGAACGATCGACGGGGAAGGAATCGGATCGGTCGAGGAAGAGGCAAATGGTGCCGAAGCAGTTGAGCAGACGATGACGAAACGGTCGATGGACAAGGGATCTTCGGGAAAGAGGCTAATGGCGCAGTGGTTGGCCGCGGGGGCTGAGGGGACAGTCGATGGATGAGCTTAGCAGTAAGGCTTGGGGATTTGATAAAATTCCCTGGGGGCAAAGACTGTTGGTCTGCGATGACTTTATGGCGCAAAACGAGGAGAAGACACGACGGCGATTAAAAATGAAGGTAACACAAGAAATGTGTTATGTTAGGTAAGCCTGCTCGGTTGGTCATCACTCAATTGCTTTCAACCGTAGGTATGGTGAGGAATTCGAGGGATTAGACGAGGTTAATTCCATCGCCACGAAGCTCGTCGGTCGCAGTATCTATAGGTACCAGGCATACGAGATGAAGCGCTGGGGCGAAAGGCTTGATATAGAACCCGCGTTTGGCTACAACTAAGCAGGCCACCAGACTGCTTGGGGCATTATCACGGCATCACAAGAATGAGGTAAGTGCAGCACGCCAATCAATCTGTTCAATTACCCTCAAGGGTGAGGGTCTCAACCATAACACCATGTTGAGCTTGCCTCTCTAACTACATGTAACCAAGACTCCCCGCAGAACTTTGCAAAAGAAGAAACACAGAAATCCCCCCAATTAGATAAAGTAAATCTTTCCGACATTAGTACCGAGGTAGATCCAGGCGGTCATTCCCTTTTCGTCCTGTCTTGTTCAGGTCTGAGCCGCTCGTGGCACGCGTGGAACAAGAGCCAACAGACTCGCACCATAGTGGCGGCTGCGATCACCAGAGGCATTATCTGTCCGGTGGACATATGGCCGGAGCTGGGCTCCATACCCGCACTCATAGCCCTGTGGGCGGCTAACATTGACGTAGTTGAGAATACAGCGTGGATGACGAACAAGAAAGTCACTGTTGCCGGGCAGTTCTGATAAAAGGGGAGACGGTCTTTGATGCGGAGCCACGCTCGGCCGTCGGGCCTTTGTGAGCTCGAGGTTTGTGAGTCGGGGCTTTGTGATTCTTCGGCCACGTTGGTCGGCGTTTTGATGGATGTAGAGAAGATGACACCTTGCAGGCGGTGTTCTCTCTTCTCGGCGAGGTGGAATTGTTTGGTATTGGTGATAGCGAAAAAGGCCCCATGGACGAACACAACCATGCGACAGACCAAGTAGACCCAGAAGGTCGCTGCTTCCACAGCCTTAGTCGTCTCGGAGCAATCTGTGACCCATCCCCACCAGAAAGTCTTGATGCAGAAACACGAATCCTCACCCACGAAGTTGCCCGCGCCAAATTTCGTCACGCAGGTGACGAGAACTGCCAAGCCAAAGGTTTGGCACATAATGGTTATCCCAACCTGCCACCTGGCCGCCAGTACATCTTTGGCAGCCAGCGTGATGCTCAAGGCGCTTGCTTGTGCGTCCAGCACCATGGCACCTACAATGGCGTCAGCTGACGTCAATGTTTTTGCTCCCATCTGTACAGCCAAGGCGACTGCTAGAGAAAAATGTGTAGTTATCAAGCTGGCACTAATCTCTTTGGTTCCGAGAGCCTTGTAATGAAAGTGGCCCAGGAATGTGAGACCCGTCAACACCTCCATCTGTGCCCATGCCAAATTGCGGACGCCTGTACCAGCGATGTCTGCGTCCACCGTGGCCCTCAGAGGACTCTGACATGTACCATGAGCCGAAGATGAACGAAGCACAACAGAAGCTCCCTCTTTAAAAACTGAAACAAAACCGGACGTAGCAACCGAGCCAGCGACGATGGCGACAATAGCGGGCGCTAAAACATATTGTACGAAACGTACATACAAAATGTTGGAGATTGCAAGGCCCCACGCATGAGAAAGCATCACTCTGGTGCGTTGATATATGCTTCGTCTCCTCAGAGCCGCCTCATGGCTGTTCTGCCCACCCTCAGCATCCTGCTCCTGGCCGTCGTCTCCTGTGTCCGGCTCCTGAACCTCCTCCCCATCATCCAAGTCCCGCGATTCTCCCACAGCTTCCAAGTCTGGTAATTCCTCCCCATCATCTAGTTCGCGCAACGCCCCCCCAGCATTTGGGCTAATATTTGCCTTTGCAAGCTTCTGAGCATGGTGGTAAATAGTAAGTTCGGCCAAGAGCATGCCCAATAATATCAGGCATGGTACTGCTAGAATCGTGACTTTTGCAAGCATTGCTTAACGAATATTTTCGGTGAGAGATCAATGAGTTCTTGTTGGAAACTGATGAAAATAAGCTGTCAACTACTCGTTGGAGGCTAATTTGGGCGGAGATATACACATAGCCAGTCTATATATAAAGGTTCGAGATCTGGGAACGAGAGATATCACTCCATCCCTGGCACCAGGCGAGGCGGTAAGCCTCCGAGCTACGTATCTGTGATGGAATACCACAGCTCAACACGGCATACGACATTAGGTAGGGAAACTTTTGACATGTCCTTTTAATGCACTGTGATTCGGTTCATCTGCTCAGAATGCCATTGTGGCTGAGGGCGACTGGCCGTCTTGCAGCCAACCAGCCCGGCTGTAGACCTATGGATGGCTAGCTGATGGAGTGTTCATGCAGCTTAGCCGTAGAAATCACATCCGGGAGCAGGTCCAGCGCGGATCACCACCTTTTTATGAGTTGGTCTGTGCGACATGCCGTGATTCCCCAGTGGGCCCTTCCAGCATGGGGGTCAAGGTTTCGGTCCATGTCGGTACTGCGCAAATATCTGATGTTGCTCGGCCATGTTACTAGGACAGGAGAGGGATCTCTGGGGGATATATGCTGCAATAGATCTCACTATGCCTCCCATGCCATTCACTTCGCGCGAGGACGACCGAGATGTCATGGGAAATGGCTGGGCGGGAGATAACATATCAGGGTGCGTGCGGGACCGGACATCATCTGAGACAGAACATGACTTTCATCTACAACAAACTTTGATCATCTCACATATCGCTGTGTACCTGTATCGATGTGTATATCTCAGAGTGTACGAAAGATCGGTGAGGAACCAGCTCGCCGTATCCAAAGCAGGTACCAAGTTTCCACCGCCATATTGTAGGGTGGACAACTGACCTCATATCCCAGCTCGGCCAGGCCCTCTCAGACGTGAGATCGGTTCTACAGCCGCTAACGGTTAGGCTCCTGGCGTTGGCGTTGTGCTACACGAACAACCCGCTCCCGCGAGCTACGATTTGGAGCTAGATCTCCCGTGCCGTCCATTGGCAGGGCGCCAGTAGGAGCTTACTTCATGCGCAGACGACTAGCGGATGATGATGAGCCCAAGGAGGGCTCACCATTGCCTAGCGGGAACGGGAAGAGGCCTTGGTTCCTGTTTTTGCATGGACAAGTGGGTGGCATTGAAATTCAGACACTCAAACATTAAGCTGCTTATTTTCGATCCTGCGACCATTGTCAGACTATTGAGCTAATAGCACATAGTTGAGAGAGAACATAGCGTATATTGTCAGCTTGATTCATTTTTTACTTGTGTGAATTTCTCTATTTGTCAGAGAAAGTAGTCTGTCTGGTACCAACTCCTCCATTATGTGTCTCATTTCTCCTGTCACCCCACTTGACGGAGATGGCAGGCAGGGTGAAGGGCGAGACATGGCGGGCAGAAACGGCACGCTCTTCGCGTTTCCCCGGGGCACTTGGTCTAGGCTCAAATTGCAGGTGGACTCAGAAACTCCACGCGAGGTGCCAGGTTTGCCAGTTTGAAGAGTTGAGGGGTTGGGTCCGCGGGGGTCACGGGCGGAGAGATGATGGATCGTCGAGATCGTGTAGCATGGGTACACCCATGCTCCGTTGAGATCGTGCTAGCCTGATAGGTGCTACGTTACCGTGCTTACGTGCCGAGAATACAGCCTACCCTACCTGTAGCTGGGCGCCTGGCCACCTCACAGCTGAGGGAGAGAGCATTACGCAATCACGGGAAGCGGCGGCTGCAATGCATCAGTAGGCTTGTTAATCTGTTGAGATTAGTGATCCCAGCCATAGCAAGTTTTTGTAGAGAAAGAGCGGTGTACGAAGGAAGCCAGATGAAAGAAGGTAGCTACAAGCAGGCAGACAATGGAGAGATGCACTCCCTCAAAGACGGGGAGGTGGAGCGAGGCAAGGGACAGAACCTGGTACCTACCTTGCCTAAATTCAGCACAGCCGTCGACCAGGCACCTGGAACCCACGTGATTGTACCCCATTCCTATCACATATTTAGGTACCAGACCCACTATTAGCGACCTACGTACCTGTAAGGTAGGATACAGGGTCTCCCGGCAGCACAGTACTGGGGACAGTGTTAGATCAACCCACTATCCGATTATTACGGGAATTTCAACAGCCTGTCATCTGGTGAAACAAGCTGTCAGCCGCAGAGCCCTGGCAGTAGGCAAACACCATGTGAACACCGACAGCCTGTTGGCTGCAGCTATCGCTACGAGCCCAGTACTGACACATCCACCACGATTTTGATCCACCACGCTAAATCCTGTTTCGATACAGCCAGCCCTACAAACTTGTATAGATGCTTTTCTAATCTCCTTCACCTGCACGACGCGCCTAAGGTAAACGATAACTACCTTACTATCGCGATGCACAGCCAACTTGGCTGAGGCAATTACGATAGCTAAGCCGGGCTTCCAAACTGGCTGTCGCGATGCACAGCTAATTCAGTGGTCAATTGCAACACCTAGGCTGCTTAGGCCTGCTGCAAGCTGCTGTCCGGATGGGGGATGTACAGCTAAGGGCACCATAATAGATGGGTAATGAAAGTATCTGTACAAGTTGGCGGGGTGAACTACTGCTGAAAATGTATTAACATGGTGGATGTGTCAGTACATGTACCATCGCAACTACCCTCTCTCTCGTGTGCCTCCCTTTCCAGTTGGAAAGACAGCTGCCTTCCAATTTGATGGTACCTAGGTTAATGTAGATTCAAGTTGTCGTAGCCCGCCCAGGTACCTGTTGCGCCTCTTCCATCTTTCTTCATAACAAGCGATAGCTGCGAAGCCGACCGGTGCGTCTCTCGTGAGGACGAGCGTTCGATGCTAAGCACACCTAGCTGTCTGCTTCTGTGACAAGAACTAGTTGTGAAGCTGACCTGGCTGTCTTCCATCAAGATGAATGATCACTGAGAAGCTGGCCTGGCTAACTGCCGTCGCGGCGGGTGACCGCTAGGAGCATGGTCTGGCTGTCTTCCGTCAAGACGAGCGATTGCTACGAACCTGACCTAGCTGTCTGCTGCTATTACATATAATTCCCCATCTACCTAGCCAAGCCAAGCTGTAGCCGTAGCCGCAATCTACCTAGCTAAGAAGAAGCCGTAGCTGCAATAGCCTTGATGGTGGTCGGGGATTTGACAGCGTGTTGGATTTCTGACCGCCTGTCAGGCTTCCATTTGAACAGTATACGAACCGAAGGACAACGGGAACTCCCTCTATAAAGACTGGAATAAACCCGGCGATAGCAAGCGAGCCATAGACAGCTATTATCCCCCCAGCAGCCTTACCAAATTCAGGATGCCCAAAACATTTGCTGTCAACAGTGAAGGTTTGGGTCTACGAGAACCAGCAGCCAAAAGCAACCGCAACGTGACCATTTGTATTTTTGTCTATTGGGACTAGAATCTCGGCTACAATGCCATTGTCTTCTGGCCCCTTTGCCCAAGATTCCCCTCACCCTCTTTCTTAAAAAGAGATGAAAGGGAGGGAAGAAAGAGCGGGCGACCATCCCAGCCATCATCAATCTGCCCCCCTTAAGGGTGCCAGCAGCTCCTCTGCCTCACCTAGCCGAATTACACACCAATGTGCTATTAATTAAGGCTTTCATGACCACTCGCCCTGGCCTCAAACGAAGCTCGGGCACTTGGAAAGCTGCAGACGCGGATTTTCCTCCCCTGATATAGTAGGCTGATGGAGGTAGGACTGTAGTCCCCAAGGTGCGAGGAACGATGCCCCGGGAGCATGGGCGAGTTCGTAGCAGAATGATGTATGGATGCTGTCCACGGATCGTCGAGTAAAGAATGGCCAGTCGGTTCCCATCCAAAGGGTGAATCAGACATTTGTCGAGGAACCCCATGTCGCGGCGTTGCTTCGGTCGGTTTGCGTAGACGTTCGGTCGGTTTGCGTAGATATTCGGTCGGTATCGGATATCCTCCATTCTGTTTTGATGAAGCCGCTCTTCCTGCCGCCAGATGTCTTCTAGGCAAGCCAAGTGGCTGGCTGGGTTCGCGCTCGACAGGAACACGTCATCTTGGGGCTTGTTTCCGACACGCTCGTTCTTGACGTTGCATATCCCGCTGGTATGTACCGTGCTTTGATATTCGCGAGTCTTGTCGGCGGTTTGTATTTCGATCGGCCAGTGCCCAACCTTTGCAAAGTCTTCGAGGCGACTCGTCAACACTCCTGGCACAGCTGCTTTCATGCAAATGACCTGAACAGGTATGCTAGGCAAGTCTCTCAGCTGCTCCAGTGTCCGAAGGAAGCTGGCAACCTTGAGTCGTTGGCAAATACCTGCGCATTGGTGCTGGAAGCCGCCTGCTGCTTGACGGACGCCCGGCGACGCAGGGATGCTCTTCCATTGCTCTGGCCGCCAGCCTCGCGAACACCACCTCTAGCCGTTGTATAGTATAGCAAGCCCTGCTGAACGTAGGAGGGGTCTATGGCTTCGTTTCGGTCTTTGTGTTTCGGGCGTAGCTAGTACGCTGGATCGGACGTCTTCTGTGCTGAGCGAAGCAGTCGGGGCAACAGTCGAGGGTGGCGCCAGTCGGGTTTCCTTCTGTCCCTCGGCGGTAATGTAGAGAGCTTCGTGATTCGGCGGCGGGCTTCGTAGTTCGGCGGCGTGTTGGTTGTTGGATGGAAGGCTCAATACGACCGTCCACGACGGCGTGGGAGGTTGAACTGGACGGTTCCGGTAGGTTAGATTCGCCAGTGACTGCCGCCGGGGCTGCGGCTTGGTGCTCTTGGGGGGTCATCTTCTGCTCACCGGTAAAGTCTTTGATGGCTTGTTATAGATGCTAATACCATTCTGGCGCGTTGTCTTGCGCTGCGCAGGAGAGACCGGCTTGCCCCCGCCTGCGTGTGGAAGCCACCTCATCCAAAAGGTTCCATGGCTCCCCAGGCCTCGTAGCCACTGAGGCCAGTCATTTGGACAACTGAACGGATCGGGCGGCAGACACAGGCCTGGGACGGCGTCTCGTTTCCTTTCCTCGCATGCGTCATGTTCGTGGAGGGTGCTCCAGAGGGGAGACGGAGGCGTATGGCAGCAGAAGTGGTGGGACAGCGACACATTAAGGCTGAGTTCGTCACGTCATACAGTCATCAATCTGTCCCCTTTGATGCTTTAGGCAACCTGGGTGCCATGCTGATAAAGCATTGACAGTACGAACAAATCACCACATTGCCCGTCTTTCATCGCAATTTGGTCTTCTTTCGCAACGATAGCCTTCACCACATCGTAGCTCATATGCCGGCCAGGTTGTAGTACATTATGGCATTTCATCTTACTTGCGCAAGGACTAGAAAGTGACGAAGCAGATTTAGGCGCAATGAAACCAGAAACACAGGTTCACATCGCCTAAGAGCAGATTTATGTCGATGTGGTGTGTTTCTTCAGAGTCCAATCAACATCCCGCCACGCAAAGGAGAATTTTTTGGCACCCGTTAGATGACCAGCCTACATACAAACACCCCTAAATGCCTGCAGGCCTTCCCTTGAATATCACAGTTGATTATCTGCTCTCATTGAATCATTTAGGCACTCCTGCGCCGCAAGTCGGGTTGCGTCAGGCGTCAAGCCCGGCGCTCGTCTAACCACCTGCTACTGCCGCCTTTCCACCTCATCAAGTTGACAGGATGACGGTCTGCTCATAGCTCTGTGGCTTCACCAATAACACCGTGAAACGCTGCAGCGCCACCTAGCATCCCCTCCTGGCGTATCTGCCGCAGTGATTCTGGATCGATCACGTCCCGTGGCAGGCGCAAATAGTAGATGGCGTCGCCGTGGGAGTGGATGACTTCCTTTTGTAGTCGCTCATACCTCACTTGTACCGCGGCAAGATTTCGCTGCCACCATGTTGCAACTTCGTCCAGGTTGAAGTCCCAGGTTCCGCGCCACGTCAGCGAGGCTTCATCCCGAGTCTGCCTCCCCTTGTGATAAATGAAAGCGCACGACTCCCCCCTTTTCCCATTCCAAAGCGCCAAGTCCTCCAGCTTCGGCATTCTCAGCGCGGCCCGACCGGCAGTGAGAAGCAGCCCATTGATAAGCTCTCTATTCCCGGTGGGGGTTAGAGAGGGTGATGTTAGAGCTAATGACTGAAGGTGTTCCCAGTTGTAGCTGTGCCGACAATTCTCAAAAAATTGACGAGCACAGAGCATGTATGAAACAGAGAGATGATCGAGGCTGCAACTCCGAAGGGCAAGAGCACCGGCCAACTCAAAGCAGAAGGGGAAGTCTTCGTAGGCAGGTACAGCTCCACCAGCAACCAATCCCAACTGGACATCCTCATTAAAGTCTTCCAGAATGGATATTATCTTCACCCCAGGGTTCGTTGCACCGTTTAGTATAGCGGCTAGCTCTATCCAATGACCCAACAATTAGCTTCAGAATCACGGATTGCAACGCGTTTCACCATAGCCTCCATATACATACCAGTGTCGCGAGTAGCTTTGAGTCTCATGTCACAGTGACGCCATGGCTCATACACCAAATTCTGCAGTCGAGGGAGACACTCTACTATACGCCGTACTCCCGCCGGATGCATATGTCGCCGAAATCGGCGACGCATCACGAGATCTGTGACTGCAGGAACCTGGAGAAGCTCTTCTGGTGGTCTATGGAAGAACGAGGAAAAAAGTCGCCGTATATCACAGTCGGTTAGCCACGTCTGAATACCATTATGCCAGTCATGTTTGGGATCATGAAAGTGGGACCCTGGCTCAAAAGCACGAGGATTCAACTTGTGCTCCATGTCACTGGGTGTGTAGCCACTTAGTTCCAACACCAACCGGTCCCTGGGCTTCCAAGAGGAGAGTATTGAGAACAGTTTGACGATGGCGTCTTTGACGATGTTATTATGGCGGTAGCTCCAAGATTTTGACTCCATCCCCAGACAGCTACGGCAGGTGTATCGTGGCAGTTCAATATGCAGCCAGATACGACGAACCATATGAGCTGACCGATTGATCATATGTTCCATGTCCTCCAGACATGAGATTCGCAGTTTGAGGGTGAGGAAGTTCCTGGGCTCTAATACTGCTTGCCACTCCCGAGAGACAGCAGCGAAAGAAGCCCAGCCGCAATGCCGTTGCCGAGCAACTTCTTCCAATATCATTGCGCGGATCTCCACGGGCAGATAATACCAATTCCCTTTCATATTTATTTATCGTATCGAGGGGATTTTGTTGTGTGTGTGTGGCAGCTAGGTGAAAGAGGGCAGAATACGGAAGAGAGTTCGAGTACAAAGTAAAAACAGCGATGAAAGATGCCAGACTCGACATTTAAAACACAATGAAGAGAGAGTAGAATAACTAGTGATATGGCGAGCGGCCCGTCCCAAAGGTAAGTGAGTCATCAGGTATGAAAGTTTACAGACTTTTCCTTCTACGTGGCTGTAGCGTTGCGCTAGCAGAGCTCTTTTTGCCTCACGTATTTATTGTACTGAAATGTCAGGTCTGGCATCTTCCATTTCTGTTTTTACTTTGTACTCAAACTCTCATCCGTATCAAGGGGATCTTATCAGGCTAGGCAGGATTTTAGTGTGAAAAATAATGAATACAAAAACCAGGTCTGGTAGCTTGTAAGGACTCACAGTTCGCGTTCAGCATGTAATATAGGCCTGAAGGAAGAAGACACGTCACATGCTTAGAACAGTGTTTAATCAAGAGCACACAGAAAGCCAAAACCTTGGGTAGTCGGCGCAAGGCCTTTCAGACGAGCTTGGGCCAATAGAGTTTGTTTCAACTTTTGACAATGATCGATTAGCTTCAATTAGTACTGCTCGAAAAGCAATGCCAAGGCTTCATCTCTCATAGGCTTGGGACATTGCGACCTGTTGCTCATATTTGTCGCTGTAGAGGAGGAATGGAGCGCAAGTTCCCGCGACAGCCCACCCACCTAGCTACTATTCCCCTTCATAACAAATTCAAAGGCAGCTTCCTCAAATATTATCATGAATCTTAACTAATACCACAACTGATGGACCTGGAAATTAAAGATGTCAGTTCGAAATTGTAAGATTGGGGTGGAGTGAATTGACGGAACCTCGCGCACTGGGGTTTTCACGCGTACGTTCACCAAACCATTTCTAGAGTATTCTCGCAGCTCCGGAAGGAATTTCCAATCTAGTGACAGAGTTATGTTCCTTAACTATGCAATCCGAAATAGAGATGGGAGATTGGGAAGCACTCCGGATGGCAGGGACGTGAAAGCAAGGGATAAGTCCATAATTTGAATTGTCTACATCTTTCCATACGATATCTTCAGACTAACTGTCCTATGCAAAGTGAAATTCTGATCGATAATTTGCCAAATTAGTCAATGTCGCCCGTAAGACTCTTAAAAAAAACTCTTTACTTGGTAATCAATTTTTGCATGTGGGTTTACTCATCTGCTCTCTCTGGAGCTCTTTTGCCCGATCCCTCCGTCCGCCACCAGCCCCAAAGTTCGTGTTTACATTGCCCAGAAAGGTTAGATACGGAATCAATTGACTCATACGTTGCGGGGAAAAAAGAACGTCAAACGATGAGTGGAGTAATTGCTGCGCTTAACTTGGAGGCTGGTCTTGGCTTCGCTGACAACAAACAAACTGTAGCTACTGACCCAGGACACCACGAGAAGGTGCCAGCCTGTCGCCCTGGAAAACAAAGAAATAAAGGCAGGGGGAGAAACAAAAGTAAAAGAAGGGCGATGGTAAAACAAAAGTTTGAAGAAGTATGGATGTTCAGATTGGGAGTAAAAACAATAAGAAATCAGTCCACTTACACAGTTACAACGAGGCTCTAAGAACCCTTCTAGCGCGAAAGAAAACGACACGGGTCTCGGAATAGGCCAAACAGGCCGCGTTGTAGGCGGCGGCGGGGGACACGATGCGTCCCGGTCGTAACTCGGGCCTAGTAACAGTAGAAAAGCATGTTAGATACCCTCTTTTGCGTGATAGAGAGCATATAAACATAAGGGTAGTCTAGGGGTAATATATGCCATAGGGATAATGATAAAGACTTACATAGAACTCTTGGTTGTGGTTGTTGCTGGTGGCGGTGTTGCTTCTGCTGCTGGTGATGTTGTCGATGTTGTTAGTTTTCCCATGGGACAACGCAGACATAACCCTTCTGCATGGAACCTGTAGTTCTTTCCTCTAAAGAAGACATTCTTGACTTGGACGGAAGGAAACTTTGTACCTTTGCAGTCTTCTTCCTTTCTGTATCTGTGTCTCCTTCCCATTTCTCTTGTCTAAACCCTCTTCCTGTCCGCATCCATCACAGCCCACTTGAAACACCGCTCCTTCTTAAAAGAAACAGCCCGTTGTCGTATCTCGGAAATGTTGAACTTCCCATTTCTTTATGCTGTGGAGAAGCTCCACGTCCTTCCGCTTATATTTTTCTATTACTGCTGAGGTATGTTGATGAATTAGCTGACTTAGACATAGCTTCAGATGCACTGTAACGTGATTGTAAATTGTTCAGCGAGCAGCGTGTAGTCGACGAGAGGTACCCGAGGATATGAATCTTAACCCGGCCAGACTAAGCCCTTGATTACCCTCACGGCATTGAATGTACCTATCCACGAAAGGAGCGCAACAGTAAGTGTCCCCCACCAAGTTTGTTTTACTCAGGCTATCTATGTACGATTTTCAAAAGGAGCGCCTGCAGCTTTTCTTAATACCAACGAGACACTACCTGACATATTCCTGCTAGCCGAGAACGAAGAAGCCACTCCCGCTAACCTAACACTTGCGGTACCTTCCCTCCGTGAGCTGTGCCTTGAACATATTGTCAGTGACGACCCCGATGAAGCTGCTCAAGCCTTTGTGAAGGCTTGACGGCCTATCACACTGAGTATTTGCCTCAAAAGCTAACTGGAGGCTGGGGCAAGCTGACTGCCAGAGTGCTATCATAAAATAATGAATGCACTTTTTACAAAAGCGAAAAGCTGTTTTGTGTCTTCATTATACATCTCGACGTGAAAATGACCATATGCTAAAATACCCTAAAAGGAGAGATAGATTAATCATGTCATCGTTTTTCTTTTTTAATACCTTCGAAAAATGATTATCCTCTACTCTCTCATCATCTCGCCGACTTAACTAGATTACTATTGGGTGGCCAGCGCCGCTACTGTCACCTTCTATCTACACCTTGTCGTCACTTGATAACGCTTGCAACCTCCGGCTCTGCCCTGGCGCTTGAGGCGCCTTGTTCTCAAAGCAATTGGTGATTAGTTTCTAACAGCCCGAAGAGATTTGAATACGCTGGAAAGCAAGATTAACATGCATTCATCTCGGTTCTGCGCCATGGTTGGACTTGCTGCCTAGAGCCTTTTGTGGCTAGAAACACTTCAAGTGTTAGGTGATAATCGGTGATAAAGTTCCCCTCTGGTGTATTGAAATAAATATTTATTTACTTCTTTAATCGCCACAAGCAAGGGGGATCTTAAGATCAGGCCACACACATGATTACAAGGCTTTTTTTAACCAAACCTTTCATATCAACAAAACTCAGAAAATACACGCATAGCCCAGGTAGGCAAAGACATCAACACCTCCAAAAAACTCTATCAAGGGCTGGCCAGTATATAACTTAGCCATGGTCCCCAAGGGGGGGGAAACTCATAACCACACCACAACTCTCTCTGAACCACGATGTCAGTATATGATACCATAATCCCTACCAGCCAGGATCTCTCTCGGTCAGTCATCCTCAACGATCAAGCACGTCGACTAAGTAATGAACCTAGACCTCCGAGATCGATAGTTGGCTTCCCCATTTTGTAAAATATGTATGCCCCACTTGCACTAATTGCGAACCTGTCAATGTTTGCAAATATCACTTTCCGCGAAGGAAGGGAGAATGGCTCCACTGGATTTGACTACTATGCCGTGGTCAAGGCGAGTCTTGTGATTCCTCAGTTACGGCCGTGTCAGGCTACTCAATCGACATTATAACCCACAAGTTGCCTCAGCTGAATGACCAAGCGCAATAAGAATTGACTCTTCTATTTCGTTTCGCCTCACAAAGCTCCCTACCGATGTAGGAGTATGACAATAAGCACCCTTATAAAGATGCAGCTCGGCCTCCCGAAGTTTACGGATGCCTATAAGCATCGCGTTGATGGGGCCGATACTGCGAAGGTGATTGCGGAAGATAAGACTCAGCCCGACCGTAGCATCGTCTAACCCGAGGCACAGTAAATTTGGCGAGAAGATTCTCGTCTTTTGGTCTTTGAGCTATCTTCAGATTCCAGTACTCAAAGACGTCTCGGAGCTGAAGTTAATATTTGAGGAGACCGACCAGCTCTTCGCATTCCAAGGATCAGATGAAGCTCACCGACATGGAACCAAAGCTCCGTCGCTACACGGAGCACTTCTTGCGACCGATCCAGAGCGTTGAACATGAGATTAAATAGTTCGACGAGCGCTTTATGTATAAAGACAGCCTCCAAATGCTCTCCCTTGTCCGGTGCCCCAACGAAATCCTGGCAGACAAGTGGGTGACATGTAGCATGGCACACCCAGGACCTCCAGCGCCGATTTCAACATAATGTCAAAACAATCAACCTAGAATGAACATAATAGTCAAGATATATCGTAAAATATTTTTTTTTTATTATGGTGTTTATCATTATTATCATTATTATCATCAAGAACTGAGGTCCTTGCCTTATGAAAAGAGCTTTGGCGTGCCATCTGATGTTTTATTCCAGCCACTTCGCAGAGTCTATTGTAATGAGGTCATCAGCAATGTTGACTTTGTACCAACTTTCTCTTGTCCCGATCCCACAGTATATTTCTTATTCATTCTTGTTTTTTGGGGGGAGAATATTAAGACTAACCATTGGCTCCACCTACATGATAATAAATAAGACAGCATTATGACACAGCGGAGTTAGTGTAGTGGTTATCACGCATCGTTCACAGTTTCTACCAGAAAATGCCGATGAGGTCGCGAGTTCGATCCTCGCACTCCGTAAATTTTTACTGTTTACAAACTCTGTTATAATTTTTATTATGATTAATCATTTGACTTGCTAATTGCTTCCGAAACGCGCTGTTTATCCCTTGGGCTGCGTTGAGGCTTTTGGGTCAAGAGGTGGAACTGGCTAGAATTGCCCCGCTCTACAAGAATACCTATTGCATAGTTGCGTTTCAATGTGATGTCAAGTATCTTTGCCCGGTTAATTTTGTCCCTGATGCGCCTTGTCTCTTTCTTCAGATCTGGAGAGCTCCTGGGACTTATTGTTGTTGAGAGAAGGTGTCTCAACGTCCGAAATACCATCCGGCAAGATCTTAAGGCAGCGATCAAACCCCCCATCCTGTTTTAGGAGGGCCAGAACAGCCTCGCACACCATTTCCATGGGAACAATCTGGCCTTGGGACGCGCCGCCGGAGAGAAGCCTCTTGGGGGTCATGACCCTACCGGGGCAGATGGACGAGACACGGATCCCATCCTTCTGGAAGAACGGAGGAGCTATCGCGTGCGCAAACGCGACAATGCCGCTTTTGGCCGCGGAGTAGATGGGCACCTCAGGTATGGCAGTCAGTGCGGCGATGGAGGATGTGAAGATCAAGCTCGGGTCATAATCCCTGACGCCTTGTTGTAGGGCTTGCCTGGTCACGCGGAAGTAGTGCTGTGCCAGGTACGCGGTGTTGACAGTGCCTTTGAGATTGATGTCCAGCAAGGAGAAGTCGGGTTCCGGAGGGGGCGTGCTGGAATGGGAATCATAAAACATTCTTGGGTCCGTAACCCCGGCATTTGCGAAGACAAAATCCAGCCGACCGTGCTTATGCACCGTCTGATCGAAAGCAGTGCTCAACGAAGCCCAGTCCCGGATGTCAGCTCTGTGGAAACTCGCTCTTATTTTGGCAGCCGCTTCTTGTCCTTGGATTTCGTTGCTATCAACAAGAGAGACCACCCAATTGGCATCCGATAGCACAGCGGCTACGGCATGACCTATGCCAGAAGCTTGTTCATAAAGCGGCGAGTAAGCCCAACGCCAACACCGACGAGGGACTCATAAGACGTACCTCCACCAGTCACCAACGCTACCTAGCCTCCATATACATACCAGTGTCGCGAGTAGCTTTGAGTCTCATGTCACAGTGACGCCATGGCTCATACACCAAATTCTGCAGTCGAGGGAGATACGCCTTGCTTTTTCTAACGATAAATTGGCCCGGGGAACACAGATGGTATAACGCGCGCTCCGTCCAAAGAATAAACGCGGTCCAGGGTATGATGTGATGTCAGCAAGGGGCATCATTTGGCTTGTCTCCACTCGCACACGGCGTCATCATCCAGAACGACGGTTTTGTAATCCGGTGGAGCCACTTCGGGGAAGAATCTGCTTCATTGGCCGGGTCAAGGATCACTCCATGGACTCCGCGGACTTTCTCAAGCTGTCCCAAGAGGCTCGACGTTGGCAGCAGCTCTGGTATTGCTTGGTCCGCACCTCTCCATTCATTCCTGTCTTGCCATTCATGGATCGGAAATCGACTCGCCAGTCACGCCAAGTGTCCTGTCACTTCTGCAGGGAGCGCAAACTCAAGTGTAGCCGCTCTTTTCCCTGCTCCAACTGCACATCCCGTGGAGTTGAATGCCCCGCCGTCGCCCCTGCTACCGCCATCCGGCCGACCAGTCAGACCATTCCCTTCGGCAGCCATGCTGAGATCCTCAATAGATTGGCGCGGCTCGAGTCGCTCCTGGCAGCTCAGCACGAGAAAGCGCCCCTGTCGCCACCCGGCTCGGCGTCCAACTTGGTAGGCGGAGGTACTGATGTGCCTTCGCCACAGCCGCTCCAGTGGCCACTGTCTACGAGGCTGCAGACTTTGGTTGAGGATGCCGTGTCAATACATTCTCGATGCCCGGGCTTGGGGTTTCATGTAAATTTTGGGCTGTCCTTGAACCTGTTTCTTCAATTAAGACTGACCCATTTAGAATCTCTCACCGAACAACTCACTCATTGTTCGCATTTGCCCCCTTCGCCTCTTCAGGGAACTGCTTCCCGATGACGCCAACTCATTGCCAACAAACCAACTCAAAAAGATCTGGCTGCCTGACCGGAAGGAAGCCAATGTCCTCATCAAAAAATACCTAAACGGATTGACTGTATTTCTCCACGTCACCCATGGGCCCTCCATTCAAAAACTGGCAGCTGAAGTATATGATACTCTTGAAGCAGGAGCTTCTCATGTCCCGACTGGGCATCTCCTCCTCCTCCTTGCAATTTTTGGAAATGTCATTCTTTTGTGGACGGCGTGTAGCGAGGACGAGGCAGCACTGTTCCCCCATGCCGGAGAGGCTAGTGCACAGGCGACCTCGTGGATCAAAGTGGCTCTGGAAGTACTCTACAGCACACAAGCACACAGTGCCCCATCCCTCGAATATGCTCAGGGACTCACTATCCTGTCCTTCACCATTCTTAACATGGACGGGGTGACGCCCCGAGGCCTGTCTTTGTTATTCCAGGCTACGACAGTAGCACGTGAGCTGGGTCTACACCGGCTTGACCATCAAAGACAAGGTTTCCCGTCAATGCAGTTCCCTGCTATCACAGGTATACGGGCTGAGGTCGGACGCCGAGTTTGGTGGTACCTCGCCTCGGCAGATTGGTGCGCGATCCCAGCATAGGCAACCATGCGATCATTATTCTAACAAGGATCATAGGCTTCTCTCTAGCAGTTCTAATGCGCAAAGAGGAACATATTCTATTAACCCGCTTCACATGGCCGTTCACAAACCAATCAACATCAGTGACGTGGACATGGCTGAAGAGGGAATGACGGCGAAGCCCATCGAGGTATTTACGGCGATGTCATATTCGATTTACCGCATCCGGCTGGCCGAAGAGATTCGCCTGTTGACTGACAAGTACCCTTTGATTGCTTTTGACCCCTACGCCGTGGCTTATAGTCATGTTATGGAGGCTGATGCGGCGTTTGATCGACTGTTGTCCAGTCTTCCTCCTTTCTTCCGCGAGCAGCTTGATGATGAAAACGCGGTAGACCCGGGTGTCGATCCCGAAACCCAAAGAACCATGATGTGGCACAGGCACCTGCTGAACCTTTCCATCCATGGGCAACGGATCAAGCTTCATCTTCCGTATCTCGCTCGCGGAGCAGCAGAGCCGGCGTATGCACAATCTCACAGGATCGCTATGGAGACCGCATGGAAGGTAATCAATAGCGAGTACAAATTGAGGCGGGAGAATTCCACTTTCACCTCGCCACGTTTCAAGTTGGGGGTAGTCATGTACGGCTATTTCCTCTCCGTGGCTGTACTTGTCCTTGATATGTGCCTGGCCACTGACGAGGCTGAGCGGGAGGTCAAGAAACAGCAGACGCAGCCGGCTTGGATGATTTTGTTAGAGGCACAGTCTGAGTCTAGTATTGTTGGTCCTGCGGTCGAGCTCCTAACCTTCATCATGCAGAAGCATAACGTTGGCTTTGACACGATGGCGATTTTGCCACCCCAAGCCACAACGGTGCCGGGACAAGACGCCACAGGTCAGAATACACCACATGCTAATTGGGAAGGGCACGTATTTCAAAGTACGGAACAACATCACCTAAACGAGAACACGATGGAGAGAGATGCGGACTCCGTGGATACGTACTTCAATATGCTTTGGATGCTTGAAAAGCCATTCATTTGAAGGCTCACCAATATATAGAGAGATTCATAGGATAGATAAAATGGATTTACGAGAGTAAGTACGGGATAAGTTGAATAAAAATGTCACCCCAAGGCTCGACTGGAATTTTGACAAGTGGACTGTGTAAAATCGCAGCGATTGACTCTTCCATGTCGCGTACGAAAAGTTTTATAATTACAATAGCCAATGACAAGGTTACAGCGACGAGAGAGAGAATAGAAGTTGAAAAAAATATGCCTAACTTGAGCAGTACACTTTGCTGAACTATCTCATCTTCCCATCAATATTTAGAAAACAGACGAATAAGAAGACGCCAGCCCACGTCGACAATGAACGGGATGCTCGGATAAATATCAATTCACATAAATGAACGGCGATCGGTGAATCGGGAACAATGAGATGCCGCTTGACGGCCGGGCGGCGCCTTTGTCCGTAGGGTCCGTAGCCCGCGGAGTTCCATGGCCACTCTTGAACATGACTGGATGCTGGAAATAGAACCCCTAGATTCATGAACTAAGCAGAAACCACAATCCATGTCGGTAGATCTACTCTCGGGCGGAACGGAAGGTCATGTTTTCTCAATAGACCCCTTTTGCACTCTGTCCATATGTGTTAAGAGAAGAGCTCCTGTCTCTGCAGGCTTCTCAGGCTTCCATCTGCTCAGCACCCCTGGTTGTTCGTTACTTTCTCTTTTCCTTGAATCTTTTTTTAAACAGAATACTTTTTAACAAACCCCTTTCCTGAAGTTCGATGCCCAGGAGCAAGCCGATTTGACCATGACGACGATCGAAGGCGACACTCTTTCCGGATACGAAGTGCCACGAAATACTTCGATTCCTTACTGGCGGTTGGTTATTGATCAAACTGGGATCACGGAAGAGGTCTTGAATCATGAATATGAGGGTTCGGGGACAATCCAAGACCCGTACATCGTGCAATGGATCCCGAATGATCCCCGGAACCCGATGCAATGGAGCCAGTTTACCAAGTGGTTTGTGACGATGGCAGTCGCAATAGCCACCTTGGCCATTGCTCTCTTATCATCTGCCTACACCGGAGGTACTGTCGAGATTATGAAAGAATTCGAGGTCAGCTCCACCGTGGCCACCCTTGGAGTATCGCTTTTTGTCCTTGGTTTCGCCATTGGACCTCTCCTCTGGGCTCCCTTGAGTGAGGTTTTCGGCCGGCAGATCCTCTTCATCGGGACTTATGGAGCTCTGACTGCGTTTAATGCTGGTGCTGCCGGTGCGCAGAACATCGAGACGTTGCTGATTCTGCGCTTCTTTGCCGGCGCCTTCGGGTCTTCGCCGTTGACAAATGCCGGGGGCGCCATAGCGGACATGTTCCCTGCCTCGCAGCGTGGGTTAGCCATGGCTCTTTTTGCGGCAGCGCCGTTCCTGGGACCGGCTATTGGGCCTATCACTGGGGGTTTTCTCGGAATGAATGCCGGCTGGCGTTGGGTGTTGGGTTTCCTGGCTATCCTGTCAGGGGTTCTCTGGATTGGAGGATCACTGCTCTTGCCAGAAACATACGCTCCCGTGATCCTCCGCAGACGGGCTGAGAAGCTGTCGGCTCTGAAGAAGCAGCATTACATCAGCTCAATCGACCAGCAGCAAGGCAAGGCAGACCTCGGCTCTTTGCTCAAGACTGCGCTGTCGCGGCCGTGGGTGCTGCTGTTCACCGAGCCCATAGTTTTCATTCTCTCGATCTACATGGCCATCATTTATGGTGTCTTGTACATGCTCTTCGCCGCCTTTCCGATAGTTTACCAGCAAGCAAGAGGGTGGAACCAAGGTATCGGCGGCCTGGCATTCCTTGGAATAATGGTTGGAATGATGCTGGCGATTTGCTATGTGATTCCTGACAACAAGCGATTCATCCGGGTTCAAGTTGAAAATGGTGGATTTGCGCCTCCGGAGGCTCGCCTCCCTCCATCTTGTATCGGAGCGATAGCCCTGCCCATCGGTCTCTTCTGGTTTGCCTGGACGAACTCGCCATCTATCCACTTCATGGTCAGCATAGCTGCCGGAGTTCCCTTCGGCTTCGGCATGGTCCTGGTGTTTTTGAGCAACATGAACTATCTCGTCGACGCGTACACAATATATGCGGCGTCAGTACTGGCGGCAAACTCCATCATTCGATCCCTCTTCGGAGCCGCGTTCCCCCTCTTTGCGAAGGAAATGTACGATGGGCTGGGCATCCATTGGGCGTCCTCTATCCCAGCCTTTCTCGCACTTGCGTGCGTGCCCTTCCCTTTTCTGTTCTACAAGTATGGCGCTTCCATCAGGGCGCGGTGCAAGTACTCAGCCCAGTCCGCCGCATTCGTGGAGAAAATGCAGGAGCAGCAAACTGGCCGAGTAGCAGAGGTTGGCGGTGCCTCGGACAGTGAGAACCGTGACGACGCCATGACGATAGTAGAGGAACCATCCGCGTCACAGATAT